GAGAAGGAAAAGGACAAAACCCCTCGATCTTACCACCGGGTAGCAGCTTCCAGTGTTCCAGGGTGTGTCTCTGCCAGCGAAGTCTGTTTTTATTTTTTACACACAGTGTGACGTAAATATGCCCTTTTGTAAATTCCTGCTTTCCCCCTTGTCTGCTGCCTGGGAGCTGGCCCAGGCTTGGCTTTCCACGGGATGCATCGGGCTTGCAGGCAACCCTGACGTCAGCGCGTCCATGAAGGTAGAGGGACGGACGGGCCCCGGGACGCCACAGGTGTGAGTGTCCTGTGCGGCCACCCTGCCTGGCCTTTGTGAAGCAGCACAGGCTGCTTCCGAGTGCTCCCCCCTCCCCCTGCTCTTGCTGTAACTGTGGTGTTACGGTAGCTGCACTTGGATGTTTGCAGACTTGCCATCAAATAATCCCATACAAAAGCGGCCAGATGAGACACAGCTAACGGTGGCCACAGCCAAGACAGCAGGTGTTCCACTTCGTCCATCCCACAGCCCTGGGGAGCCCCGTGCGGGGGCTTCCTTATCACGGAGGGGATGAGCAACGGTACGGTGTGGAGTGAGTCGTTCCTCTGTGCGCAGCCACAGTCCTCTCTGCTGCGCTCTGTGTTTCTCAAGCAGAAGTGCACTGACGTGCCGCAAGGGGGAGGGCTCCCCGCCTCAGCTGCAGGACCCCCACCCAGGAAGCCTTTTCACTCCCTTAAAAGGCAGAGCTCTGAGTTCATGGCACTGCCGCTGCCTGTTTTCTCTCAGGGCGGTGTTTGTTCACTCTTGGTTATGAAGTTGCATCCGCTCTGCGGTGGCCCAGCTCATCCTTTCCTGTGAGATTTGTTATTTTTATTGTACTTGACACAGAAGGTGGGGGTTGCTGCCACTCACACGCTGCATTCTATCTAATAAAAACACTTCTGCTATTTTTACAAAAAGTGGTGTCATCTACACGGATCGATTTGTAACCTGGTCAGAATGCGTGGGCGGTGCCCATGGACGGGCTACGTGGATGCCACCTCTTGGCCTTGGAGGGGGCGTTGTGTCTGGAGTCCTGTTGGCAGCGGCTAAGTCTTGTGTTTGCATTTTGCGTCTGGTTTATTGGCACTGTCTGCTGCTGGGACATGCCCTCCGGGGACCCTGAGGTGCCCTTTGTAGGTAAGGGTTGCCCTTCCTTCAGGCCTTGCTTGCCTCGGTGACTTCCGCTCGGGGCTTATCTCTAAGGTTTCCACCCTTGACACATCCCAGGGCTTAAGGAACTGAACACACGGAGTAACACAAGAGTGCCATGTTTCTGTTTCAGCATAGCTTTTACGTCATTTTACTAAAGTTTCCTAAAAAAAAATAAATCTACCTTCCGACCAGTTTCCTGTGATTTTAGCTTCTGGCTAAGTTGACTTTGCTCCCTGCCTGGGCAGCCTGCCCTCCAGTGCTGGTGTCCTCGGGCGGGTGGGAGGTGGGGGCTGAGTGTGTTTCACTCTGACTGTGCTCTGGGTCCCCAGTCAGGTGGAATAGAGGTGATGGCAGGGGCGCTCGTCTGCCCCAAAGCTGTCCTGGGACTGGAGGAAAGGTCCCCTCAGCAGTCCCTGCCTGGCTTCCTCCCCAGCTGGGCAGCTTGCGGGAGCCAGCCGGCGCCTGGAGGCCTGGCCCGGTCTCCTGGGGCGGCGTGCCTCTGCCTGGTGGTGTCTATTTTTGTCTTTCGTCTTTGCTCTGAGAGGAAGTCTGTTGTCTACGCACATCCCAGCTGCTGTGAATGGCCTGCGTCTCGGGGGGCTTCCAGGTAGGGGCTGGTGGACAGCAGTTCCAGTTCTGGGGCAGAGGGAGCTTCAGGATGTGAGTAATAGGAAGTGACAGAAATGGCCGAGTGTGCCAGATCCTGGTTCGAGGCCACCTTTCCAGCCCCCACACGCCCCCGCCCCAGGCTGGAGCTATATTTAGCAGAGGACTTCCAGGTCCTCGTCCTGCCCCCGACCGACCGGCCCTTTGCTTCTCTTTTGGTTAGTGACCGAGTGACGTGGGCTGGCTTGCGGCTCTGGGTCTCTGGTCCGCCTCCGCGATACCAGGTCCTTCCTTGCACGCCGAGTTCAGACTCGGTTTCTGCTGGGCCACTTCCATTCTTATCCGTTTTCAGCAACTGGAAATGTGCTGAAGGGGAGGGAGCGGCAGGTGAGCGGTCCTGGAGCTGGGGGGCAGTACGGCCGAGGGAAGCTGTTGGGGAGAGAAGTCAGGTGTGGGGATTCAGAGTGGAGTGGGTGGAAGGAATTGTAGATTATCCTAGACTCGAGGAGTGTGGGTTTTGGTCTTGTGTTTCCTAGAAGGGGAGGGCTGGGATTTTTAAATCTAAGGCTTGGTGGTGTGACCCAGATGTGGAAACAGTCATTGGTCCACACTTGGCCAGACTGGAGGCTTGCAGGTTGGAGAAACTTCCCTCCGATGAGTTCCCCACGAGCAGGCCTTGCTGCCCACTCGGTAGGCCTAGAAGCGGAGGTCTCGAGAGACAGGTCACTGCTCCCGGGCTCCCTGGGCCAGCCTGCTGCGGGCCCGGGCTGCCCCGCCCCTCTCCGCACCGTCACCCAGGCCCAGTCGGTTCCAGCGTCCTGTGAGCAGCAAACACATGTCCTTTGAGAGCCTCCAAAAGGAAGTCGGTTTGTGTTCACTTCCAGTGACGTCTCCCCTGAGGGTTTGTGCAGGGGGTGTTGGTCTCCAGCAACCCCAGATTTCAAGACCTGGTTGTGTGATGAAGCCTGGGGGGGGGGTGGCATGTAGGGCGATGGTCAGGCTCCCCAAGATGCCAGGTGCCCCTGCAGATTGTGTTCCAATCTTGCCATTACCTGACCATTCCCTTCTGTGTGCTGTGAGCACAAGGCAGGTCTCAGTGTGTGGGAACTGGAAGGGTGTGTGTGTGTGTGTGTTTTTGCTGGACACAGTGCAGCCCCGTCCTCCCGTCCTCTCCTGTCCTCGCCCCCACTCTGAGTTGGGCTTTCTCATCCGTGTGAGTCTCCAGCTCTTCTTGTGGGCGTGCAGACGTGGCCACTCCTGGGGCTGCCAAGCGGAGCTGTGCTGTTGCTCACAGTCCCCGGGTGACACTGACCGCGACACGGCCGCATGTCTTCTGGTTGCTGAAGTCAAGTGCCAGGCCGCGTCGCCCTGACTGTGCCTCCAGCGGCGGTGCCCCAGGTCCAGCACCACGACGGCTCGACCTCCTCCCATGCCTTTCCTCCTGGCGCTGTGGCTGCTTAGTGTCCCCCCGCACCCCCTGCCCCTCACGGTCTTGAAATGTGACAGCAGTGGACGCCTTTGGACGCTGTATCAGAGGACGTCCATCTCTGGTTGCTGCCGGCAGAGATGGGTCTCTGCGGACCGGGGGGTCCCTCCTTGTCCTGCATCTCAGCCTTTCCACCTTCTGTTTTATCAAGGACCCAGCCCGAGTGGGTGGCCTTCCCTGTACGGTTTCCGTGGCGAGGTGCACGCTGGTGGTGGACCGGAAAGGAAGCTAGTTCTCCATTTTGAATGCGTGGCGTCACGGCACACTCATCCTGTGGCTTTCCCCTCAGCGTGCGTTGCGGAGGTGAAGCCGCACGTACACTGCCGTGACCCCCGACTCGTGGAATTAATCAGAATTTCTGGACGGCGGGGCACAAGACTCAGAACTTGCCGCCAGAGCGTGAGTTGAGGGTCCCTGCGCTCGGGGTTGGTTTCTGTGTGGAGCGCCCGTGTGACTCGGCCCCCGACCTCCCCTGTGGGGACCGCACCACGCCAGCCTCCTGCACTGGCTTCTGGGCTCCGTGCGCCCTGGAGTGTGTTTCTAAGTGCAGAGCTGCAGGCGAGGGTGTTTTCTGCTTGAGGAGGTGTCAGGATGCCCCAGAGCGTGGTTGCCAGCACTGGTGACTCACGAGCAGATGGGAAGGCGAACACCGGCACCTCATGGGTGACACAGGACACGGCCAGATTTTGATCAGCGTGTCCAAAATCAAACCTTTCACCCCATCCCCCAGCCGAGAAGCCTGTTGGTCCCACCCCCACCCAGCTGGCAGCTGCACCTCCTGGTCCTGGCTCTTTCGGCCACATTAGCACACCCTCCCGTTCAGTGGGACTGCTGAGCACCCTCTCCCAGGGGCCTCCCCTGTCCCTTCTCCCTCCCCCCCCCCCCCCCCCGTGGAGACAGCGGCCACGCAGCGCGGGGCCAGTGGACTGGCCGAGTGGGAACGCCACAGGGCATTGGTGGCACCTCCATCACACCACACCCCACCCCCCACACCCCATCCCACCACACCCCCCCACCCCCCACCCCACCCCACCCCACCACACCCCACCACACCCATTTCTATTCGGTGGTGGGAACAATCAATACCTAGTTTCTTAGCAGCTTTGATGTTTATGACGTGGTGGTCTGCTGTTGTCACCCTGGCGTTAGAGCTCCTGCTGCTGCTCCTCTGCTAGTCGCATGTGTCTGCCTTAAACATATCTGCGCCCCCCTTTGTAACGACCATTTTGTTCTGTTTCTATGAACTCGACTTTCTCAGACTCCACGCATGAGATCTGACAGTGTTTGTCCTGTCTGACTCCCTCTGTTAGCAGCTTAGCGTGTGCCCCAGGGGCCGTCTGTGCTGGTGAGGGGCGGGGGTCCCCTCCTCAGCTGGGTCATGTTCTGTTGCCTGGATGTCCACATCTCCCTCTGTGACCGACTGGGTGGTTGTGGGTGGTGCAGTGAATATGGGGGGGCAGCTGTCCCTTAGGGATCCTACATTTGTTTCTTTCAGAAAGATACCCAAACGAAGACTTGTCGGATCATACGTTAGTTCTGTTGCAAATTCTCCCAAGTCCCTCCCCACCATTTTCCATCGTGGCTGCACCAGCCTCACCCCCACCAGCGGTGCACAGGGTCCCCTTCCCTGTCCTCGCCAGAACTCCCTCCCACCCCCCAACAGTGCTCCCAGGAGCGAGGTTGGCGCGGGGTGAGCGTTTCCCTGATGGTGAGTGGCACTGAGCACCTTTTCAAAACGTACCTGTTGGCACCTGTGTGTCTGCTTCTCCGCCCGTTTCGTGCTGGGACTGCTTTCTCGTTGAGCTGGAGGAGGTCCTTACATGATTTGAATTTTAAGCCCTTGCCAGATGCATGATTTGCCCCGTTTCTCCCATTCTGTGGGTTCCCATTCCCTCTTGCTATGCAGCAAGGAGCTTTATAGTTCAGTGTCATCCCAGCTGTTGGTTTTTGCTTTTGTTGCTTGAGCTTTTGATGTCATCTAAAAATCATGGCCTCGTCGATCTCAGTTTTCAGTAATGCAGCTGGAATGATGCTTCTGCAAATTGAAGTAAACCTTGTGTAGGTTCCAGGTGGCACATCCTTGGAAGTCCACATCTGTACATAGCCCCTTACATTGGTCACCAGAAGTCCAGCTTCCACGCCTCACCACCAGATTTTTACATCGATGTCAGGTGTCGGCCTTTCTCTCAAAGCTCCGCCCCCCTTCACTTGGAGCAAAAGCCAAGGTTCTCCTGGATCCCTGCTGGTACCCGTGGCTCGTGCGTCTCCCAGTTCATCCCGCTGTCTGTCTCCCCATTCCGTCCCGTCTTCCTCGCATCCCCCAGGCTTCCCCAAGGAGGCTGGCTTTGCCTGGCCGCGGTTTCTGCGGAGCACTTACCGCCAGCCGCTCTCCTCTCTGCGGCCCCAGGCCTGCCCTTGTTGCGGTGTTAGTTTCCTGCACCCACCCGGACCTGAGCTCCATGGGATCTGGTCTTGAAAGGCTGCCTGAACTTAGACAAGAAAGGAAGGACTTACGGCCCGAGGATGAGGGTTGGGCTTGGCTTGGAGGTCGAGCAAGGCTCCGTAGCGCAGATAGGGTGGTGGGGCAGCAGGCGGGACGACAGGTTTCTGTGTGTGTGACCCCACCGGGTCTGTCGTGGGACAGTGGGATCTGTGGGTCCGCGGGGGGCAGGGGGCCAGCTTGTCTTCCCAGTGTTTCTTGTGACCCCAGAGTGCACCTGCTGCGGGGGGGAGGGTGTCCCAGGCCAGACTACCCACGAAGCACAGGGCTGCTGGCGGGCAGGTCTGTGGTCCCCGTGGGCAGGAGACGTGGCGTCACGATTTCTCAAGCACCATTGTGTATAGGAAGACCCCTGCCCTGCCTTTGCAGCGCCACCTGGTGCAGGCCCCACTGGCAGGTGGGGACGTGAGCCCTGTGGGCTCAGGTGTGTGCTGGGGCCTGTGGGCAGGGGCTGCTGTTCCCAGGGCATGGCCGCCATGGGGTGTCCCCAGTGCTGTGTTCCTGGTGAGCCAGGCGTGTCCTCAGTCTGCCCACCTACAGATAAAGGACTGCAGCGAGATAAGATTAGTCTTTGAACTTGGGCTGTGGACCACCTCCGCCCTTGTCCTTGAGAAATACATTCTGGACTTCTGAGTTTCCCATTTACACGCACGCACGTTAGAAAATGTTGTTGATTGTGGTTGTTAAACCTTTCATTTTGAGACACTGTGGACTCGCACAGAACTGAAACAGCGCAGGGTGCCTCTGGGTCCTTTCTCGCTTCCCAGGGCGAGCGTCTTGCAATGCTGTGGTGCAGCTTCACTCCCAGGATGTTGGTGGCCGTCGAGATCCAGCATATTTTGTCTCCGTAAGAACCTTTTTATCCCCTCCCACCTCCTTCACCTCCGACTACCCCTAATCTGTCCCTGGATCCTGTGATTTTGTCATCTCGAGACTGAGCCGAAAGCGGCATGCGGTGTGTGTCCCTGGGGCCCGTCTGCGCAGTGTGGCTCCAGGGGGTTCCTGCAGGTTGGTGCCCCCCTGGGGTGCGCCGGGTATGATCAGTGACCACGGGAGGAGGCAGGCGTCTCCAGTGTGGGGTGAGTAAGAGTGAAGTGGCTGTGCACTTCCCCGGCTGGGTTTTGTTTGCTCACAATTCCCCATTTCTGGGGAGTGGCCAGGAGTGTAACTGCTGGCTGTAGGGGAGCTGTTTTTAAGAAGTTGCTGAACTTTCACAGCCCCACCAGCAGTGTGAGCCAGCTTCTCACTTCCCCACCAGGATTTGGTGGTGTCGTTTTTTTCCATTTTCACCTTCTGGCAGGTGGTATGGCTTTGTGATTTTAATCTGCGTTTATTTAATGGCTGAGGGGTTAAGCCCTTCCTCGTGTTGTCTCCTGTAGGTTCTCTGACACTGGGGGAGTGCCCAGTGGGTGGACGTTTCTACGTGGCCTTCACCCTGGGGGGAGGCTGCAGGAGTGCCCTGATACCGCTGGGCCAGGTGGACAGAGGCCATGGCCTTTTCCATTGCGCTGGACAGAGTGGAGCAGTGTTAGCCGCTCCTCTGCTCTGACTTGTGTCTGTTACTCTGCCCCATTCCCTGTGTCCTGGCTGCAGAGAGCGGCTTTGTGTGATTTTTGTTTCCCTGGCACGGGTGTTTCTGGCAGCCGACTTTCAGCCCCAAGTCTAGGATCAGGATCTGTGAGGCAGATGGAGACAGGAGACCCAGCCTGGGTCTTTCCCGGGCCCTGTGGTCCCAGACCTGTCTGTCTTCTTGTCCCTGCCTGCCTGTCTCCTGTTTGTTTCTGTCGCGTGTGCAGGGAGTTCTTGCACAGAGCCAGTACAGCGGGGGGAAGCATATCTCCCCGGCTTCCTGGACACGCCTCCTGCTGGCTTCTCGTGTCTTTCTTTGCGGCAGGAACTCTGAAGGGCCAGAGCAGCCTGCGTCCCTGCGGACTGGCCCCCTCCCCCGCACGCTGGGCCAGGCCTCAGCCCACCATGGCGCAGGCTGCATGTTTATGGCTGTGAAGGACAGGCCAGGGGTTCCAGTATGACGGCATCTGCAGGATCTTGGTCTTTCTGTCACCTGAGGTCTCATTTGCAAATGAGAGGCAAGGCCAGTCCACGACGAGAAACGCAGGACGTCTGCCCGGTCGCTCCCCTCCAGATCCGATTTACCCACCTCCATGTTGCACTTTTGGGAAACCTGGTCAGAGTTGGGGGGCGGCCAGATGACTCATTGTGATGTCCTCGCCGTCCTCGGAGCCGGGATCCCTGCTGAAGCCAAGGCGGGGTGCGAGCCCCTGCTGCTCAGAGCCGGTGGGGGGCGCCTGCTGAGGGCCGGCTCCTGCCCCCCTTTGCCCACTGCTCCTGGCATCGCCCACGGAGTGGGCTCGTGGGGGCCCAGGGGAAAGCCATCTCGGGAGAGGTCGGGAGCTCCCTGCTTCAGCTGCTGTGGGGCCTTGAGTCCAGCCGGCTTCAGTTTCCTCTCCTGACACCCACTTGATTAGACTCCAGAAAGGATGGGCTGAGCAAATGCCCGGGAATGCCCAGCGGATTCCTCGAGACCCAGAGTCGGCAGGCCGAGGTGTCTGCTGTGTCAGGTGACACAGGTCAGCTGCCTGCGTGTTGCTGCAGGGCCACCCTCTGGGGCTGCTTATCACCCCTGCCTCTGCAGAGAGCCTCCGCCCCTCCTTTTGCCCCAGACTCCATCACCTCCCTGGCTGGTTCTTCCCGCGACAGGGGCTGGCTGGGGTGTCCTGCACTCTTTGGAGTAACGGGGTACTTCTCCCGTCTCCCAGGAGGCCATTGGTATGAAAGGATGTCAGCAACATTCTTATTTCAAATAGGACTTGTAAAGCCTTTTTGGCGGGGTGGGGGGCATCCTTACACGTCATTTTTTCTTATCTCCACGCGGGCACAGTGGACGGTAGGGGCAGTGTGCCCCTCTGTGTCTCTCTTTTCCCCTCCAGCGTGCAGAACGTGGTGCCCCTGGTGCCAGGAGTCCCCCTGCTCCGTTCCCGCTTGCTCGTCCTCTCCCGTGGCCATGGTTGGGTGTGCCCAGCATAGCCTGCTCCGGGACTGCCGTGGACATTCCTATGTACGTCTTGCTGAGGAGGAAACAGGCTCATGTTTCTGTGGGTGCGTTGCTGAGGCAGAGGGTGAATGGACGTTGGTTGGGCAAGACTTTTCCAGAGCGGTTGCACAGAATTTGCATTCCTGCTGCTTCACACCCTCGCCAGCACAGGTCCTGGCCTCTGTGCTGGTGTGGGCTCACCAGGAAACTCTGCCCTTGAGTGTTTTTTCGTGTCTTGTCATCTGTGAAGTAACTGTTCAGGTCTTCCTTCTGTCCGCTTTCCTGTTTGCTGGTCTGCTCTGTTCTTGCTACACATGCCTGAGAATTCCCTTCTGTCTGCCGCCCTCCTGGCCCGCCTCAGAGGTCCGTCCTCGGTGCTGTCCTTTCTGTTGCTCTCTTGTCTTCCCAGGGCCAAGGTCTAGGGGTGCTTTGACTCTGGGATTTGTGGGTTTCCATCTTAGCACCCCATTGTTTGGCTGTGCTCTTCCATAGGTGCTGAGTCTGCTTATCCCTCATGCACCTGGCCTCTCCTCCCAAGTTCACTGTGTTACGTACTTTTAGTTTGCATTTATCTTTGAAATTTAGTTATGTGAGCTGTTTCTCACACGTTTGCTTGAAAAATACAGTGTATCTTTTGGTTTCGGAAATCTTTCTTGTGTTGAGGCCTGATTTTGGGTCTAGTTCTGTCTGCTTAGGAGCTATGGTATTGGCTTCAGTCCAAACACAGGCCCCGCTCGTACAGCTCGGAGCTTCCTGCCTGCTCAGGGCGGGCAGGGACAGGCAGCAGGAGACAGCTCACCTCTCTCCTGGGTCTGCTGTTCCCTCAGCCTCCAGCCTCGGGATCGACTGGAAAGTGCTGTCTGGGATCCCTCTGGCAGAGCCACCGCAAGTCCTTTCCTCCTGAAGCTGCCCACCCTCACACCTCCATCCCCTGATGTCCCCCCACCCCCAAGACCCCACCCTCACACCTGGTCTTTGGAGCAGCTGAGGAATGTGGATTCGGGCTGAAAGGAGTTAGAGCAGATCAGCAGGAAGCTGAGATTTGTTGGCTTTTTTGGGTGGGAGTCTTCTGGCCTGAGAGCTGGCCTGGTGGCCCCAGAACGGCTCAGGAAGGTGCTGTCCTCGGGAGCGCCCGCCTTGGGTGAGGTCAGGTAACACCTGAGGTCAGGACACAGAGCCTGAAGTAGCTCCGGCTTGTGGGGTCAGCCATGACTGGCCCTCTTGCAGACGAGTGGGGGTGGGGGGGGTCCAGGAGGGGCAGCCATGTGCGCACACACGGCCTCCTGCCTGCACTGCACCCGGTGCGCTGGCCCCTTTGATCCATAGCAGCCTATCAGGGAGCTCTGGCCACCCCTTTTCCAGAAGGGAAGCAATGCAGTAGGCCCAGCCAGCCCTGCCCAGTGGGAGTCAGACCTGAGTCTATCTCCACAAACCAGAACCAGAAAGGCTGTAAAAAAAGGGGGAAAATCAGGTTCTTGGACATTTTTCTCTTGGCCAGTGTTTATTCCCTGCGGCAGCAGCCAGTTTGAAGAGAGGATGTCATTTGTCGCTTGCTTTCTGAGCTCACTGTCCACTGTTGCCCAGTGGAGCCCATTACCACGAGCTGAAGCGCCCCCTCAGGCACGTGGAGGGGGTGCCCACGATCCTCCCCAGCGACCTGTCTGAGTCCTGGAGTGATGAGAGGCTTCATCTCCTGGTGGTCATCTTGGGAGCAGTCAAAGCAAAAGCAAAAATGGAATCTCATTGTTCTCGTCTGTAAATACCCTGTTGCATCACTCCCAGTGTGATCCCCGAGTTATGCAAACTATTTTTCTGCAACTGTGTTTACTGTGCTGATAAAAATGTTCAAATATTAAAACTCACTTTGGGGTGAGTAATGGAGTTGTTTGCCGAGATTTTATAGGCAGACGGCTGCTGCTGAGAATTCTGTAAGCACCAACACCTTGGCACCTGCCAGCTCCCCCCGCCTCCCCTGACCCCTCTGTGCACAGCCCCCTCGGCCAAGCTCACCCAGCCTGCCTTGTCTCTGTGGCCTTTCGGTGTCTGAAATAGTTTTCTTGTTTCTCTCTTGCTGGGTCATTCTGTGTGAGCAGGAACCTTGCCCGTGCGGGTCCTTGAGCCCCCGGCGAGCAGGTGGGCCTCACATGTCCTGAGTGTAGGCCGTTGACGTGCCCTTGTCAGAGCGGCCTGCCCACCTGCCATGGCTTCTGCGACTCTTCCGCCCGGCCCGCCGAGGCGAAGGTGTGACCCGTGCGGGTGTTTGTGATTTGTTCCTTCTTACCCCTCTGTGGCCGAGCTCTGTAGGCAGTTTATGGGACTCGGAAGAAATCATCTGTTGACGTAAGACACTGTTTCTGAACTTTCTGAGTCAGAAAGCTCATTTCATAATTTAAATTGGGGGTTCCTGATGTAAAGCTCTGAGATAGGAGAGAGTCCAGAAGTAAGGTCACGCCCTCTCCGGGTGAGCCCGGGGTGGGGTGAGGGGCAGACGCATCCTAATGCTGTGGGGGACACGTGCCGCCCAGGGGTCCTTGGCAAAGCTGGGAACGGGGCCTCTCGGCGCGTGCTCCAGGCGTGGCAGTGCAGACGCGGGCGCCCTGTGCAAGACTCTGCTGTGGCTGTTTGACACGGAAGGATTTTCAACAGCCTGGAATGTTCGCGGCCAGGGAGCGGGCCGGGTTTCCACATGGTGGCGCTTCCAAACTGCGGAGCCTCAGGGGCAGCGTGTGGCTGCCCCACCTTTACTGATTGTTTTTGTAACCATCTTAGGGCAGGGGGCTCTCAGGAGGGAGGGACACACGTGAAAGCCGGACTTCGGACTGTCCCTTTGTGCATTTCACTTTGGATCCCGGTAGCTATTTTGTGTCACTATTGACAGGTTGTGACTTCTTAATTTTTGACAGACGTCAACATTTCATCGAACAGGTTTCCAGGGGGTACCTCCTCTCGGTACCTGAGGGGACCCTTCTGCCGCAGCTGTGTTGACGCTTGAACATCATCTTTTAAGACTTTGCCAGCCCGCTGGGTGGGAGATGGCACAGCGGCCAGGCAGCCTCTCATTCAGTAGCCTCTCATTCATTTCTGTTTCTTCTGTGAAATGCAAGTTTGTAAGCTTTTTTATAAAACCCAAGCTTTTCACTGTCAGGTCGTGACCCGTTTCCATGACACCGTCGGGCCCTGGCCTCTGGCCGGTCGTTGGTCTGCTGGAGTGTGCGTGGGACGCGGTCCTGGCGACGTGGCTGCTCCCGCTGCTCAGTGCTGAGCACAGCCGCGGGCACTCGGGGGGCATCGCACTGTTCTCCTTTTAGAAAAATGTCCCGTGGCGCATGCTGTGTCCCGGCGCTGGACAGCGCGCGCCCCTGGGCTTGCTGTGGATGTGTGAGCTCATCTGATTTTGGGCTTGAGGCTGGCCTGGGCTTTTAGTGACCCGTGATAACCGTTCTTACGTTCTGTTCCACTGACTGAGTGAAACGGTAACTTTTGTTTTAGAAACTGTGGTGAAGTCGGTTTCCGGGAGTCCCGGGGCTTCTTGCAGCCTGCTGTGTCTCTTTCCAGGTCATCACCCCGTGCAGGAGACTCATCCTCTGTGCTGACAACAGAAAGGAGATGGAAGACTGGATCGCAGCCCTGAAGACCGTTCAGAACAGGGAGCATTTTGAGGTGAAGGAGCGCCCTGCCCATGGTCCCAGGCGTCTGCCCTCCCACTCCGAGTGCCTGCCCCGGCGCCGACCTTGGCACGTCTGTGACCGAAGGCTCGTGCTCGTCCTCCCCACGCGCCCACAGACTCAGCCCTGGCTGCCCCTCTCCTGGACACTTTCCTGCGTCCTGTCCAGGTCCCATGTCGGAGTAGGGGGGGCTCACCTTTGCCCCGTCTCCTCTGCAGCCCACCCAGTACAGCATGGACCACTTCTCAGGGACGCACAACTGGTACGCCTGCTCCCATGCTAGGCCCACCTACTGCAACGTGTGTCGAGAGGCGCTGTCGGGGGTCACGTCCCACGGGCTGTCCTGTGAAGGTGCGGAGGACCCTTCCTGCTGGGGGCGGTAGCCCAAGCAGGTGGAGGGTGCACGGAATCCAGACACCTCAGACGCCTGTGGCTCCATCCTACTTCCCTTCCCTCCCGAGGAGCCCTTTGATAAGGCGAAGTAAAACGGGGGATGGTCTAAGGAGAAACGAAGAGGAAACGGGGAGGAGAGACCGGACAGGGCCTGTCAGCCCCTCTGGTTATTCCCGCTCTCTGGATGGGGGGTGGGTGGCCTCGTGGGTCAGACACCTCTCCCGGGCGGGGCCAGAGGGCCGGGTGACCGGCGCTGCCTCTGAGGCGCAGCTGTGCCCCTGCCCACCTGCCCCACCTGCTGTCTGGGCATAGTAGCCCGCGGATTTCAGAACAGTTTTCACATTTATAACTGGTTGGACAAATCAGAAGAAAATGACTGTTTTGAGACACAGAAAACCGTGGGACATGTCGGGTGGGATCCTATCAAGAGGTGTGGGCCTGGCTGCTCCTGCTCAGCCAGTGGTTGGGAGGGAGGAGGGAGGCCTGCTTGGCCCCCGAAGCCCTCTGGTCACTCAGGCCCCTTCCAAAAAGCCGGGTATCCCTGCTCTCGGCACCTTGTCTCCCTTCTAGCCGCTGCATTCAGGGGCTGAGCTCCTTACCAGCGAGGGCCTCTCCTCTCCGACTCCCCCAAAACCCAGGGCCCTCACTGGCCTGCTCTCGGCACAAGCCATGAAGGTCCCTGTGCCCCTCCCCCCACAGTGTGCAAGTTCAAGGCCCACAAGCGGTGCGCCGTGCGTGCCAACAACGACTGCAAGTGGACCACGTTGGCCTCTATCGGCAAGGACATCATCGAGGATGAGGATGGGGTGCGCATATGGCCCCTCCCTGTGCTGGCGGGGAGCTGCCCTGACCCCTGTTCAAATCCCAGGAGGTTTTCACTTGCGTTCTTCCCCCAAGTATTTGTGCCAGGCTGCCCCCCGCCACCCCGAGGCCGGCTGGGGTCCCACCCTCAGCTGTGGGTGTGGAGAGGGCTGTATTGGTTGGGTTCGTCCCGAGCATTTTTGCCTGCGGGCTGGGGGCGTGTGTGCGCCTGCCGGCCACAGCCCCTCTCTGCCTGGCTCGCAGATCTCCATGCCCCACCAGTGGCTGGAAGGGAACCTGCCTGTGAGTGCCAAGTGCACTGTGTGTGACAAGACCTGCGGCAGCGTGCTGCGCCTGCAGGACTGGCGCTGCCTCTGGTGCAAGGCCATGGTGAGTGCGCCCGGCGCCCGTGGGCTCCCTCCCAGCTGGCCTGCTTGCCCTGTGCCTGCGGCTTCTCCCTCCTGCAGGGAGAGGCCGTCACCCTGGTGGGGCCTGCATTCTCTTTCAGGTGCACACGTCCTGTAAAGACTCCTTGGTGACCAAGTGCCCGCTGGGCCTGTGCAAGGTGTCGGTCATCCCTCCCACCGCTCTCAACAGCATTGATTCCGACGGTGGGTGTCCCCTCCATGCACACTCTCCTCCCCCACTCCAGGGTGGGTGATGCTGGTGATTTTGAGGTGGGGGGCAGAGTTGTGTGCCCAGATCCAAGGCGTTGAGCACACTTAGGACTTGGAGGTGATAGATGTGGTTGGCTCTTGAGCAGAAGCTGACCATGGAACTTCTGCTCTTCAGCATCTGGTCTGCACCTGGTGACAGGTGCCAACCAGCACCATTGTGTACCTGTGCACACCTGTCCAGGCGCCTTTAAATTCATGTTTGAACATGTGTCGCTGGAAAGGTGGGAGACCGGGGTGCGGGTCTCAAGAATTCCACTCTCCAGATGGAGTGTGTTGGGAAGTGGGGTCCTTGCAAGATTCAGCACCTGTCATGTGCAGTCAGGCTGGGGGGCCCCTCCCCCTCAGGCAGTGTGCGGTACAGACTGTGATTCGAGCTGGTTGACTGGGGGACGGTGAGAGGGTGTTAGCATTCGACCGAGTGCTGGTGTATCTTGCCTTCAGGCTTTCCTGTCCTTTTCCATCTCACACCCAGGCTTCTGGAAAGCCACGTGCCCTCCGTCCTGCACGAGCCCACTGCTGGTCTTCGTCAATTCCAAGAGTGGGGACAACCAGGGGGTGAAGTTCCTCAGAAGATTCAAGCAGCTGCTGAACCCCGCCCAGGTCTTCGACCTCATGAATGGAGGCCCGCACCTTGGGTAGGGCACACGCGTCTCTCCTGGCATGTTCACATGATGCGCACTAATGCGTTAAAGAAACAGGGCATTAGAGTTGCCCGACACGTCTCCTCCTGAGTCCAGTCGCAGAGGTGCCCCTGGCAGGGCTGGCCAAGGGGTGTGTCCTGCAGCTTCTGGGTGTGTCTAGGTCACGCACACACCTCGCCAGCTTGGGTCCTGGGTCCTGGGTCCTAGTGTGCATCTGGCTTTCTGAGGTCAGTAGTTGCAGACATGCCTCCTGTTTCTTGTGCTGAATGTTGAGGTGGGAGCTTTGTCCTCAGTTTGCAGGTCTCAGGGACATGTGGGTCTTGGGTGAGGCTACCCCTCTCCTTATCTGCAGCTGGGGGTCTGAGATATGTTTCCTCCAGTTCTGTACCTTCTGCGGGTTTGTGAGTTGCACGTCAGCAGAGGGCCCTCTTGCTTGGAACGTAGTTCACGGTGGGGCAGCGGGAGGGACTGCAGGCTGCTCTTCCCGTGTGCTTATGGGGCTGCTTCTAGAGAGCATGTTGGGTTTGGAGCAGGTGCTGCTGGGACATGAACTGGGGCACCAGTGAGGAGCTGAGCAAACCCTGCTCCTACGGGTGCTGCTTCGCCCCACTCACAGCAGCTGTGGAGGAAGTCACATGGCGCCTGTGGTCTGTTCTGCAAATGAGCAGTGTTCTGCAGATGCTGCAGATGGACGCAGGGTGTGTCCAGCCCAAGTGATGCAAGAATCACCTCATAAAGCGCAGTCAGCCCCATGGGGGAAGCGTCCCCCAGGCACCAGCCGTTAGCCTGTGAGCTGCACAGTGGGCTTAAGAGGGGTGGTCTCGAACCCCCCAGCTGGTGTGGGTGTGCTGTGCGTGCAGACGAGGCCCCTCGAGGTGCTGTTGGCGTTGGCTCAGGACATCCCATTTCTGGAAGCATCCCTGATCTCAGGGGTTTGTAGCAAAGCTTACACGAATCTCCTCCTCTTCAGAGAGCGGGGGTCAGAGAGGTCAGTGTTCTTGAAGAAGCACACAGGCCAGAATGCCACCTGCTTACACCTGAGGCTGGTGCCGGGGCTGTCCCTGGAGGTCAGTGGGGCCTGGCTCAGGTGCTGATGGCCAGGTTCTGCTTGTAGGGGGCAGGTCAGACAGAGGTCAAGGTCGAGGATGGGTGGCTTCTCACAGGGAAGGATGGTGTGCAGGATTTTCGGGAGCCTGGAGGAGGGGCTCACAAATCAGATCGGGGCTCCTGGGGCTCAGCTCCTGGCGCTTGAGGAGAGGGCGTTTCCATGTGTGTTCAGAGGTGGGAACACTGGGCAGAAGGTGGGCAGCTGCTGGCCAGGGAGACAGAGGGAGTGCCTTCCCTGGGGACAAGGGGCCACCTTCTCAAAGCTGGACACTGGCTAAGACCTTAGGAAGCTCCTGCTGGTAGCGTGAGTTGGGACTTTCCGAAGAAAGTGTCAAGTGGGCTGCAGCCTCTTTCTTGTAGGGGCTATGAGGGCGGCATCTAGGCCAGCACTTGGGGGTTCCAGGTCTGGCCTAGTAACCAGTTTGAGGGTGGCACTGCCAGTCTCCTGGGGAGGAGACCCAGGATGAGGTGGCACCCGGGCCCTGTGAGCACCAGCACTGTCTCAGGAATGCGGGGTGTTGGCCAGGCTGCTGCGTCTCCGTGGCCCCTGAAGCCAAAATGCGGAAACGCCGCTCAGGGAGAGGGTGAGGAGCGGGCGGAAGGCCACGGGCGAAGGCCACGGGGGTCCCAAGGGAGACTGAGTGACCGGGAGGCATGTGGGGAGGATGTGGGAGTGAGTGCCTCGGGAGAGGGTATGTGTCCATCCTGTGTGGAGGGACAAGCAGGGTGTGGACAGCACCCAGCACCTGGAGCTGCTGGGCCGTGCCAGGGCTGCCTGAGTGTGGGGCCTGGTGGGAGGCATTGCCCTCAGGCTGGCGAAACCAGCAGACTGGGCCTGGGCACCTCAGAGATCTGGCCTCCTAGCAGCTGTGCCCAGGAGGGAGTAGGCAGGGTCAGCCGTGAGGAGTACAGACGGGCCTGGCCATCAGTGGTCCTTGAGAAGGTATTTTCTTGGCCAACGTTGTCTTTCCTCTGCAGCTTACGCCTGTTCCAGAAGTTCGACACCTTCCGGATTCTGGTTTGTGGTGGGGATGGCAGTGTTGGCTGGGTCCTCTCTGAAATTGACAGCCTGAACCTTCACAAGCAGGTACTGGGGTGTGGGGTCCTGGGCCATGGGGAGTACTGCCCGTCAGGATTGTGGTTTCCTTGTCCCTGGGAATCCTCGTCCCCTGGAGTTCCCCCCTCCCCTACCCTGAGGACCAGTTGGGGATTGTAGGGAAGAGCAGGTGGCTCGATGGCGTCGTGGGGCCCAGAGGCTCCTAAGTGAAGGGAGCTAAAAAAGAGCTTTCCAGAACCAAGGGTTCTGGTGGGAAGCTGGTCTCATGGGGGCTTCCCTCCTGCTTGCACCCCTGCCAACTCTTCGTGGGGTGACCATAGAAGCCACTGCCTGGCGCCTCCTGCTTTGGGGAGGGACAGAAATGGATTTGCACCTCAAGGGGTCTATTAGGGTCTATTTGACTCAGTCCTTGTATTGTAAGATAATTTCCTGGTCATTTAAAAAGTAATCATTGAATTTTTTCACTCCCCCCATGGATTGCTGTCACTGTTTAGACCCTCACTGTCATATGCGCGTGGGGTAACGCACCACATGGCTTTCATTTCACGACCTCGTCCACCACGTGACTCTTGGTCCTGCTAGTCCATGGTGGACTCGTCCGGAGCCAGTGTGGGTGGGTGCGGGTGGTGCCTCCTGTGGGCTGCACGGTCCTTGTGCCTCGAGGTCCCCCGCAGGCTGTCCCCGGAAGCCCGGCACACCCTGACGCTGCCTCTGGGGCTCCCCATTGAAGTGGCGAATGTGCCAACTGCTCCCCGCAGCTGTGCTGATGGACCTTTCTGATGTGGCGTAAAACTCCTCCCCCTACTCTGTCCATTTTGTTCTTTACTTCAGGCCCATGTATGTGGGCCCCAAAAAGTATGTTTTATTTTTATTTAGCTACTGGTGAGGTCAAGCATCCCAGTTAACTTTGAACTTTTAAGTGAATCTCTTGGGCATATTTTTTCGGCCGGTCTTTTTAGGGTACTATTTTTTCTTCCAAAACCCTCAGCCTGACCTGAGTCTGGTTTCCAGAGAGTTCATTCTCTCTCCAAGCCCTGTTAGTGGCAGTGGACACAGTAGGTGGGGTGGACGCCCTGTTGTCCCGCTCTGGGCAGGGGTGAGGTGGCGGGTGGCGGGGCTGAAGGGCCCCTGTGCTCAGGAGGGTGTGCACTGCCCCCTAGTGGCGAGACCGAGCAGGACACTGAGTTCTGGTACAGGTTTTGTTGCCTCTAGGATTATTCACAAGCTCCTTATCACCTGCTGCTGAGCTCAGGGAGGTTTCTCTCCTTTGGCTTTCTGTGGCACCAGGTCTGCTGGCTGCCCCTTCCTCCTCCCCCCCCCCAACCATGCCAGGGCCCCCCTCTTTGTCACATTCTTCCTCCAGCCCTCTTAGACTGGCTTTTGCTGCCATCTCTATCTGGGGACCCCTGCGAGGTCTCTTTGAGCCGTGGGACAGAGGTGTGGCTGCCCCTGGCCTCTCCTCAATGCCTCCAGGCCCTGCGGCCTGGCCTTTCCAGCACTGAGTGCACTGCTCAGCTCCCTGCCCATTGCCCCACCCGCCCAGTTGTCCAACAGAGATACCTGCAGTTGTTCTTGGTGCTCCTCGGCCTCCCCCCCATTTCTGGTTAATTGTCCAGACCACACCGTGTGGCTGGCCCCGGCCTCTGTCCACTCCTTTTGGGACCCTTTCCTGTGGCAGCTCCACCTGTGCATCCCCTGCACGCCCGGCTGTCCTTGGCGGCTCCTGACTTTAGGATAAAGTCCAGACTTCATTACGTGGTTTGCCAGAGCCTCCACTTGGGCTCCTCCTGATGGGCCTGGCTTCCTCCCTCCGGACACCCTCCTTTCTGGGTGGTGGTGTGTCACAGCCCCACCTGCGGCCCTTTCCCCTTGGGCTCCAGGAGGCCAGCACTGGCTGCTCTCTGCCTGGACCCGGGCTTCGTGTCCTTGCCTCACCTGCGGGAGGTGGTGCTTTCTGCCCAGTATCCGCCTCGCTCTCCTGGCCTCCCTGCTGGCTGGGTGGGTGTCCCACGGAGATGCTGACCCTCCCCACAAACTCATGTTTGAGCCCTTGGGTGGCTAGATGGCGGGTGTCCCGGCAGCTGTCTTGCAAGGACAGGAAACCCCCCAGGACGTGTTGAGGGGAGTGAAACAACTCTAGTGACGGGTGACGGTTTGGGAAGATGGGCTCGGCTCCTTCGTGGGAAAGGGGTTGTCATGACTGGGGAGACGGGGGTTCGGGGTTTAGGACCAGGTGTGTGGCTGTGGGCCTGGAAGTGAGCAGGATTTTGGAGACGCAGATCAGAGAGTCCCAGAGGACTGATGGTCAAGATGTGGAGCAGATGCAAACCTGCCTGCGGGGGAAGGGCTGGGGCAGCAGGACAGTGGCCGGCTTGGGCTGTGAGATCCGCGCTGCGTTAGGTCAGCTCTCCGGCCCCTCTGCTGCTGCGTGGTGACCAGTGGTGGCTAATGCCATGCCTTCCCCTCTGCCCGTCAGTGCCAGCTGGGAGTGTTGCCCCTGGGCACTGGGAACGACCTAGCCCGTGTGCTGGGCTGGGGCTCGGCCTGCGATGACGACACCCAGCTCCCTCAGATCTTGGAGAAGCTGGAGAGAGCCAGTACCAAGATGCTGGACAGGTGAGTGGCCAGCACCCCCTGCACACTTCTGCCACAGCTCTCCTTGACCAGATGCTCCCGGCCCAAAGCCCTGGAGACCGGGGTCCCCCTGGAATCACTTGGAACATTTTGACTTGGCCAGGAGTTCCTTTTCTTGGCGGCAGTCTCTAACTTCTGATCAGGCTATGATAATGATAAACCCAAACAGGCCGGGTTCTGCGGGTGTCCAGGTCTCTGGGGCCACTAGAGAAGGTAGCCGTGCCACCTTTGGCCTCCTCTGATGACCGCCACAGGCCCTGTCCCTTGAGGACCAGCCTGACGCCCCGTGTTCTGTTCCCAGAAGGCTGCAGGTGGGCTGGGTATCAAGGTGCTTTGGCAGAGCTGCTCCTTGTTCTGGGCACACGTGTGCCAGCCTTGGAATATGCCTGCCGTGCAGCGTGAGGCTGTGCAGCAGGACCCTGCTCTGCCCGCTGCCCCAGCTGTTCTTCCCCTTGGAGGGAGGTGACTGCCTTTGGTGCTGGTCACTGCGGGGCCCCGGAGCTGGCTGCTGGTGGAGCATCCACCTGGGCCGCCGGGATGCAGCGTTGGGGGATGCCTGCCCCTCCCCAGCGAGCTGAGTGTCCTGTTAGTGGTGCTGCTTGTTGTCAGAGAGGAGCCAAACTGCGGGGCAGGGGCAAGGCAGAGAGAGGGCTGGCAGACGGGTGGCGTGGTCGGGAGATCCGGTCTCGGGTGGGAGGGTGCAGGGCCTGGTGGCAGCGCTGACTCAGCCACCTTGGTGTGTGCAGGTGGAGCGTCATGGCATACGAGACCAAGCTCCCTCGGCAGGCCTCGTCCTCCACCGTCACTGAAGATTTGAGCGAGGGCTCCGAGGTATTTCCCCTCCCCGTCCTTGGTGGTGAGCCACTCCTCGAGCCCCCCCCGCTGCAGGCGAGACCTGCCGAGGCAGACCAAGGCTGAGTGGAGACTGGTGGACTCTCGACGACCTCGTGGGCTTTGGGGTGGTCTGGGGCATCCTGGTGCTGCCCCAGGATTTGGGGTCCTTCCTGGTTTCTAGGTGCACACCGTTCTCTGCTCCTCAGCTACCCCTGCACGGGTATGTAGGGCAGGCCTGCAGGCCCCCTGCTGCCACCACCCCCTGGCTCTGGCTCTAGACCCCATTCCTCCGCGGTAGTGCCTGTTGCCCGCCCTACCTCCCCTGGTACCCTCAAGGCCCAGGGGTGAATCTGTGTTCTGTGGGTGTGTGGCCTGGCGCTGGGCACAGAGCTCGTCCTGCTGGGTGAGCCACCGTTGCTGAGCAGGAGGAGGGTCAAGGAAGTGGGCCGGGGTGGTGGTTGGCAAACGACAGCTCCCAGGCCCGCGAGCGGAGGCTGGTCCGTGTGCCCTGGGAGAGAGAGAGCCTGCCTGCAGAGGTCTGTACTGAGGCCTTCCAGCTGATCGAGTTCACTGACCACTCGCCAGGACCTGAGGAGAGGGGCAGGGGGACTGCGGAGGGCAGGGTCCATGTGGAGAGGAGGAGGAGGGTCTAGGGCTGTGGCTGGATCGAGCCACGTTCAGGCGCGGGAGTGGGGACGGCAGTTGCCAGCACTGAGTCCAGCTCAGGCTGGAGAGTGGGAGCTGCCCGAAAGGGCCGTCGAAGCTGGGTGCTGCTTTGAAATGCTCAGCTCCAGATAAGCGTGTGCGGCGGATGAGCGGGTTCTGGGGACACCTCAGGGCGTGGCAGTCCTGGAGGCCTCTCACAGCCCTTCAGGCCTAGATTGACAGCTGCCCCACTTGTTTGGGGTGGTTATAGGTGCAGCAAATTCTCTTCTACGAAGACTCGGTTGCCGCCCATCTTTCCAAGATCCTGACCTCCGACCAGCACTCGGTGGTGATCTCCTCGGCCAAGTGAGCGCCCAGCCGGGCCAGGGGTTCCCGCGTGGGCGGCCAGTGTCCAGCCAGGACTGGCTCTAGAAGTCTCCTTCTGCATTTCCTCCCGCAGAGTCCTCTGTGAGACCGTGAAGGACTTCGTGGCTCGGGTGGGGAAGGCCTACGAGAAGACGACGGAGAGCTCGGAGGAGTCGGAGGTCATGGCCAAGAAGGTCCGTGCCCTGGGCCCCGGGGCGAGGGGTCTGGACGCAGAGGCACCTGCTCCATTCCCTGTGTTTCCTGTGCAGTGTTCAGTCCTGAAGGAGAAGCTGGACTCACTCCTCAAGACCTTGGATGATGAGTCCCAGGCCACGTCCTCGCTGCCCACCCCGCCCCCCACCATTGCTGAGGAGGCGGAAGACGGGGATGGCGGGGGCGGAGGCTGCAGCGCCCCCGGGGACCGCGCCGTGGGCTCGGCCTGCCCGGCCCGACCTCAGATCTTCCGGCCCCGGGAGCAGCTCATGCTGAGAGCCAACAGCCTGAAGAAGGCCATCCGCCAGGTCATCGAGCACACGGAGAAAGGTAGCGGGGCTCGTGCGGCTGCGTGCGCCGGGCTCCGGCTCCCCTGAACTGGGTGACTGCAGACGGGACACCCTTGTGGGCCAGAGCCAGGCGGTCCGGTGACTTGCGGCCTGTCCAGTTTACTTCTGGACGCCTGACGCCTGGTTGCCTTCCCCCTGGGCACACACCGGGCTCTCATCTCCATGGTGCCCGTGATCATGTCTGATGCGACGCTGCTGCCCCATGGGCCCGGGGAGGGGTGCCTGGGGTTCCAGAGTGTGGAGGCAGGGTGGAGAGGGGCCCCGCTGGAGAGCATGTGCCTCTGGGCCCATGCTGGGGAACCAGCCCGAGGCTGGGGGACCTGCTCCCCGCAGGGTCTTCAGGTGGAAACTGTCAGGTGGCGGGCAGGGCCTGGCAGGAGCATGGTGTGTGGCCTTGTTGGGTTAGAGGTGGGGCTGCCCTGCCTGGCACTTGGGACTGAGGTGCAGTGAGGACACCCGGAGAGGAAGGCCCTGTATCAGGAGAGGCAGGCTCTGGGCTAGTGAGGTGGGTGCGGACCAGGCACGGTGCTGCCTGAGGGGCGGAGGCTGGTGAGCTGGCAGAGGCGATCGGAGACGCGTCCAGCCCATGGGGTCCAAGGCAGGACAGCTCCTCCGCCTGCTGTCCAGGTGGCCACAGCGGACCGTTGGTGAGACCAGCCTACACAGCAGTTAGGCCATGTAGGACGAAAGGCTCGCCCCCACTTTCTAGACTTGGTTTAACCAAGCTTCGAAGAGAATACTGAGAAACCACATTGACCCGTGAACCTTGTGGCCTCTAGTGCCCCAAGCTCCCCTCAGCAATCTCTTGTATTGGCTCTTTCTCGTGGCCCTGGAAATCATTTCTTACCCTTTCCACTCACTGCAGGCCCTGCCCAGCCTTGCCTTTCCACTCTGAGCCCCCGGCCCTGCTGCTTCCCTCAGTGAGGTCCTGGGCCTACGACCTTCCACCTCCACTGTCCCCCTTCTCTCGGCCTCCAGGGGCCCTCCTCCCTTCCCCTCCGCTCCCCCCTGTCCCCAGCCTCTCCATCCTCCCCTCCCCACCTGGGCACGAGCCCAGGCCGCGGTTGTCACGGTGTGCAGGCGCGCACCTCCTTGAGGACACGGGGAGGACGGCCCCTGCGGGTGGAGGCTCTGTGGGCAGGAGCCCCTGGTGCGCCTGTGGGTGAGATGCCCACCGCTCAGGGTCGCTCTGCCCTTGTAGCCGTCGATGAGCAGAACGCCCAGACCCAAGAACAGCAGGGCTTTGTCCTCGGCCTCGCGGAGTCAGCGGAGAAGAAAGACCTGAAGCCGGACGACAGAACGTGTGCCAGCGAGAGCTGTGGTGCTGCCAAGGCCAGGAGCCTCCGCAAAGGTAGCTCAGCCCGCGGCAGCGGAAGCCAGCTTGCGGGACGCCCCCTCCTGGTTGCTTTGGCCTCGTGGCCTTAGAGGCGCCTCGTGGAGGGCCTGTGTGCGGCTGCCTGGCAGGCCCTCAGGGCCTGGTAACTGGAGGGGTGTGCTCTCCTCAGCCCTCCCTGTGCACGCCCCCGCCCCGGGTGCCACCTCTGGCTGGTCACCTGCTGAGGGTCCCTTCTGTCCTGGAACAGACCCCTAGTACGTGCCCCCGACGTGGCGTGCTCCTCTGAGCCCGGCATGAACAAGCCGCCAGGCGGTGTCTTCACCATCTCTACGGCTCAGGACTCTGCCCATGCTTGGGCCCCCACAGTCCTGCCTGTGATTGGCGGTGCCCCCACCTCGGCCTGGGTTGCCCTCTACAGGGGGTCCAAGCTGTGTGGCCCTCCCTCCTGCTCAGCCTGGTCCCTCCCTCTCCTCCCAGCCCTGCGGCCCTTCCGCCTGCTCTTCTCTGGAGGCGCTGCTGTTTCTGCCATGTCCCCCTTGCAGCTTCCTCTCTGTTCGCAGTGGCCAAGGCCCCGTGTGAGAAGCTGATCGGCAAGGGGAGTTTGTCCTTGGGCAGCTCTGCCTCCCTCCCTCCCACGTCGGGAAGCCGTGACGGCCTGCCGGCGCTGAACACCAAGATCCTGTTCCCCAGTGAGTGTGGCCCAGCTGGCGGCGGGCGGGGCGCAGGCGGGTGCCCACCTGAGACCCAGAGGCCCCTCTGGACACTGGGTCTGGGGGATGGGTGGGACTGTTCTCTGCCCTCCTGGAGCTCAGGTCCTTGGAAAGAGACTGAACTGCCACGTCCTCTCGGGTATGAAAAGTGCCCACAAAAGAGCAGACGCACGTCGCCTCCCAGGGGCCTGGAAAGGTGTCGCGGGGGAGGCGGTCCTTGAGCGGGTTGGGTAGGCTGGTGGGGGACCCACTCTTTGCACCGTGATTGTGGGGGACAGCCAGCCCTGGGAGGGATGCCAAGCCGCCCTCCTCATTCACTTTTGGGCTGCCCCACGAAGTCAGGCAGCTCCTGTGACTTCTGGGGTGGTGGTGGTGGGGGGGTGTGGGTGTGTGGAGTGGCACGAAGGCTCAGAATTGCCCCCCTCAGCCATCTTCAGTGGATTGCAGGTCTCCTGGGTCTGCTCCCGCCAGCCATTTGGCAGTTTCTAGGCATATCTCAGTGGACTGACAGAACATTCCAGAAGCTCTTGGAAAATGAGGCCAATAGGACATATTTAGTCAGTCAGTGACAGAAAGCTTATTGGAGGAGGGATTGGTGGAGTGATGGAAGGCAGGATTCCGTCTGCCTTAGTGTTCATGACAGGTACATTTTAAATAAGTGCGGGTGCCATGAGGGTTCAGGCCCCCCGAGTGTTTCCTGATACTTAACTGCTTCCCCTGAATTCCGCCTTAAGATGCTGTGCAGTTGAGCTCTGTGAGCTTGTGCCTCCGACGTGGTTTCCTCTCCACTTGCTGGGAGCTGTCCGTAGAGCCGTTTCTTTAGCGCGTCTCTTCGGTACTGCTTTCCGCTTACTTTGTTCACGACTGTGGAATCACGATGCTGATTTCTGGCCCCAGCGGGTCAGCAGAACCTGGACATGGTTGCGCCGTTTCACTTGATGGCATCACGTACGGTTCAGTTGTCACAGCAGTGTCCCGCAGAGCATCGTCCGGCCCCGCAGACGCGTCTCCTCGCTGGTCCTGACCAGGTCTCCTCTCCTTTCAGCCGTGCGGGCCGGGATGTCCGGGTCCTTGCCTGGAGGCTCCGTCATCAGCCGCTTGTTAATTAACGCTGACCCCTTTAACTCGGAACCGGAGAACCTGTGAGTATCCAGGTGACCCGCGGCCTCTGTAAAGGGGATGCTGGCGCAGAGGTGTTTTGGGTTTTCCAGCGAGGTTCCGGACTGTCCACGAGGGTGTCCTTGTCCAGCTGGCATTGACTGATGAGGAAAACCTGGGACTCGGGAGGCCTCAGCTGACGCGTGTGGCTGCAGGGGGTGCCGGGCTCTGGTGGTCCCGCGTGAGGTGGTCTGCTGCTCTGAGGTCCTGGCGGGCCCAGCGGGGCTGTGGCTTCATGCTCGTCCTTTGTGTCACCTGCAGCGTCTGTGGCCGGCCAGTTGGCGCCTCTTGCCGCTGTGCCCTGGTTGTGCCACAGGTCTGTGGATTCCAGGTCCCCGCTGCCCTGGGCTTGGGCCCGGAGCAGGGCAGCCTGGTGCTCGGTGCTGCCTCCGTGGCGTCTGCAGCCTCAAGGACGTGAGTGCGAGTTCAGAGGAGTATGTTCTTGTGTGTGAGAGGCCTGTGTGGAGACAAACCACGCTTTGAAAGCCCATCCTTCTGGGTCTTTCTTTCTGCTGGCAGAGAGTCAGTTCTGCAGAGCTGGTGGCTAGGGGTTCAGAGTTGCCCACCACGTGCGTGGTGTGTAGCGGAGGCCTCGGGCCGGTGCCTTGCTGCCCTGGCCTTGCCTGCCCGTGCGCCCTTGGTCCACCTGGGGTGGTAGTCCCGGCCCACTGCATCATTTCTTCAGCAAGACCAGTACCCACCATCTTTCAGGAGCAGCACCCGCGGGCACTCCTGGACTTAATGTTCTGTTTGTCCCCGTCATCTCGTTAGCATGCAGACTGAGGGGGACCCCAAGATTTCCCAGGCCTGCACGCTCTGTAGGGGTTCTGCGACCCCCCATGTCAGGGCTCTCAGCGCGTGAGGTCTTCGATGGAACAGCGTGCACGGAGAGGGGAGAGGAGGAAGAGCACTTTCCCACTGAGACACGGCATGCCCGGAGTTCCCCGTCCCCTTGCCAAACAGGCTTGGCCCAGCGGAGGCTGAGGCCCTTGTGGTGGGAGCCACAGGAAAGGGGCAGGAGGGGCCGGGCAGGTCTGGAAGGAAGGGAGCAAAGTCAGCAAGGTGAAGGCTGCCGTTGTCAGCCCCCATGCGTCTCTCCGTGTCTCTGCTCTCCGTGTCTCCTGTCCCACGTCCCCGGCGAAGTCCACGCTGCAAAGCCAGCAGACTTCATCACCCGTTTCCGTGCCCCGCGCCTCCTCCAAGGCCTCTCGTCTGCTCCGGCTCCCCTCCCGCTCAGCTCCCCCTTCATTACGTGGGGCGCGGGCCATGGAACTCCCCTTTTAATGGAGAGTTCTCTCTATCAATCCCCCCCCTTGTTTCATTTTTCCCCATCTCTGTGGTGGCAAAGACCTGGGGTACAGCCTTAGGAGATAGTCTTTTTCTGGGGTTCCATTGGGTTCAAAAGAAATAATGATCAGTCACTGGGCATTGTCTGTGGGTGACCAGAGTCCCCACTTTCGTGACGATCTCCTCTCCATGACAGTCTGAGGTCCCCGAAGCCCCCCTCGGGGCCGAGGCTGTTGGTCTCTCTCCACCCCCCGCAGGGGGCCGTCCTGTACCTGGGAACCACTGCTGGTTCCCTGCCCCCAGAGTGGGGCGCTCATCGCTGAGGCTCCGGGGCTCTGCTCACTCTGCCCGCACTGGGCCTCCCCGCCCCTGCGCCCCCTCCGTCCACCCTGCTGCCCTTCCCTGGGCTGTTTTTCTGGGCCGGAGCCGCCTCTTTTCTACGACCTGTGAACACAGAACAGTTGCATCCCCAGCTCTGTGCTCGCTCAGCCCTTGGGTAGAGTAGATGTTCCCGAGGGGATCGGGCCAGGCCGCCACAGCCTCCCGCCCAGAGGGGCAGACGTGGGGCCGTGGAGTCGAGCGGAGTTCCTGTGGAGACCTCCCTCGGGTCAGGGACACGCTTGTTCATGCTGCTTCCTCCCTTTACCTACCCGCTCTGGAGGGGAGCCAGACACAGGAGCCCGCTGGGACCCCAGTGGCCCAGGAAAGGAGTCTGGATCCTGCAGTGGGGGGCGAGGGCGGGCGGGGGCAGTGGCAGCAGCAGGGCTCTGCTGGCCTGGCCAGAAGCTCAGTGAGCATCTTATAGCAGTGGGTGCGGGGGAGGGGCTGGGCAGACGTCTTCAGGTTTGCTTCGATGGGGTCTAAGGATGTTTGGGGGCATGTTCTGAGATTATTGTTGAGCGTGTGTGTCCGGGTGACGTGGTGCAGGGTCAGCATGGCTGGCGTGGTGAGGGCAGCGCGGCTGTCCGAGCCTCAAGTCACGCGTGGCCCAGCATCGGCCTCCTGGGGGCTTGTCCATGGGCGTGGGGCCCACTGTGCACAGCTCCAGGAGCGAAGCAGCCAGCAGGAGGCGGTGTGGCCCCACCATGGCGTGCGACCGGCCCCTGGGGGCGGGGAGTGCGGTGGTGAGCCCGCCCGAGCCAGAGCCGGGGCCCACGCAGACAGGCGAGGCCAGCGGACGGGGGCTGGCGGTGGAAGGGGGTGGGCTTTCTTTGGGGTCATGAGATGCTCTGAAACGACTGGTGACGGTTACCATTGTGCGTTTAAAAGTTAACTCTTGCGCGGTTAAAAGTTGTACGTTTTAAATCACTGCGTTGCGTACGTGGTGCGTAAGTCACGTCTTCATGAAAGCTGTTAGCAGAAAACCCCTAAGCGGCTGGCCCAGTCCTGCCTGCGGCAGCCTCGGGGACACAGCTACAGCCTGACCTCCCGCCCTTCGCAGCGAGCGCTACACGGAGCGGTGCGTCATGAACAACTACTTCGGCATCGGCTTGGACGCCAAGATCTCTCTGGACTTCAACAACAAGCGGGATGAGCACCCCGAGAAGTGCAGGTAGGTGTCGGCCTCCCGTCCATGGCCTGCTCCCCCTTTTTCCTTCCGCAGGGAGCGCTGCCCTCAGGAGTGGGGCACTGAGCAGGGTGCTGGGCAGGGGCATGGACCCCAAGCGCCTGCGCTGAGAATGCGGAGGGCTCGTGCAGGAGGCCAGCCTGGAGGAGGGGGCCATGCCTTAGTCTGCCAGGTGCGCTCTGGGAAGCCAATGCCTGGGGCCTGCTGTGGGGCAGGTGGCCGTGCGCTGAGACCTCGCTGTGTAGACTCCTGGGTGCCAGCCCGGTGTAGGCGGGTCTCCACGGGGTCCTGTGCCTTCACAGTAGGGCGGGCCCGCCTCCACGACACGCCCTCTGTGGCCACCCTGAGGACTTCCAGGGGATGTTCCCTTCTCCCCCGCACTCACCACCTGCTTGCTCCTCTGGGTCTGGGGTGGGATGGCGGAAAGGAAGGGGCTGCCCCGTATTGAGTAGAAGCTCCCCTCCTCCCCGGGAGGGACACAGCAGTGTAGCCCCAGTGTCTTCTGGAGGGCGAGAGGTCAGCTCCCACGTGGGAGGAGCCCCAGGGCGGGTCTGAAACACCCAGGGCAGTGGAGGGGAGGGAGTCCACCTGGGAAGTGCCTGAGCTCAGGGTGACTGGGGATTGCTGGGACGCTGGCTCCAGCTTGGCCTCGGAGCGCTCGGGTGCAAGGCAGGGTGGCCCTGCCACCGCACGTGGCGCTCGCTCAGGCTGTTTGTGTCGTGCCTTCGTGCAGATGCCGTCCAGGGCGGTGGGCGAGGAGGGGGCGGCTGCAGCCTGTGCAGGGCCCTGCCCCTGGCGTGATGCTGTCTTTGTACCAGGAGCTTGGGGCGGGGGAGGGATTGAGGGAGTCCCGCGCCTGCAGACCTGGCCCGAGGGGGCAGCGGGAGCCGTGCCAAGTTGCCTGCCTCTGATGGGAGACTCGCCACCTGTTGGACACAGCGGGGCAGGCTCGGTGCCCGTGAGGGGCACAATCAGCTGCTTCGCCTGAAATGACCAGGGTCCGCTGTGTCTTTCCGTGTGGACAGACCTGCAGACGTGGGCCGCTTGGCCGATGTCCCCGTGGTCTCTGCAAGCCAGAAAAGGAGCCAGGATTTAAAAAAATTCCATGAGGTTCTACGTCCTAATGTTTTGGCTCTGCAGAGTACAGTTACTTTCTGGGGAAGGTTGCTTTCTAGCACGAGGACCGTTCTCCACACGGGTGGCGCCCTCTGTGCTCCGTCGCCCTCCCTGCACTTGGGCCCGCAGAGAGCCGAGCCCCACCTCGGTCCCTGCTTCCGTCTCTAGGAGTCGAACCAAGAACATGATGTGGTACGGCGTGCTGGGGACCAAGGAGCTGCTGCACAGAACGTACAAGAACCTGGAGCAGAAGGTCCTGCTGGAGGTGAGCGGGCACCCGCACCCCACACTCCTCCTGGCCCAGGCGGCCTCCCCACCCCGTTGTGGGGGGAGGGGGAGGGGAGAGCCATTCATTGCTCTTCTCTGCCCGCCCTCTCTCCTCTGCTCAGTGTGACGGGCGGCCTATCCCGCTCCCCAGTCTCCAGGGAATTGCAGTCCTCAACATTCCCAGCTATGCTGGAGGCACCAACTTCTGGGGAGGCACCAAAGAAGACGATGTACGTGGGGGTGCCAGGCGGCGGGGGCGGGGCGGCCAGGGCAGCATCCCTCACGGAGCTTCAGCCGCACCTGGCGCGCTCCGGGTGCAGTCAGTGATGCACAGGGTGGGGGGGGGAGGGGCGAGCGGGAGTGTGGGTGCACTGGAGAATAGGACAGAGCGCCCCACGCGGAAGAGGGAGCTGAGCAGACTGGGTGTGGTGCAGAAACCGGGTCCAGCCCTGGCTGGGGTGGTCTAGGAAGGCTTCCGGGAGGAAGGGACGTCTCGACTGAGACCTGAACACCTTCAGGTTGCAGGTCAGGTGATGGGGGGGTGTGAGGGTGGTGTCCTGGGCAGAAGGAAGTAGTGTGACGGCAGGGTGCCAGTGGGTGCTGGGAAGCCAGCACTGGGTGGGGACACCGAGCCAGGGCTGGGGCTGGCGGGGCTCCCTCAGCACACAGCAGCTGTTGGAGGAGTTCAGCTGCCCCTCGCTGGACCTGTGCGGAGATCGTGCTGGGGCTGCACGTCCGTCAGCTAGGGGTGCCTTGGGGAGACTGCAGACGGAGGAGGGAGACCCGGGCACGTGCCCGCGAGCCGAGGCCTGGGGTCTCACCCCAGGGGCTGGCATCAGGATCAGTAACTTCAGGTGGGAGGCGGCCCCTGAGCAAGAAGGGGGCAGCCCTCGGAGGTGGGGGCGGCAGTCAGCTGTGACTCGGCCTTTCAGACCTTCACAGCGCCGTCCTTCGATGACAAGATCCTGGAGGTGGTGGCCGTGTTCGGCAGCATGCAGATGGCCGTGTCTCGCGTCATCAAGCTGCAGCATCACCGCATTGCCCAGGTACTGGCCACCAGGTGACCCTGGGGGTGGGAGGGGCTGGGCCTGTGTTCCCCTCGGTGAGCTCCCTCCACTGGTGTGCGCAGACAAGGAGGTGGGTGCTCCCTGGGGCCACCCGCGGCTGCTCAGGGTCACCCGCCGCGTCTGACAGCCGGCAGGTGTGCCTTCAAAGTCGGGCCACTTGTTCCCTCCTCAGCCCCGGCCCTGACTCTGTGGGTGTCGCCCTGTCCCCTGCTGAGATGGAGGGGGCCAGGCTGGGGCAGCAGCCTGAGCATGGGGAAGGCGGGTGTGTGTCCGGCCAGGAGAGGTGCTTGCGCCTGTCTTCTTGCCCCGCTGCGGGGGCGGGGCGGGCTGCGGTTGTGGGTTCTGGCGAGGGGTCGGGAAGGGGCCGTGTGCATGGGAGAGGGTGTGCTTCAGCCAGGAGACCGGGGGCGTGGAGCCTTCTCGTCCTCTCCTGCATCCGCCCCTGCCTGAGCTGCTGCGGAGCGTGAGCGGATTCCTCAGCCGGGCTTGGTTCCGAGCAGCAGGAACCGCTGGCCACGCACTGGGTGCCTGTCACGTGTGGCCCCAGCCCCGGGCCCTCAGTGGTCACGAGTTCCCACCGGGCCTGGCTCGTGTGATTCCAGATCCAGTGCTGGGTGCAGGAGGCTTGGGGGGCTGGGACAGGCCATGGGCACCGTGGGGTGCGGTGGCCGGCTGTGGGCGTGATCCCCATGTCAGCTGCACACGAGTGACCCTGTGTGCTGTCTGCTCAGTGTCGCACGGTGAAGATTTCCATCCTGGGGGACGAGGGCGTCCCTGTGCAGGTGGACGGGGAGGCCTGGATCCAGCCCCCGGGGTACATTCGGATCGTCCACAAGAACCGGGCGCAGACCCTCACCAGGGACAGGGTAAGGGCGGGTCCTTTGTGCGGGCACCTGTACCTGCACCCCTGCAGGAGGCTGGGGTCCAGGGTTTTTTATTCACCCATAAAGTGAATGGGGTAGTGAGTTCTGGGACCATTCTCCTGCCCAGCCCAGTGGGGTCTCTCCCTTTACCGCTGCTCGGCTGTCGGGGTGTCAGCCTGGGAGCGGGTGCTGGTCAGACCATGCGCCTCTCAGGAGGGTGCTGGCGTGTGACTCTGGGTGCTTTGCCCCAGGCCTTTGAGAACACCCTCAAGTCCTGGGAGGACAAGCAGAAGTGTGACCTGCCGCGCCCCCCGACCTTCTCCCTGCACCCGGAGATCCTGTCTGAGGAGGAGGCCACCCAGATGGAGCAGTTTGGGCAGGCGGCTGGCGCCCTCATCCACAGGTGGGTCCTGCAGCCAGCCTCCTGGGCGTGGCGAGTCCTCCGTCCGACCTGGTGTGCGGGCTGCCGCCTTGGGCTTGCGCAGCCCTGGCCTCACCCTGCTTGTCAGAGGCCGCGCGGCGCTTGTGTCAGGGCAGGGTAGACGCCACGTGTTCGGGACCCGCGGGGCATCCTGCCCGCCTGGCTTCCTGAGAGCTGCCACTCAGGTGCGGCACCTGTCCTGGGGAGCAGAGGCGACCTGGGGGCCCTGGGGCTCGGCCCCCACCCGTCCCTTCTCCTGGGCTCCTCACTCCCAGTGTCACCCCATGTGGTGACCTGTGCCTGGTAGCGCCACCTCCGCTGTCCCCTTCAGCCGCCTCAGCTCTGTCCCTCGTCCCTTCCCTGCCTCTGTTCTCCCAAGCCCGCCTGCCCGCTCTGGCATGGCTCTTGTCCTCCTGGCTTCCTCCTTCTCTGCCCCCTCCCTCCCACCACCCCAGCACCGCCCCCTGGGGCCCTCCAGGCGGTCCTTACCCCTTGCCTGGGCTCCTGCTCCGGGGTGGAGATTGGCAGCTCTCCTGGCCTTTGTGGCTCTGAGCGTCTACCCTGGCTCCACCCTCCCTGGGCAGGGGCCTGTGTGCTGACTCAGGCTCCTGCCCCATGTCTCTGCCCCCGTGGGCCCGACCAGCTCTCACCTACCTGGGCTGACAGCTTCACTTGCGTGGCTCCCGTTCCTACCCCGTCTCCTGTGCCGTCCTCACCTTGCAGCCTTGGGGCTGGCCTGGAGGGCTGTGCCATGGCCTTGTTCAGGGTTTCCAGGGTCAGGACAGGTGGCTCCACAGCTCGCCTACCCACCAGCCTCTGGCCTGCCACTCCCTCGGCCCTAGTGGCCCCCTCCGGTGGGGCAGCTGCTTGGGCTGTGCCCCCCCAGTCTGAGCCATTGGCTAAGCCAGCACTGTCCTTTCTAGACCGTGTGGAGCTGGCACTGTCCCCTTCCAGGGAGGGCCCGGGGCTCTGCATGGCATCTGGGGCCGCCGCTTGTCCTGTGTGAGGTCTGAGCCTTGTTGGGGGCGCTGCTCCTGGCCGAGTCCTGAGGTCTGAGCTCTCTGTGTGCCGGTCGGCACCTGATCGATCAGCGGGGCGAGCCTGTGTCGGGGGTCCTGTGCCAAGCAGTGGCCGGAGTCGGTGTGTGGGCTGCCCCTTCTGTGCTGACACGGCGTGTTTCTCTTCTCTCCAGTATCCGGGAGATCGCCCAGTCCCACCATGACATGGAGCAGGAACTGGCCCACGCCGTCAACGCCAGCTCTAAGTCCATGGACCGAGTGTACGGCCGGCCCCGGACCACGGAGGTGCCTGCGCCTTTCCAGTCTTGCTCCCCAGGCTGGTGGGACTGGGCGTCTCCTGCATGGTGTCTGCTCTGTTTCCTCCCAGGGACTCCACTGCAGCTTTGTCCTGGAGATGGTGAACAACATGAAGGCTCTGCGCAGCGAGACGGAGCTGCTGCTGGCAGGCAGGGTGGCCCTGGTAAGCGGCACCCTCCCAGCCGGGCCCTCGCGGGTCAGACTCGGTGTTGCAGCTGGTCCGACTGGTTGGCGCTGGGCCCCTGGCCAGATGGACCCGCGCGGGGCTGCAGCCTGCGGGCCTGGGCTGAGTCTGCCCTGGGGGAGCTGCGTGGGCAGCAGGTGGAAGTGGCCTGGCCAAGCTTCTTGTGGCAAACGAGGACGTGGGGCGCCATGGGAAGAGGAGACTGGCAAGAGCACAGTGGCCTCTACCGCCCAGCCTGGTTTCTGGGCTCTCCGGTCAGCGATCCAGTGTTGGCCCCCAAGAGGTTGCACTGCTGGTGTGGCTGCCTCCCAGCACACCCTGCTCCCTGGTGTGGGTGGGCACGGCAGACCCCTTCCTAACGGGGGCCCAGGGTAAACTGAGGCTAGTGAAGTGTCAGCACCGCCAGCGTGATTTGCAGACAGGTGTGGTTCATCCCATTATTGACAAGGAGTTTGCTCTCCATTCACTGCTCAGAGGGGAGGCTGAGTCTGGTCCTCAGCCTGGCCAGAGCATCGCTCCTCGCTGTCTGAGACTCAGGGCCAGCGGGCAGTGATGGGCCCTGCACGGGGGAGCTCACTGCCTGGCTCCCCTCAGCTCTTAACCCGCCTTCCTCTCCCCCTGCCCGGTACAGCAGTTGGACCCGCCTCAGAAGGAGCGTCTTGGGGCCGCGCTGGCTGAGATGGACCGACAGCTCAGGAAGCTGGCGGACACGCCCTGGCTGGGCCAGTCCCTGGAGCCCGGTGAGGAAGAGGTATGTGGGCACCCCTGCATGGGCGCTGCTCTCGGCCCGGGGCCCCAGCTCTGTGAGCATGGGGCTAAGATGGCGTCAGGCTCGAAGACCTTGATCTGACGTCACAGGACTTTTCTCTCGAGACAGAGAGGCTTGGGCAGGTGGGAAGCAGATGGGAGATGGTGTGACGGGTTTGCCCCGGGGCATGGCTGAGGGTTTAGGGGAGTGGGTGAGGCCAGTCTATGCCCAGTCCTGCTATTGGCTGCACAGTGGTCACAGCAGTGGAGAAGCGGCAGCTTCTGGGAATTTGCTGCTGACCGGGACGGTGCCGGCGTGGCCTGCACCGGTCACTTTGTTTACGGGTATTGAGAGGCCCCGACTTGTCACATCGTCTCGCTGAGGCAGGCGGGGCCGGAGCTGTGGTCCCCCAGGAGACTCAGTGGTGGAGCAGGTGGGGCCTCTCGCAGTCCCGAGCCCTCGTGGCCGCGGGCTTAGAGGCCTTCCTGCCACGCAGCAGAGCTCGGCTGCTGAAAATGAGGACGTTTCAGCTGAAAGGCCAGGTCAGGCTCATTAAAATTGTTTAAATGGCTAATTATAAATGTAATGAAAACTTCACTGAAGAGAAAATAACGATACGCAAAATATTTAGCAGATAAAGCAGTAACGTGGCCCCGTAACTTCAGACTGCGTCCTCAGAGCGCGCGCAGGGCCGTGGGGCTGCAGGGCTGGGGCGCGGCGGGCACAGGCACAGTGGGCTCCCGCGCCCCTGCGGTGGGAGGAGGCGTCAGGATTGACTTTGAGAAAGGCGGCGGCGTCGCGCCTCTAGGGACCCAGCGTAAGTTCTGGTAGAAGCGGACACTGCAAAGAGGAAAACAAAGGACAGGCGGTCGTGAAAGAAGATAAAAGACTCGGAAAGGTGGAGCCAACAGCGTGAAAACAAGACCGCAGAGAAGCCTCCCCTGCTCAGTCTCGGGTCACGCGGGAAAGAAATCCTGCCGCGCCCTTGTCCCGTCCCACGCGCGCCGCGACGCTTAGGCGGAACCGTTACGAGAAACGAGATGGTCCAAGGAAGCGCAGCTGAAACACCCACATTGACAATACGAGCACGAAAATGGCATTCTAAACCCGCGACAATTAGTGAGAGAGATCGCGTGGTCAGATTTCCCAGTCGCGTTACCCACGGCTGGCAGCTGTAGAGCGTGGCGGCAGCTAGTAGGTGACGCAGGTGCTGCGAGATTTTTCTCATCTTTTTGTTGACTTTTAACTTAATTTCATTGTGTTCAGAGACAGTGTTTTTTTGTCTTGATCTTTCCGTTAGTGTTGACGGAGGCGGGGCGTTTTCTTTTATTTATGTCGCAGGAAGGTGGATGTCTGCGTGATGCCTTTTGTGGTTTTCTGTGTTTTGAGGTGGTGTCGGCGCGTGTGGATTTTATCACGATGTAGTGGCCTTGAGTTAATTCTTTCGTAATTCCTTTTATTTTCAAGTTACCTATTTTACCTACTCATAACTTTTACTTTCAAGCCTTTTTTGGAGTGTCTCATAAATAGCAGATTGTTAAATTTTTGGATTTTTTCCAGTCTGGTAATCTGTGTTTTAGTTGGAGGCTCAGTCCGTTGACATCTGCGCGGTCACCGACATATTTAGGCATGTACAGTCACCTCATTTCGTGCTACTTACCTCATGTTTTAACTTCCTTTTTTGATCGATGACTCTTTCTTCCGTATAATATATTCCATGTCCCCTCTGACTACATACTCGCTGTCTAGTGTTTTAGGGATTTGCCCCCAAATTTTTAATTTACATGCATGAAGTATGAAAGAGTACACACTTCTTTTGGTTTGTAAGTTTTTTTCTTTTAAGATTTATTTATTTTAGGGCCTCCCCGGTGGCGCAGCGGTGGAGTGCTGGGTTGCGAAGCTGCCCACAGCCTCTGCGGCGCCGGTTTGATCCCCGGCTGCTCCCCGGCCACCAGAGGAGGGTCCCACATGGTGCGCAGACCTCTCCTGCCTCCCGCTGCTCCCCTCAGCAGTGTCCTTCGGTCCTTCTGCCTGCTCTGCTCCCCGCTCTGGCTCTGGTGAATTCTCTCACCCTCCCGGCTTCTGACTGTACCCAGTGCATGTATAAATAAATAAATAAATAAATAAATCTTTTAAAAAAATTATTTTTATACACGAACTGGGGTACAGGGCAGATGCTCGGGAGGGTGAGAGGATTCACCAGAAACAGAGCGGGGAACAGAACAGGCAGACTGACAAAGTACACTGCTGAGGGGAGCAGCGGGCGAGACAGGAGAGGTCTGCCGCGCCATGTCGGTCACCTCCCTGGCCGGCCGGGATCGAACTGGCGCTGCAGAGGCTGTGGGCAGCTTCACAGCGCGGCGCTTAACTGCTGCGCCACCAGGGAGCGGTGCTGGCCGGGCCTGGCGCTCCTGCAGGTGTGGCGCTGGCAGGGAGCCGGTGTGTGCGGGAGGCAGGTTCTTTCTGGAGACAGTTGTGGGCAGTTCATGTGGTTCTTCGATGCCGTAAAGCGGGACATTGCTTTCTCTTCCGCTGCTCCCGGCATCTCCCGCCCCCGCGCTGGGTCAGCACTGCCCGCTGGGAGACGCTTACCGCGGAAATGGGGAGTTTTATTTTAGGTAGATGACAGGTTGTATTTCTGTTGAAAATTGAAAAATTGAGGTTTAGGTCTTTTTTTGGTTTAAATTTTCCAGTAATTTACTGAAGTACCGAGCCACTGAGCGCTGGAGGCTGTTAAAGCTAGTTCTGGTCTAGGACGGGGTAGGTTCTGGTCCAGGGCGCCAGTGCTTTCGTCTCATCAAAAGCTGGGCAGCCCCGCAGACCCCCCTGTCCCCCCATTCTGCCCCAGAGGGCCCGGGGGGCTGGCTTCGCGGGCTGGAGGGTGACGTCCTGCCGTGGGGTGGGGGGGAGGGTACAGGTGGCGCCAGAGCCCGGGTTGCTGGCGCTCGGGAGGCCGGCGGCGAGCCCGGGCCGGTCTCAGGGCAGTCTCCACGTCGGCGGCCCTTCCGTGGCAGAAAACTCGGGGAACAGGAGGTGCGCGGGTCAGAGGCCCATGGAGGGACTGGCGGGTGCCCTCAGAGCCGGCTGCGCGGCCGGGGTCAGCCCCGAGTGGGCCCGTGAGGCGGGCCGGGGCCCAGCAGTAGCCGCCCGGCCGCGCTGACGCCGCGCTGTCTCCGCAGAGCGTGATGCTGGATCCTTGCAAGCGCAGCCGCGGCGGGAAGTTCCGCCTGGTCACCAAGTTCAAGAAGGAGAAGAACAACAGGAGCAAGGAAGCCCGCGGCAGCCTGGGCGCCCCGGGTACCGCCCCCGCCCCGCCCCCGCCGCTGTCCCCCCCCAACACCCCCCCCCCCGCTGTCCCGCCGCTGTCCCTCCTGCTGTCCCCCGTCGCCTCCCTTCCCTGGGCCGTGCCGCGCCCCGCCTGGGCCTGGGCCTCAGGCCTCGGCCTCTGGGTCCCGCCTGCGGCTGCCGCAGCTCCCAGCTGTCCTTCCCGGGCCGGGGCGGCCGAGGCGGTGCTGCCTGAAGGGCGCGTGCAGCCTGCAGGCCCGTGCGCCCTGCCCGTCCTACCGCCCTCGGGTGGGTGGGGAGCCCAGCAGAGGGACACTCAGACACGAGGCTCGCCCGGGGCTGCTTCGGGGGCTGCTGGATCTCTTTAGTCGAGTCACGGTCACGATCCCCGGCCTCAGGCCCCGGGTGGTTGCTGAAATCAGTAGAAATGGCCTAAATACCACCTCTCCTGGGGCCAGTAAATTGGGGCTCTCCTCTCTGCAGCGCCCCCCCTGCACGGTGTCCCGGCCCCTGGGGGCCAGGCCTGCCGGCGCCTGGGGGCGGTGGGCTGCCTTTTGATTTTTCTTCCTTGTGTTTGTCCAGAAATTGGGTTTCTGTTAATGATGCTGACGCCTGATTGCGTGACGTCTCTGCTTGTCTCCCTTCCTGCTCTGGGCCAGAAGGGACGGGAACCCTCTGGAAGGCAGAGGGAGAGCCCACCCAGAACGTGTCCCTTGCGTTTGGTGGAGTCTGATCCCTCCTGGGGCCCAGGAAAATGCCCAGAGGGCAGGTGGCTGGCCCGGCAGGAACAGAGCGATGCCCACGCCCCCACACCCACCCTGGGGTGCCAGCTGCCTTGTCCTTGCGCTGCTCGCCTGCTGCTGGGGTGGCTGGGGTGCTGGTGGCTGGGGTGTCTGGGGTGCCTGCTGCTGGGGGCTGGGGTGCTGGTAGCTGAGGCATCTGGGGTGCCTGCTGCTGGGGGCTGGGGCGTCTTGCGTGCCTGCTCCTGGAGCTCCTTGGGGGCTGGTGGCTGGGGCGTCTCAGATGCCTGTTGTTGGGGCGGCTGGGGTGCTGGTGGCTGGGGCGTCTTGGGCGCCTGCGCTGGGGTGGCTGGGGTGCTGGCTTCTGGGCATCTGCCGCCTGCCTGGCCTGCTGTGGGCACTCACCGCGCGCCTGGTCTCCGTCTCTGACAGTCCAGCTCTGGGGCACAGAGGAGGTTGCTGCCTGGCTGGAGCACCTCAGTCTCTGTGAGTACAAGGACATCTTCGTGCGGCACGACATCAGGGGCGCCGAGCTCCTGCACCTGGAGCGCAGGGACCTCAAGGTACTGGCAGGCGCCCCCGCACCCCGTCTGTCCCTCCCTCTGAGCGGGCGTGTCCTGGCGTTGTGATGCGCCGCTGCCGCCTTGGGGTGCTGTGTGGTGGTGGCCGAGAGCCCGTCCGTCCCGGGAGGATGATGCAGGAGCCTGCCCACCTGGAGGGTGGCAGCCCCTGTGGAAAGTCTCCCGGGGAGCACCCTGCGGCCCGGGGTGGGGGCCGTGCGTGGCCTCCTTGTGGGGAGGGGCGCGGCCTGGCCCACCCGGTGCTCCCGCAGGCCGCCTGCGCCCTGGGGGTCTCGTTCGCTGTGTCCGTGACGTGTCCTTTGGGGGCCGAGGGTCACGGGCCGCGTCAGGCTTCCGTGGGCGGTTACTTCTCACGCGTTTCCATCCGAGTCACTGTCTCACCTTGTTGCTCTCATCTGTGCTCAGAACCTTCCAGAGGGCCCTGGGGGCACGGGGGGGCTCTCTTCCCAGCATCAGGGGGCCTGTCCTCTCCTCGCAGGACCTCGGCGTGACCAAGGTGGGCCACATGAAGCGCATCCTGTGCGGTATCAAGGAGCTGAGCCGCAGCGTCCCCGCCGCCGAGGCCTAGCCTCCGCCCTGTCGGCCTGCGTCCCCCGCGCCCCCCAAGACTGAGCGGGCTCCTCATGGTGCTACTCCCTTCGCTCGCAACAGGAAGCCTCCGACCCCGTGTCCCGACACCAACACAGCTACCTTTGAAGCGCCGTCTGCCCCGGGGGCGTGTTGGCCAGCGGGCGGGACTCAGTGCCAGCCCCACAGGGCCGCCCCAGGCTCCGGGCTCCAGGCAGACCCGGCAGCACGGGCACCTGCGCTGGGGCTTCTCTCCGCCGACGCCTTGACACGTGGCCAGCTGCTCACAGCCACATCCATGCCGGAAGGCCCTGTGCGTGCCGGCTGCTGGGCTCCTGATAGCCGCCCACAAGGTGCCCTCTGCCCGCGTCTGCGGGAGGTGGCACGGGCGCGTTCCCGTCCTGTCTGCAGCGGGATGTGCAGCGAGGCCCCCTCTACGCCTGGCAAGCGGGGCCAGCGAGCCCTGTCCCCGTGGCCTCGGCCCTGTCCTGGTGGAGCCTGGCTGCTTCTGAGGGTACGGGGCACGGCTCCCCCGGGCCGTGCGAGATGGGGTGGCTGCGCCCCATGGCCAGAGGATGTGCTTGCGTGGTCCTTCCTGTAAGGCCCGGGGAGACGCCGTGTCGGCTCGCAGCAGAGCAGCCACCTGGGTGCCCTGGTCCTCACTGCCGCTGACTCACCCCGGCAGTCACGGGCTTGCAGTCCTGGAGGGGGTGTCTGCAGCCAGTCCTGGTGTGGGGGGCCAGCAGCCTGGTGGGGAGGCTGCGTGCACTGAGTGGGCTGTCCCCTCTCCTGCCCGCCTTGCGCTCTGCCTGCACTTGGGGTGCTGAGGGATTATTCACCACTAGGAGAGCCCCTTGGGAGCTGACGGCTGAACCGCAAGTCCCTGCCACTTGCTTTGCCGACCCTGCTGGGTGTCAGGCCAGGCCCCTGCCTCTGGCTTGGGGTGCGCCCATGTGGTCCTTCCAGGCACGGGGCTCGCCCCCACTCTCCCCGTCCTGTGTGGTTGCGGCGAGGCCATGCTCTGCACGTGACGCCGTGCTCCCTCTAGGGGTGCCCGCCCCATCAGAGCGGCCGCTGCGGACGGTGGGCGAGGAAGCCACGCGGCCCCGGTCGGACAGGCTGGCAGGGCCCAGGGGGCCTGTGCCGCGGGCAGAGCAGCTCCGCTCCGCCGCCTCCGGGGCTCCTTGGGGTCTGATTTCCCGGCAACCCCCAGAGGAGCCAGAACCTGGGGCGGAGGGCGCAGCAGGGAGCCGTGGGGCCTCCCACTTGGGTGCCAGGGCCGCTGCCTCGCGGAAGGGAGCTCGTGGGGTGTCCAGTTACCGTCGCCGGTGATGAAAGCAACGCTGTTTACGTAAAAACGTTCTAGCTCTGGTGAGTTGGCGTGACACCTGCTGGGTGGGGGTCTGTGGCACGAAGCGCCACCCCGCATGCGGCCGGGGTGTCCTCGGGCCCGGCCGAGCGGTCCTGTCGAGCAGAGAAGGGAGGGAGGGCCCTGCAGTCTTGGAGAAGCGGCTGTGTGCCCTTGGGTGCGGCTCAGCCCCTTATTTATGACCCTAATTTATACCGCGCCCGCCCGGGAGCACACGCCTTCGCCTTGCTGTGTACAGACCCACCTCTGGGTGTAAATACTTTGTTCTGTGTATAAATAAAACCTGTTTCTGACCCGCCACCGCAGGACCCTTGTCATTCCTTGTGCTTCGGCAGGAAGTGGCCGTCGCCGAACTCTGCAGGCCGGACCGGAATTACGTTTCCAGCAGCTCGGCAGCTCCGTGGAGACTGTGGAGGCTGAAAAGCCACTTTCTTTGGGAGCGGGGGTCGCTGACCCGCTGGAGCAACGCCGGGGTAGGGGAGCTGGGCTCGACTCGCTCAGGCAGCCCCTGTGGCCCCCTCACGGCGGGCGGGGTGTTCTTGCCCGCTGCGGCCTCTGGCCACCCCGGTCTGCCGTCGCAGTCCCTTTGTCCCGGGGGAGCGGCCTCTCGGGGCACCGGAGACGGGGTGAACCAGGCTGGCGGTCACCGGGGCTGTGAGGGGGCGGTGGCCTCCCCGCGGCGCCTGGACCGCCTTCCTTGCGTAACAGAGCCTGCTCTGTCCCGGCGGGCACCCCGCTCACGGGCCATCCCGGGCCGAGCCTCGTGGCCGCAAGATGGCGGCTGCTCTTCAGGCCTCAGGTCCAGACGCCGCAGGCCGCGTGTGAGGTGTGGGGGCGGGCGGCTGTCTCTCCTCGTCTCTTAAGATGAAAGGGGCCTTTTCAGGACCCCTGGCTCCTGCTGACCTTCCTGACGTCTCGGTGTCTGGACTCGTGTCCCACAGCTGGGGCCAGGGAGCAGGGGGTGGGCCGTGCCCGCGATGCCGCTCGCCACGCTGGTGCCCAGCATCTACGATACTTCACCAGGCACTGGCCTGCAGTACGTCCCGTGCCAACACATCTACTCGGGCATGTTCCTGGGACGTGGGTGTCTACATCTCGCAGGGGTGGGAACAGGCTTGGGAGTGGGGTTGGGTCACTTGCCGTTGTCACGGGTTCCGGCCCGAGGAGGAGGCGCGCGGCTGGCCCCTGGGTGGGCTGCAGTGCGCCGGCCCCGTGAGCCTGGGCTGGGCCTGGAGGCAGGACCCGCCAGAGGGGGCTGTGGTGTGTGAAGAGCTGGGCCCCGGTGGCCTGGCCTTGCGCCCTCTGCTGCTGTTTGTTTTGGGACTCCCCACCCCAGGACCTCAGGGTCCTCTGGAGAGGCCTCGAAAGAGGCGTTGAGTCAGATGCCACGGTAGTGTCGCCCTTCGCGTCAGAGGCTTCCAGCAGGTAAACGGGCCCCGTGAGCGCGCTGCGTGTTGAGTGGTGTGACCCGGCAGGGGCTGCTCCTCCCCCTTCAGACGGCAAACCACACCGGAGAAGCCATCTCTCGAGAGTCAGGGACTGGGACGCGCTCCCCACCCCCTCCCTCTTCTCAGCCAGGAGGTAAGTGCGTCAGAGAACACGTTTTCTGAAAGCAGTCGCGGCCGGTTGGTTCCCCAGAAGGGAAGAAGCCACTTGGCTTCCATCCAGTACCATTTCCCACGAGTCTGAATTTACCTCAGACTGAAACCCACTGGCGCCGTTTCTAAGCAGCCCCGCTACATCTCTCTAAACCTCAGGCACGTTTCTTTAGCCTCTGAGGCGCACGCCTGGGAGAGGGGCCCTGAGGCTTTCCAGGTGGAACACGGCGCAGGCGCAGGCAGAGCCAGGCCACCAGGTGAGGAATGGTTTATTGCTTAACAGTCTCGTGGCGCTCCCAGGCCCACCACACCCCGAGTGGGAGGCAGGGAGGCTGCCCTGCCGGCTCCTTGGTGCAGACGCGGGCGTCCTGGCCAGTGGCCTTCAGCGAGGCCTCTGGCATCTCGCAAGCACGGCTGCTCAGTGACCACCAGCGTTTCACAAGCTGGCGCTGGACGAAGGAGACAGGTGGAGGGGGGAAGGGACAGAACAGCTTAGCGTCGCGCTCCCAGCAGAGCAGCAGGGCTGAGGCTCAGCGAACGGAGCCCCTGAGCCGCCGGCTGGGCAGGCAGCCTCGCAGCGCAGCTGCTTCGGGATGGAGACACGCCTGCGCCGACGGCCTCGGGTCAGCACACGCGAGACCCCACGTCTCTCCAGAGCAGCACGGGAGGCGGCAGGGTGGCTGCACGACACCGCCCGGACGGCGCCGAGGGCCATGGGCGCCAGCCACGCCTGCTCCGCGTTAGCGCCAGTGCTGCGAGGGCCGTGGAGAAACTGCGGACGTGACGTGATGGCTACTCGGTTAGCAAGTGAGTGGCTACAAAGCCTCGAGCTGAGACCCTACGGCCTCTTCCAGGAAGCCTCGACCGAGTGAGCTGGAGAAAGCGACTCATCTGTCAAAAGGACCAATCACTCCTTTAATAGTCACCAGTTTGATTCACCCCCTATTTTAACTAAGGCTGCTCGTGGACGGTCACCTCAGCCCACGCCAGGCTTGTCACCATGACACCGCCACCCTGGGTGCCCAGGCACGAGCTCGGCACGTGTGGGCAGACGCCGAAGGTTCTGGTGAGACGGTCACACGCCACCCCGCTGCCGTCTGGAGTCCCCCGTGCCATGCGCGCTTGCGCAGACGCCGTCCGCCTGTCATCGTGGGGAGACGGCGACGGCTCCAGCATCTGTGCAAAGCGGGGAACGCGGTGTGAGAGGCCAGCGGCAGCCCCTGTGTCACAGTGAGCCTGGCTGCTGGGGTCGGGGCCTCTGCCGACAAGCCAGAGCGGCGGCGTCAGCAGTGAGGAGACAGGGCGTGTGCGCTGTAGACGCGTCGGCTGTCAGGACGTGCCTCGTCCACGAGTACGCTTCCTTGGGAGAGCTGCGGGTGGGCTCATGCGGCACGCGTGGCGGCACCTGCGAGCGTGGCCTGAGGCAGATGGCGCCCTCACGACAAAGCCGAGCGTCTGGAGCCCATGTCTGCGCGAGCAGAAACCACAAACCTGCTGGCATGGAACCAACTGCAAAGTCGTGCCCCTCAGGGCCCGGCCTTGGGCTGCTGTGCCCGAGGGGATGCCCCCGTCGGCTGTGCTATCTGAAGCTTCCAACGTGGATGGAAAGAGAAGCTTCTGGTCCTCGGGGCCGGGCAATCGTCTCTACACTAGAGAAAACGTCACTGCTTTGCACACGGCGGGCTTCTTGGCTGCAGGAGACAGACAGGCTGTTACCGTCGTAGACACAGGTCAGGGGCGCAGGACTCCAAAATTCATCCCAGTCTTTGGGGTCAAGTTATTAGATCAGGCCTCAGGTACACGCTCGCCAAGTTGGCATCCCGAGCCTAGCATTTTAGCGTCTCTGGAGGACTGTGAGCTCAGTGCTGTCTGGACTCTCATGGTCCTCTGGACAGACCTGGCAGCAGGTTTCTACGTGGGCAGCCCCCCCACTCCCCCCCGCCCCCCCCGGGGACTGCCTGCCCAGCCCTGGGCCCGCTGCCTGACTTCTTTACCCAGCAACTCCACTGCCAGAGGCCCTGGTCACACCCACAGCCCCTGTGTGAGGCTGTTTGCTGCTCATCTACGTGATGGCAGGAGACTGGAGACCCCAAGTGTCTGAGGGGTGACCGTATGTTACGCTTTGACCCAACGTGATGGAAAAATTGGGCCTGCAAGGTACCGGCCCCAGGGCCAAGTGCGGCTGCGACGAGGACGCGCACGAGCCGGGTCCCAGCGCCTGCGCAAGGACGGCGCCCCCTCGCGCCAGCAGCCTCCAGGCAGCGGGTCCAGCCCCTCTAAAGTGCAGGGCTGGGAGTGGGGTGCAGATGCTGTCCCCCACCCGAGAGCTTCAGGGGCAGAGAGGACGCAGTGTGAAGGGGCAAACCCTCGAACTGCCCAGGGTTCGCGGAGCGCGGCGGCCGTCGGGTGGACGAGCTGCTGAGGGCGCCGGGAGGGCAGAGCCCCGCGGTGTGAGCCGCACGGCCTGGGGATGGGATCCCGAAGTCCCCAGACGCCCCCGGCACGGGTGCGTGATCTCACCAAACATGTTCGTGGGGTGTGCAACCAAGCCGCGCCCCGGCACGGAGACACGGGGAACCCCCTCCTCACCCCGTCGCCCAGTGCGCGCCACGGCCACCTTAATGCAGTCGGTCTCTGAGACTCTCCTGCCCCCTAGAACTCACCACGCGGCAGCCAAAGCCATCACTTAAAAATGCAAGTCAGACCGTCTCGCTCCCCTCTCCCCTCCCCCGACCTCTGGCGGCCACACTTGCCTTCTGAGCTTGGCTGTGGCCAGGAGACCGGCACAGCCCAACTCGCCCCTGCCGGCAGAGGGCGCCTCCGCACTGCCGTCACGCCTCACCTGACCTAGACCAGGCCGCCTAGACATGGAGGCCGTGGGTGCCCGGGCAGTTCTGTTTCCTCAGAGCTGCTGTGCTAACTCGGGTAAGGAGAGAAATGGATGAGAGACCAGAGGGTGGGCCTGGACCTCACTGATGAGTCAAGTCCAGGCCTGTGCGGTCTGAACCATGGTCTCAGTGGGATGTTCCAGTAGATTCTGGTAGGTACAGGTGGCCTGAAGCCCAGGGAGGGAGGGGAGCTGAGAGAGGAAGTAGCGAGTCTACCCTAGTGAAGGGAATGCGACAGCGGGACAAAGAGCAGAGGTAGGAGGGTGCAGGCGGGGCAGAGGGTGGGTGGGTGGGTGGGTGTGTGACCCTGGGCAACTCAGGAGGCGGGAGTAGATGGTGGGGTGGCAGATAGGCTGGGGAGCACCTCAGGGTGCTGGTCTCTGAAAGAAAAGACGGACAATGGGGAGAAGCTGCATCTGGGCAGACGGGAGGGAGACTGAGGCACAGTTCTGGGAGGTGGGAGGGAGAGCTGGAGCGGGTGGAGTCTGTCAGCTTGTGGGGTGCCCCAGGGAGCCCATCAGCAGGGCTGCTCAAGGGCGAGGGAGAACGTGGGGAGAGCAGCCAGCACTGCCCGACACGGCCCTTCTGCGGGGCCCTCCCTGCCTGGGGAGGTGCCGCCTGGAGGTCGGGTGGGATGCGAGGGGAGCAGACCCCACAGTACCTTCTCTTTCTCGCCAGAGCGAGCTGCTTCTGCCTTTCTCTGCCGATGTCGTCACTGATCGTGCTGAAATCGTCGTCGTCTTCCACCAAGAGGTTCTATGTGGCAAAAGAACAAATGAGCAACGTTTGCAGACGTCCCTAGCCTGTGCTTAAGAGGTACGTGCAGCGTTACTGACCGGAACAGGTACTGAATCCACACCAGCTGCGGGAATTGCTGACCAGCTGGGCGAGGGGTGCAGCCTGCCGGGCCTCCAGGCCTGAGCCGCAGAGCAGCTTGGGGCGGGGGGTGGGGGGGGGGGCGTGGTGAGCCGGCTCCCAGCCCCACAGCCCACTGTGGCACCGGCCTCTGCCACTGTAATTCTGGGAACTCCCCTAAAGCTTCTGTGCAGGATCTTGGGTACCAGATGCCCAGTGCCTGGCTCCCTGGGCTCGCAGTTCTGTGTAACCAGCATTGTCCACAGACGTCCACGGGGGTGCCCCCGTGAGGAACCGGGCTGGGTGTGGGAGTAGAATTAGAGCAGGACAGTGAGGGCTGCCAGCCCACGCCAGGGACCCTGGGCACTGCCAAGTGTGGGCTGTAATTCCAGTTAGGCCTGCGACGGCCCTCGGCAGACAGAAACCTGAGGCATCTGCCGCGCTGAACGATACCTACAAACTCATTCATTACATTGTACATGACGCACTTTTCAAGGTATCTTCAAACCTCACGAAATGCAATTACGGAGCAGCAGTGCACCTCCCAGGCCCCCAGTTATCTGACACCCTGGTCCTACTTTCCTCATTGAAAGGCGGCACCAACTCCTGGGATGTTGTGCCCGGCACACACAGCACCCCCAGGGTGTGCCAGCTGCTCATGGTCTTAACAGCTCATTGTATTTGCTTCAGTTTTGTTAAGGACAAAAGGCTCTGCTGACACACACGTGCCACCCTCGGCCACGCCCAGTGTGTCACTCAGTCTCGCACTTCTTATATCTGATCTGTAAGCAGGTTAGCACCTGTGCCACTGCCCTGACGCCCCGGGGGGACGCCCTCGTAACACGGCCGAACGGGGCATAAAGCGTGCGGCGGGCGAGACGCAGCTCGGCACTCCCTCCGCAGTGGCCTGGCCCTGCCTGCTGCCCCCTGGGAACTGGGGGGTGTTGCTCTTTGCCTGTCTCTTCCTACGGGGACCCTGCCTTTGAGATTAGCAGATGCGCTCGCGCTCGGGTAAGACCCTGTCAGTGGTATCGTTCTCCCTCTCGTGGCTGATGTTCTCACTTAGGATTTCCGTGGATAAACAGAAGTTTCTACTCTTACCGTAGACAAATCCATCCTTTCCTTTGTACCTTTCGTTTATTTTGCAAGTCCAGTGCTCAACCCCCAAGTCTTGTTGAACAGAGGTAGAGATTTATGGGACTTTGAGCTCACATAAATGTGGGGACCCTCTTTATGAAAATGAAGTAAGAATTATACTTCAGTAGCTCCTGTGTGCACAACCAGCCCTCCTAGCACTAGCTCCTGAACGATCCGTTGTTAGTGTCTCCTCGAATACCTGTCAAGTGTCCTCGCATGACAGGCTCTCTAGGGGCTCCGTCGCAGCCTCATCTGCCCGCCGCCCCGAAGAAGCTGCAGCTCTGGCCTGTCTGGTCAGTCAAGTTCCCTGATCTTGTTCTCCTTTAAAAATACTTTAGTTCTCCAGCCCGTGCCCTTCCACGTGGCCCCAGGTGGTCTTCTCTGAATTTACAGACGTGGGGCGACCTGGTGTCGTCCCCGTCGTGAGGACGCCTGTCCAGGACTCGCTCTGTAGCTCACGGGAGCTGTAGCCACTCGCGACCCCGTCTGTCCCTAGGGGCCTGTGTTCTACACGGGTTGTGCTTCTGAGCTCTCTGCACCGGCCGCCTCCCCTGCACCGCATCCCGACACGCTCATCTCACCGGCCGTGGTGTTGAGCGCAGTGTTGAAGGCGGGTGGTGGCTAAGAGAATGCTTGCTCCTCAGTGTCAGAACGTTAGTTTTTAATCTAGGATCAAACTGTTCTTCCTCCATACAAAAAACGGGACTGCCCCGGAGCAGAGTTGGCTTGGCGTCCAGAATGTGTGGGTCTCACACGGCACTAGCACACCAGAGGAGAGACAGGTGGCCAGCCGCAGATGCAGAGAAAGCATCAAATTAAATGAAAAATCCAGTGCTCATGCATGATTTCAGAAAGAAAGGAATGGAAGGAAGCCTCCTAAGCTACTGAAAACCAATGGCGGCTCACAGTGGAAAACTCAAAGCGTTTTCCTTAAAATTAGACCCAAAATCAAGCATTTGATACCGAGGTTCAGTGAACCTCAAAATTAACTTTTTTTCTAAAAAACAATTAACATGAGACTCTCCATGCCTCGAAGAGCTGATAAAACTTCTAACATCCCCTGAGCCCGGTGGTCTGTCCACCTATCGCTGAAGGACTCACCTTGATGCCAATGGTATCTCCATCTTTCAAGTAATAAGGCGCCCCTTGCAGATTATTTTGCTTTTTCTTCTTTTTCCTCTTGGCAAACTGTTGACTCTACAGAAAAATCAAGCATCTTGAATCAAGAAAACTCAACCTTGAATTTCTACTCGCTTAGCCAGCGAGGCCCGATTTCTCTAAAGCAGCCCCACGACTTTACCCAGCTAGATACTGGAAGCCACTCAAACTTTTCGGGAAAATACTTGGCAATTTCAGTTTTCTCCACAGGAAGAGAATAGAAGTCGGCAACTCGCTGCCTCAGGGAGCCGGCCGTCCAGCCGTGCGCCGTGTCCCACACCAGGTCCACGGCCAGGGAGTACGCCCGCTCGCCGGGGATGCGCATCTGTGTCCGCAGCAGCACGTCCTGAGGCCTGCACCGGGAGACAAAGGTCAAACAAAAATAAGGTGTGGGGGTGGGCACGACAGGCGAAGCGCCTGGTTTCCACAAGCGCAGCCCTTCCTTGCACCGGCACGCACGGGGTCCCTCTCACTGCTGGGTCTACTTCCATCCTGAGGTGGGGGAGTCCCGTGGGAGGCAGAGCCTCACTGCAGAGGGGGTGTCAGAGGGCCAGACTTCCTAAGACAAGCTGGTGTCAGAGCGAGAAGCTGCAAGAAAAAGGCAGTTTCAGGTCTGAGAAACGCAGCGTGGGGGCCAGCAGCAGGTAAGGGCTCTGGACGGGAAGAGACAGGACTGTCCTCTCCCCGCTCCCCAGAGCAGGGAGGCAGGTCCTGGAGGAGGAGGGAGCAGGGCCTGTCTAGGTGGGAGAAAGGAGTGGCGGAGCAGAGAGTGACAGGAGCAAGCCCCGGGAGGCAGAGAGGGAGAAACAGAAACTTCTCTTAGGGTAGTGAGACAAGTGACTTGAAATGCTGTTCCCGGGTGTTTTTACCCAGAGAGACGCAACGGGAGGGCAGGTGAAGGGAGGTGGGGGAAGCATGAGGAGCAAAGCTGGTGGGTAGGACATCAGGGCACGGCATGGAGGCGGTGGGCAGAGGCGTCTTTCAGAGACGGCAGCGGGCGCGACGCCAGGAGCGCGGGTGGCGCGAGCGTGGAAGGGACGGGCAGCACGGAGGCTGGAGGCACAGCAGGCGGCGGGGCTGGGAAGCACGTGCACGGCCTTCCAAGGGCGCCGCCGCCACCACGGCCCCCAGCGTGCCGGAGAAGCGCTGTCTCCTGCGGAGGGCTCGTGCAAGCAAGCCTGGCACCAGACAGGCACTGTGAACTCCCTCTCAGCACACCAGACGGCTCGCGAGCCCCGAAACGGACGCCTGCTCTCGCCAGCGCGCCGAGCAACAAGCAGAGGAGCCCGAGGAGCCACTTCTCGCCTTAGCAACTCAGGGACGTGCTCGGTGTCGGGGAGGGAGGCGGAGTGAAAACTCCAGCAGTGCTTTGGGAACATAAGCCGGTCTAACTTCCGGGGAAGAGTTTAACACGCTAAGGGGTTTAAAATGCCACGTAACAGGCTGATGACGAAAGCGACATTCACAGCCTGTCCGACGGGAGGACGGCAGTTCGTCTCTGGTGACGGTGACAAGAGGATTTTTCCCATAGTTGAGAAAACAGTTGTCGCCCACAGGGCGGGCGCCGCTCCGGGTTCCGGGCAGACGGCCGTGGCCACGGACAAAGGGCCTGCTCTGCGAGGCCGCCCCGTTCTCGCCGCGGGAGGCAGGTGAGACAGCAAGTGTGTCACACATGCGGGGGCCGCGGGGTAGAGGGGCAGGTGCTGCCTGTCACGGGCCCCCGGCGTCTGCATGGGTCAGGCGGGGCACGAGCCCCTTGCTGACACTTGCAGGTCGTTATACACTTGGGACTCACTGGAAAATTCTGCTTTTATGGAAAATATTTCCTGTTAAAGCTGCACACTTCCTAGGAGACAGGCACGCGCTGCGGCTCTTACCCCAAGGTCTCTTCTTTCTGCAGCAGCTCCAGGCAGATCCCCGTCTTCCTCCCCAGCTTGTATTCCCTGGCGACGGATGAACAAAGTACTATTGGTCAATGCGCCCTTCACTTCTGTAACATTTGGGGGCCACTTTTAAGCTTTTCTTAAACAAAGATTATGCTGTTCAAGAGCACTCGCAATTGAAGAGACTACAGTGAACAATTTTATGCCAATAAACGACACACACAACCTAGAAAAAGTGGACGCCTAGAACACACACTACGCCGAGACCGAACCTCTGACAAAGACCAGAGCAGGCCACTAGCGAGCCAGGAGGCTGACCTGCCCCAGGGAAAGGGTGGGGCCGGGCGGGCTCCTGAGTCCGACCCAACACGTGGCTCTTCAGGAACAGGAGAGGGAGCAGCTTCCACTTGCTTCCTGGGACCAGCATTACCCTCACGTCAAAACCAGGCCAGATAACTAAAGAACAAGCATATCCCTGATGAGCACAGATGCAAAAACCCTCAAGACATCAGCAAAGTGAGTTCAGCAGTTCCTTACGAGGGGCCCGCGATGCAGTCAGGTGGGATTTATTCCAGGCACACAAGGGCGGCTCGGTGCCAGCGAGTGGCCGGTGACAAACCGCGGTAACAGAACCAAGGATAGAGCGCACACGATCATCTCGGCAAATGCAGAAAGAGTGGACAAAATTTGACATCCTTTCATGATAGAGCCCCTCGGCAAGCCAGGCAGAGGAAGCACGTTCCCCGCATAAGGCTGGACACGAGCCCCCCGCAGCAGCCTGCTGCGTGGTGAGAGCTGAACGTCCCCCCGTCACCATGCCTCTCTGCACAGCGCTGGACAGAAACAAAAGGCATCAAATCAGAAAGGAAGTAAAATTATTTCTACTTACAGATGAAATCTGTGTGCGTGTGTGTACGCCCTAAACACTCCACTGAAAACCTGTTCGAATAAGTGAATTCTGTAAAGTTGCAAGATACAAAATCAATACACAAAAATCAGATGTGTTTTAGACACTCACAATGAACTATTAGGAATAGAAATTTAAGGAACGTGTCCCCACAATAGCATCAAAAAGAATAAAATACTTAGAAATAAATTTAATCAAGAAGGCGAAAGACTATACACTGAAAACTGTTAAGACACCAATGAAAGAAATGGCAGAGGACATAATAAATGGCTAGGAATACTACCCGTAATGCTCCGTGGGATCCACAGCTCTAGCGCAGTTCCTGTCAAAATTTCAGTGGCATTTGTCCCAGAAACAGAAAAGCAACCTGGCAGTTGTTGGCATGGAGTCCCAAAGACCCCTAAGGTAACGGAGGCAATTCTGGGAAAGAAGGGCAAAGCTAGCAGGATCACACGTCCAGGTGTCAGACATCATAAAGCTTAGTGGTGTTGGCACACGAGCACACAGAACAGTGGAACAGATCAGAGAGCCCGAAAGAAATGCACATACGGACGGTCACGTGAACTAGCGTGGTCGGTCAGTTTACAAGGAAGCAAGGATACACAGGGGCAGAGGACAGTCTCTTAAAACATGAAACGACGCACACCACACGCACAAATTAACTCAAAATGGATAAAGACTTGATTGGAACCGTGAAGAAAATGGGGGTAAGTACGTTGAAACTGCCTTTGGTGATGACTTTTGGATTCAACACCAAGAGCAAAAATAAAGACCTGGGAGTCCATCAAACGGAAAAAGCTGCTGCCCGGCGAAGGAAACCATCAACTGCAAGAAAAGACAACCTATGGGTTGGTGGAAACGATCTGCAAATCAGCTACTGAAACAGGATTAACATCCCAGGACAGGAAGAACTCGTACAATTAATTGTTAAGCAGAAACCCCACAAGACCACAATGAGATTAAGAAATGGGCCGGGGAACAGAATAGACATTTTCTGCAAAGAAGCTTCCTCCAAATGGGCAACAGGTACCTGAGGAGGTGCTCGGCTCACGGCCGCTCCTCAGGGCAAGGCGGACACGGTCTGGTCCGGTGGGGCTGTTAATTCGTGGCAGAGGAGCCAAGACAAAGGAGCAAGGCGGGTCTACTCAGCAAGGTGTGCCGGGAGCCCTGGGGCGTGGGGCCATTTCATACCATAACTAAATTAATTCAGAATGGATCAAAGACTTGGGTGAGACTTGCTGCGAGACACAGGAGCAAACGGGCAAAAGGCTGCCGCCAGGCTTCAGGGCCGTCTCTGGGGCCCCAGGAGCAAGGGGAACGAGATGCATCAAAGCGGTACAGCTTTTCCTTGATCATTAAACTGCGAAGTGAAGAGTAAATAACGAGGACACCCCACTGACGGGGAGAAAGTGCTGGCACTAATACCCGCGGCTGACAGAGCCCTGCAAGTCAGCGCTAAGAAAAGCACCGCACCCAAGAGCGGGCAGGAGCTACACAGCGTGTCTCCAGAGAAGACACGCGGGCGCCAGCAGGCACATGCGCATGCCCGTCCCCACTCGTCGTTGGGGAAATTGCAGATCAGCCCGTGGGGAGACACACATCGCACCTGTGAGTGCGGCCGGAGAAGACCACGAGCAGCCTAGGTGGAGAAAAGGAACCTTCACACGCTGTTAGGGCAACGTAGACGTAGTCGGCCCCTCTGGAAAGCAGTTCAGAGGTTCCCAAGACATGAAGGCGAGAGCTCCCGCAGGCTGCCAGCCCGCCCACACAGCCCCCTGAAGACCACGGAGTCGCTAATTCAGAGGAACGCGCGCCTACGTCTGTCACGGCACTGTCCGTAACGTCCAGGCTTTGCCCGAGGGATGCTGAGCAGACACAGAAGATGGGGTCTCCACACGTGCTGGAATACTGCTCGGCTATTAAAAAAATGGAAATCTTGCCATTTACCACTACGTGGATGGAACTGTGCTAAACAAAGTAAGAGAAGAGACAATCACCAGATAATTTCATTCATGTGGGATCGAAAATACAAAGCAAAGGAACAGACCAAACCCTTGAAATCTGCTTGCAGAACTCAGGCTCCCAGAAGGGCAGGTTGGGAGACAAGGCAGTGGGGGGAGGGGTGTCAGCGGGCAGTGGTGGTAGGTGTGTGCTGACACATCTGCAGAGGTCTCCCCCTGTACCCCCAAACACACAGTGGCGGATCTCAACATTACCTCAACAAATACAATTAAAAAAAAATATAAGAGAACAAACACTGGTGCGGACATGGCTCAGGGGAAGCCACTGTGCCCCGTAGGGAATGTGAACTGTTACAGCCACTGGAAAACAGTACGAAGGATACCTGGAAATTTAGATTATAGAAGCACCACATAACCCCACAATCCCGGTTCTGGGCAGATACCTGAGGTAAATGAAATAGTCATCTCAAAGCGCTAACTGCAAGAGCTGAGACATGGAAACCTCCGTGCTCGTGAGCAGTCACGTGAGGGAGACACGCTTACACTCAGCCTCAAGAAGGGTGTCCTATCATCTGTGAGAACACGGGCGGGCCCTGGCAGCACTCGTGCTAAGTGAAGTCAGTCAGAGAAAGACAGACGCTGTATAACATCACTTGTATGTGGAATCCAAAACAGCCAAGGTCATGGAAAGATAGCAGAGTGGTGGTTTTCAGGGCCCGGAGGGACAAGGAGAGGTTCAAAGTTCTGAGGCTCGTGTAGAGCGCTGACTCGCCCCGAACACTGGATCAGACACCTGAATGCCGCTAGGTCTCAAATGCTCTCACCACAAAAAAGAAAGGGCAACTCACGCCATGCCGCAGGGGCAGCATCCCGCGGGTGCAAGCATGGCAGGCAGCGTGCAGGATGCCTCAGTTACAGTGCTGCATGTTGGTCATCTCTAAATCAAGCTAGAAAAAAACTCACTAAAATTTCCGTCAGTGTCTGGCGCAGTCAAGATAAGTGAAGCTACCTTTTCGCTACTGCTGGAAAACGGAAGCTGTCCCAGAATCTAATTCCAATAAAAGTACCGCTGAGGAATGGCCTTTCTATTTCTGTCCGCCTTCCCCATGAGCCCACTTCCCTCCCACCAGTGTGGGGTGCAGGAAAGCGAAGCCGGGTGCCCAGCAAGGAACCTACTTGAGCTGTTGCTGGTTGACACGCAAGAGCCGGCTGGGGCGCTTACTCTCCACCGTCCAGGCCCTGAGGAGCGCTGGGGACAGGATGGCAAAGTCCCAGAAGGAGGGCAAGGTCATGGCCTGGGAAAGAAACAGACATTTCTCCAGTGGTTTGAGGAAGCACTCTGACAGACAGCGCTGAGGGAAGAAGGCAGCACTACACGGTGACAGCTGAGGGAAGAGCGGCTCGAGAACTGATGCAAACCTATACAGGGCATCCCAAGACTAGCTGCTAAGCGAAGTGAACCCTGAGTCACGTGTGTTCCTCTCTACGGACGTGAGCCTGAGGAATAACTGAATTTCCTGTTTTCGAATATGACTCAAAAGGTGCCTTCACTTTTAACATTTCCTTCGGAAGCACCAACCCGTGCGCGAGTCCAGCTCACGGGAGGCAGAGGCTGCTCCCAACGGCTCACTCTCTGCTGTGATTGGTGCAAACAGAATTCAAAAGTGTTTGCTCTGCCAAAGAGATAACTCTGGTATTGGAATATTTCAAATCTTCTGATCCACCCGTGAGGCTCTAACTGTGAGGCAGACAGCTGTTTCTCTGTTTACGTTACACTATGGTACCTAAAAACAGAACAGATTATTTTTATCTTTCAACCCAGTCCAAGGGAGGGAAAAAAGCATCTTCCTACTCATGAGAAATGACTTCCTCAAGAAAAAGCCAACGGTCTATTTCATACGCGAGGCCAGTGTCAGGACTGTTCCCCCTGTGGTGCGCTCACAGCTTTTGCTCTGAGAGGAAGAAGGGCTGCTCACTTCGTCCAACCGTAGTCAGACGCCTCTTCAACCCCTTCTTCCCATCTGGACCGAGCACTCCCTTTCTACAAGCGGGGACACGGGGGACGCGGCGTTGTCTGGGCTAGCCTGACACGAGCGCCGGTGCCGCCGCCTCCTGGAAGCGGCTCACGCGTCTTGTAACTAACAACATTTAGCACATGAATCACAATGGTACAAAAACGATGTAAATAAAGAAGTGAATGCTTTACAGATGTCTCAATAAGTCACTCTTTTCTAAAGAAATCAAAATGAACATAAGCCGCGCGTCACCAAGGACACATCCAATGAAGCACAGCATGCCTGTTGTGGGGCGGGCTGCCGGCGGACGGTTGCCGGCGCCCTGCGGCCGTGTGCGTGTTGCCTGCGGGGTACTTACCACTGAACATGGCATATAACAAATGCCATATCAGAACAGACTGTAGTTGCGGGAAAAGGAAATAAGAGAACATGTTACTATCTCACTGGAAGAAGCCAGATCACCACCAAGGGCTGCTGCGGGAAGGAGTCTGACCTGGGACTTCAGCTCCGCCAAGGTGGCGTCTTCCGAGATCTCAACGTCTCCCAGGTAGTGGAGGGGCACTTCCGCCTGCAGGGCACCGGGAGCACCTACAAAGGACAGGCCAGGCGTGTGAAAGGCGCTTTCAGTGTGCTCACTCCCGTTTCTGAAACACACACATGTTCAGAGACTGCAAACAGGGTTCGTGCAATTCAAGACACGTGGATCCGAATCCCTGAATCAGTGCCCTCCTGACTTCAAACTCAGCATAAATTTCACTCGCTTTTGCTTTAAGCCTCTCTTTATTGCTGGGCACTAACACTTCAGAAGAAATCTGATTATACGTAGACTCAGTGACAAGCCTCTTCAGGAACATGTCTCAAGGCCCGAGGACACGGCAGCCCGAAAGGCGCCCTCAGAAAGCCCTCAGGGGTGAAGACACACGCTCTCTCCTAGTGTGCTGGGGCCGTGACAGCACTGCCAAGATGCAGCTGCTCCGTTACTTTCACGGAGAAAAACAGTGACTCGACAGGCTTTAGGGCTCACATCAATCTAAATTATTCTATTAACAGATCACTTTCTGGAATTAGTTAACATATAATAATATAATATAATAAAATATAATATAATATAATCCAACAAAGATTCATGCCATTTTCACAACTCATTCAACGAGAAGAATCATATCATTCTTACATATACTCCAACCTCAGAGTAAATAGTTCAGAATTTGATTTAAAATTTCAATACTGGGCCTCCCCAGTGGCACAGCGGGTTGAGCGCAGCACTCTGAAGCTGTCTGCAGCCTCTGCAGCGCAGGTTTGATTCCCAGCCTGCCAAGGAGCAACCCACACAGCGCAGCAGACCTCTCCTGTCTCGCCCGCTGCTCCCCTCAGCAGTGTATTTTAGTCAGTCCGCCTGCTCTGCTCCCTGCTCTGTCTCTGATTAATTCTCTCACCCTCCCGTGCCACGCCTCTGACTGTACCCCAGTTCTTGTATAAAAATAAATCTTAAAAAAAAAACTCAATGCTGAGTAAACACTTCAAGGCACTAGAAAAACTAAATAAGCAAAGCGTGAGAAAAAGAGAAGTCTATGAAGAGTTAGTCTAACTTTTTTTTTTGGTCTATTAAGAGTATTTCAGGCAGAGTCAGGAAGATTTGCACTTTCTAAGAGCAGCAGCCCCGTCTCCGGCGGCCATGCGGCCGCACGCCCGGTGCCCTCTTCCTCGCCACAGCATGTGTGGGGTCGTGTGTGCAGGAGCCGCTCGGGAAGAGTGAGGCCGGTGTCTTCACCCTGCCTGTCTCCTCAGGAGTCGGGGGAGGCGGAAGGCCCTGGAAGCAGTGCTTGGGCTCTGGTGGGCGCCAGCCCTGGCCGTGCCCTGCACCACTGTGCCCCAGAGAGGGCCGCTACTCATGGTGCCATGAGGATCTTAAGGGATGGCACAGAAAAGTTCCTTGAATAATAAAGACAATAACTGACAGTATCGTATAAATACCAGCCCCGTATAAACGGGGCACCACCATGGAGTGACGATGATGTCACCCTCACGGTCCTGTCACCCCCGCCGCCTCCCAGAGCAGCAGGGCCCTCTGGCCTCTTCTGACGGCAGCAAACTGATCTGCTCTCTTCTCACCTTGGGTGGAAGCAGCTCTCCGGTCCCCTTCTTGAGAAGGGGGACAGTGCGTCTGGTCCTGATGGCGCGCCCAGTGACCCGAGGGGCCCAGAGGCTGGTACCACCAGATGGGCACCTTCAGGAAACCCTGGGGAACAAAGCCATGTGAGGCACACAGGTTAAGTGAACTTCGACTTCCACATGGAGAAACATCTTGATAACAGAAACTACTCCTCAGTATTCCCTAATTTATTACTTTTCCTTTCAGAGTATCATTGCCATATATTACACTTGTTTCTTGTTTTTACAACCAGTCTTGAGACGACCGGGACTAAATGGAAGTATCTAAGTGGCCACAAGAAAAGCAGAAACAAAATGTCTGACAGCACAGAGGTGACGGTCCCAGGCGCGGCGAGCACACCACCGCCAGATGCAAGCAGCTCTCACCCACGAGGCTCCTGCAGGATTTCATAAAGCAGCAACCTGCTGACCCTATATCCAAGTGCCACAAAATAAACCCATTTCTGTAAACATTACCTGTGATGTCAGTTTTACTAATTTACTAAAACAAAGTGGCGGAAAAACCAATTCATAGATTTATTAAGTTTTCTGGTTAGGTTAAAAAATTAAATACAAAAAAGTAGGAAATCAAGTTGTATACATAGTTGATTTTTAATTTTGTTTAAAAATATTTTAGGAAGGAAATCTGTAAAAATGTAAAATGCGGTAGCTGACCCACTGGTAGGATTTTAGGTGAGTTCTCTATTCTTTTTAGGATTGTATTTCCCATTTTCACATAACGAGAATATATCATCTATGTAGTCAGAAAATAGGGACTGTTACTTACAAAATGTTGACTCAGAAAAAATCTTACCCGAGGAAGAAGTTTTCCTTCAATTACAAGCAAAGTGTCTCCAGAACATATCGTAAGCTCTTTCAGTGTGGCGTCCTGGGAATACAGAATTTCCTTTTTGTCACTTATGATTTCGGAAAGGAATAGACGCTTACATTTTTTAACCTTATGCCTCTATTACTCTTTCAAGAAATACATGACTAAAGCAACAGATGTTGAGGAGACAGGAAATGACTATAAAGTAGTATATCATCATGCATTAAATGATGGGTAAAAACTGTAAATTTCATGAAAGATCAGAGGAAAGGGACATGGATGAGATGAGAAATTATGAGAGCCTTTTACAAGAGATGAAATTTCAGCTAAGCCTAGGAAAATGAACTGAACTGGGAGAGCCAGAGGGAAGAGAACTAACTCCTGGAAAGAGCAGAGTGTCCGGGAGGTCAGGTCTAAGCCCGCTTGTTCTGATGAGAGGGGAGAGCTGGACCTGAAGGTGGTCACCGCGGGGGAGGGCGCTGCTTCGAATAGAGGTGCCACGATCTGGCTGCACATGGACGACAAACGGAAGTGGGGAACACCGGTCCTGGGAGCCTGCTGTGGCAGTTTGAGTAAAGGGGAGTAGAGGCTCGAAGGAGGCCAGCAGCGGGGCTGGTCAGGGAGGACGGGAGAAGTGACAGCCCTTGAAAGACTGAGAGTGACGTGAAGATGACAGGCACGTGGTGAGACAGCAAATCACGCTTCCTTCTGAAATGGGGACGTCTAGGAAGAAGAGCCAGACTTGGGCGTAATGAGCATGCTTTCAGGTGAGCTATTTGACAGCAATTTGGGAATCAGTGAAGAAGAAAGTGTGGAAACCATCTGACTAGCTACCCTCTCCGTCCTGAACAGCTGAGTCTGCTGCTGACTCTGGGCAGCCAGGTTCCCAGCCAGGGCCCAAGGGAGGCCTCTTCACTTGGACAGCAGTGCGGCCGAGCACCCCAGGGCCCAGCGTGCCAGCCCCACTCTGCCTGCGGCTCCTCTCAGCGCCCCGACAGCGGGCAGCTGCGGCGGGGCCTGAGTGGCTGAGCACATCCTCTCAGCTTCCTCACAGAGCTTCACTTTGGGTCAACTTCTAAGGCCATGGGTTTGGACTGGGAGGTTTGATGCTTTTAGGCCAACAACAAGATTAACCACCCTTTAAGCCTGAGCAAGAAAAAAGTGCAAGCAGACCCAAGGGTGGATTTTTATACCCTACAAAGAGCTTTCTCTAGAATTTAGTCATAAGAGTGGTATATCTTGTATGAAAATACAAAACACAATCATTTTGAGGGATAGAATGTATAGAAAGAGCCTTACTTCTTCACATAAAGGCTCTCCGGCCTCATAGCACCAATCCATTTTTCGTAAATGCCACGAGTCTCCTGTGAAGGAACCAAACCAGATGGAAAAAATTCAGAAAAATATGTTCTAAGACTTTATCAAGAATGACCCTTCTAGGGCCTCCCTGGTGGCGCAGCGGTTGAGCGCTGGGTTGCGAAGCTGCCCGCAGCCTCTGCGGCGCCGGTTCGATCCCCGGCTGCTCCCTGGCCACCGGAGGAGGGTCCCACATGGCGCGCAGACCTCTCCTGCCGCCCGCTGCTCCCCTCAGCAGTGTCCTTCGGTCCCTCTGCCTGCTCTGCTCCCCGCTCTGGCTCTGGTGAATCCTCTCACCCTCCCGCGCTTCTGACTGTACCCAGTGCTTGTATAAATAAATAAATAAATCTTAAAAAAAAAAAAAAGTGACCCTTCTAGATAAATGAATAGCAAATGGAACTTGATTTAATAATTAACTAACTTTTAAAATTAAATTATACTTCCAGAATAGGAAGAAAACTAAGTTGTTTCTCAGTTTGGTTAATGTGCTCTCTATTCCACCAATAATCGTATGCTTGTGAATAAAAGTGACACTTGCTACTATTATGTGACATTTGATTATGCCTTTATTATTCACAGACTAACACAAGCCGTCTTCCTGGACGAGCACTGTAGTGAGGTTACACTGAGGAACTGGAAAGAGCAGTGCCTCGAGGAGTGGAGGGTGCTGAATAGAGTGAATGTTGGATTTTTAACCCTGGATTATTAAAAAATAAAAACCATCACCAAACAGTCAACTCCCTTTCGCCCCCAAAGCAGCTGCAGCCAAAGGCACAAACCCAGATCCAACATCAGCCCCTGCAGCCCACAGGCTTCCAGTCCCAGGCCGCCTCTTTGCCAGCCCTCTTTTGTTTGGCCTTAGCTTTAGACCCAGTAAGACAGACAGCAACGGTTAACCGATGTATGTATGTTTAGCAAAACACCAGCGAGCTAACAGCGTTCATGGCGCACTGGGTGGAAGGAGCTTGGGTCCTGAAATTGGCGGCCTAGCCGCTTGCTGCACCCCTGGGGAGCCATGGGGCCCTTCTTGGCCTCGGTCCTGTGGCCTCTAAAACAGGAACAGGTGGTGGTCCCTGACGGGGAAGACTGTCATGCACAATGACTGCCCGCACCCACAGCTGACGCCCCCATTCCACTTCCATGGAGTGAAGGCATAGCAAGAACTGGGGAGCAGGACAGCGCCTCCTCCACCCTCCCCACCCCCATGCCTTATCCACCCAAGGCTCCCACTTCAGGACGCCCTGGCCAGTCGTTTCCTCTGCACTACAGCCCCTAGTCTCCACCCCGGAAAAGCAGCCTGCAACACTTGCGCCCGCTCCAGGTCAGTGAGAGCAGAGAGCTGGGTGACCGGAGGGAGGGCTAGGCTAGCCCTTACTCTTAAGAACCTGTGCTGGACCGCCCCCCAGGCTCTCTGCCGATGGGCAGGCTAATCTGCTGCCACTTCCTCTCAGTGGCACACAAGAACCTGGAGAATTCATCATGTAAGAACAGAAACGTAAAGTGGAACTGACATGGGGAAAAACTACAGAGAGAAAAGAGCAGAAAAGTATCGGATGGTCTCACTCAGAGCATGAATACAGGGGAACCAAATAGGACTTTATGAAAATTAATAACAGTACAAAACACAACAAAGCAAAAATGGACAATTGTAAATCAGCGGCACCCTACGGGGAGGAGGAAGGAGAGGGAGCAGAGGGAGGGAGGGAGGTGCACAGGGTGACAGCGCACGCACGGTGCACTGGGAAAGGAAGTTCTATGGGACTACACCTGAGGGGGCGGGAAGCAAATATTGTTTAGCAATGAACGATGTAATGGTAAAGAGTTTGCATTCACTTTAAGTAGAGGGTGTGGCCGAGAGCCCTGGTGGGGCAGCCTTACCTGACAGGCCAGATTTCTCCAGCATTATTTTTAAACACTGTAAAAAAAAGAATAATGCTCATTAGCTTTGTTTCTGAGTCACAGTGTGAGAAATGCCTGCAGGCCGGGGCCTGCTGCGCACGGTGATTAAGATGAGAGGCCCCTGCAGCCTTGAGGAACCAGAGGCCTGCAAAGGCCTCAGGGAGAACAAAGAGACACACTGCTCCTTTGAAGTTTTATGGTTTCTTTTCTCTGAAATTAAAAAACACTGGGCACATGTTCACAGCATGCAACGAAGGGTTAAAATAAAGAAATCAGAAATGTTTTGCCACAGAAAATCTCCAACGCCCGCAAGCAGGACAGTCCGCGCCCAGTCCTGTCACCTAGCGGAGCCCCTGCTCCCCTCTGCGTCCTGGCCCCTCTCTCGAGAGGCAATGCTCGGATGTTGTACCACTCATGAATTGTCCTCATCTCTAAAAGATAAAAATTCTTTCCAAAATCAGTAATTCCTTAACAGCAAATATGCAGCCAGTGTTCAAATTTTTCTGCCTCCTCTACCTAAGCCTCTCCTGCCCTTCAGGCTGCCTCACCCGGCAACTGTGTCCGCTTCGGGGCGTGCAGACTGCAGGCCTGTGTGCAAGGAACAAGTTTCTGTCCCTGTACTTGAAACTCGGGGCCAGGGTTTGGAGTTTGTTTTGGCAAGAAGGGCGTGGTCGTTGTTTGGAACCTTCAGAATGCCTGCGTTTTGCTCTTTCTGAGTTCTAAGTTTTGCAGGGTCATTACCTAAATCTACTATTTAGATCTAGGAAATGAGATTAGGAGTTGAAAAACTGATGGTTAAAGATTCTTCATTTTATTAGCTGGAATTCGTCTAAAAAGCCTTCCCTTCTGTTCGGCTACTCTGTTGTCGATAATGGACACAGGAGAAACAAGATAAATGCTCGTTCTTCCCTCCATCCTCCAGAGAACTAATAATTCTTTCAGTGAGTGTGAACTCACTGGCTTTATGCGTGTCCACCATCACCCCCACTGATGGCATCTCTGAGCAGCGGGAACCTGTCCTAGCGGGCTCCTGGCAATCTGCAGCGTCAGGACGCCTTGCTATTATGACAACGTACTCCAGGCTCATCTCCGTCTGCTGACCGAGACGCAGAAGCCGCTATTCCCCCAGAAGTCCTGGTTCCTTCCAGCACAGGAAATGGTATTTGGCGACTACCATCCCAGCTGGGCTCTCTAGCGCCTGTTTGATCACGGTTTCCAAGCTATTTTAGGGGACAGAGCTGGAAAAATAGTTTTAAAGAAAAAAACACATTGAGTTCATCCTGACTCTCCACATCAGAGCACAGGCTTATCTAAGGACCTGACGCACCGCCGCTCCACATCCCCGAACTCCAAGTCCAGCTCTCTGTGAGGGCAAGGTCAGTGTCTGTCAGCATCATCATGTTCACACAAACACTCATGCTCGTGCGTGTGTGGCTGTGTGTGTCGATAAAGCAAAGACTCCAGGAGGATATATGCCAAGCGGTTGGTATTGGTGGGCGAGGGGATGAGGGACTTCAATTCTTTTAATCTATTTCTGTATAATTTAAATTACTATGATAGGGCCTCCCCAGTGGCGCAGTGGTTGAGCGCTGGGTTGCGAAGCTGCCCACGGCCTCTGCGGCGCCGGTTCGATCCCCGGCTGCTCCCCGGCCACCGGAGGAGGGTCCCACATGGCGCGCAGACCTCTGCTGCCGCCCGCTGCTCCCCTCAGCAGTGCACTTCGGTCCTTCTGCCTGTTCTGTTCCCCTCTCTGGCTCTGGTGAATTCTCTCACCCTCCCACGCTTCTGACTGTATCCAGTGCTTGTATAAATAAATATTTAAAAAAAATTACTATGATCAAGTATTATTGATAATCAGAAAAGAATCTTATTTAAAAAATTCTAGTTGGGTCACTAATTTTCAAGCTCCCCAAACTACTCCTTTAGTAAATATATAAAATTCTTTTAACATTTGTAAATCCTCGCCTTAGGACCTCAAAATCCTGACGCAAGTTACCACTGCTCCCAACCCACATGCCCCGAGCCTCCCAACCCCTGCTCCAAAAGTGAATTAATTACTCACTTCTCTCACAGATGTAGTTTCTTCCACTGTGACCTCCATCTCTGCCCCAGGCTGGATGTCACTCCCCAGAGCAAAAAACAGGAACAGCTGAGACCAAGAAGGAAGTGTAAATGCAGTCACTCTGAACTTTAAAATTCTATAAATATATCACTTCCAAAAGGGAAAGCCAATGGCCCATGAAACTAACAAAAATCTCAAATTATGTAAACACGAGATGGTGTTGGGTAACGTTACAATTTAAACAATAATCTCCACTACCCAGAAATGTAAACGCTTCATCACCAATGCTCTTCCTCAGTAAACATCATCTGCCGCGCTCACCGTCATCTACCTTGCTATGCCCTCTTTCTCTTTCTCGGTCAAAGGGACTTGCAGGTACCTTACCCTATTGGCATTAAGGGGCATTTTTCCTGAGTCATCAGCTGCGATCTCATTTTCTGTTCCGGGATCCATACACTGCAACTCCCAAGACCCCACAAGAAAAACCTAACTCCGCTCCCAATGGTCTGACTCTTCCTAATGCGGCTTCTCTTGTTACGCTTGCCCTCAGCTCAGCTTGGCATGCACTGCTACTTTCTAGGGTTCAGGGGAGAAGGAGAGCCAAAGGGAGGCGCTTGGGGAAGCAGTGCAGTGGATCCAGGCCCACGGGGAACCTGACGTGCAGCGCGTAAGGCGGGAGCCTCACTGATTGTGGACAAGGACAAGAGCTTATTAAATGGGCAAGGCTTCTGGCAAAGGTCAGCCTGATGGTATCTGATCCTGCAAATGAAGACTGGAAAGGACAGAGATACTGTGAGACTATTATGTTACTGCAGAGAGCAAGTAAGTCCCAAGTCCACATGCTGTGCTTCATCAAACCTATGCTCCTGGGGTTACTCATAATTTTTGAACCACTGAGAAAGTAAAAACTGTCTCAGCTGTAACTGCAGGATGCCACTGACTGCAAGATGCAGACTCATCCTTGACTTAAAATGCGAGTAAAGGGGGCGGGCACACTGCAGAACTGATGAAGCGCGGCAGCCGAAGCTGACAGTACTCAACTGTAACAGCCCCCTCAACCGTCACGTGTTCACAGAAGAACCTTATAAAGTGCTGTGACATATTTTATTTAAACAGAACTACATGATGTCATCCTCAAATAAATTATTGAAGAAGGAGCTTTTAAGAAAGCCAGCACCGCTGTAGTAAATGAGGGATGTGGAAGGGGCTTTACTCGGCCACGCAACCTGCCGTTACCTGAGTGGATGTCGGGGCCTTCCCGGGGCACAGACCCAGCGAGCTCCCCATCTTTAGTTCTGCCTCCTTCAAAGTATAGTTGTCTGGCACTATAAAGAATTTTGAAAACATGGTGAATGCTATTAACTCCCTCCTAGGCAAAATAATATGCCAAAATTAGTCTTTTTTTGAAAATCAATAATGTCAAGAAAAAATACTAATCTGTGAGTTACACGTCATACGAAAGAGTAATCTATATAGGTGTGTCTGGTTTCAGTTTCCACACCTGGATATATTGTTATCTGTACAACAGAATTAAGAAACGAGACAGCAATGAATGCTCTAGGTTCAGACTTAATTAAAAAATCCGTTGTTTACACGGATTAAAAGTCAGATAATCCAAATCAGTTCGCTGAAGATGGACTGGCTGCTTCTAGGTTTAAAGCCGCTATGCTGACCCGTCCGTGACGGAATTAAGTCTACTGACGAGACGTGTTACGGACCCATGAGCCAACTGCTGTCACACGAAAATTAGCAAAACAAAAAACTGCCAATAAACAAGACAGTGATAGCTATGTCAAAATCACAACTAAAATGAGGATCGACTAATCGGACAGATGGGTGTTATTATTTAAAAAAACAAGTCCTCGACTTTTTGTTCAGTTTTCTGTCACACACGAAGAAGACACTGGACGGCACTGTCCTGAGTCAGGTTCTAAAATGTAAACCAAGAGTACTGGGTGCTGGATGTCACTGTTTCACGTAGGAAAGTGCGCAGGAGGCCAGGTGGCATGTGTGTGTCAGCTTCTGAAGGCGGCCAAAAGGAGTTACCTGGACAGAGAAGCTTCCCATTTCTATCAATAGGTCTCAAACAGCTGTCCTCAGCTAGAAACAGAGAGAAGGGAGTTAGAACCAAACAGAACTCTAGAGACCTGCTCTGCTGTGTCAATTAGCAGGAAGCTACCACTAGCCACAAGTCCAAGGAATTCAACAAAACCCAGCAACCGAAAAACAAGCACGGGCACTCTTCCTTTTGCAGATGTGTGAGGCGGTAAAAATGCCCGAGCAAGGGGATGCTGTGCAAAAAATCTTAATGAGAAAAATGACAACTGAATTTTTGAAAGGAAAGGTTTTGTGACCTTTCAGCATCTTTGTCAAGGCACTTAAATCTGTCACTAATGAATATATTGTGAAATTAGAAAATAGTAAAATATTTACATTTACATTGTAATTTAAAATATTAGGAACACCGAGAATTAAAGTTTTTTTTTTTATGCTTTGTGAAAATCATAACCAGGAATAGCTTAAACGGGGCTTTCTTCTCATTACAGAGGGAGCATCTTTCTAAGCCTCAGAGAATTGTTCCAGTGCTCTCTGAGTCTGGATCTGCTTCCAATAAAAGCATGTTGTGCTTCTGATGCCGTGTCTCAAGAGCTCCTTTGGCGTGCAGTTTTTGAAGATGTCACTTCCTCCGGGACAGCCTCATTCTTTCCATCACAACTAATTCCCTGACTTGTGTCGACAGGTTCACGTTCATCATTTCCTCCGGCTGCACCTCTGGAGGCTCTTGAACGCCAGCAGGGGCAACGTTCGGTGATGAGCGACTTCGTCTATAACTGCATATACTTTTGTTTCTTTGCTGCACTTTGACCCATGTTGGCCGATTCCAATTGTTCTTTTTTTGTGAAACTGACCGTGGGCTTACTGCTGGGAGAGAGGAGGCAATGAACTGCACACTTTGCGGCCTGCAGGGAGGCAGCGACCAGTCACTGACAGACTTCAGAGGGAAGTCACTGGTCACTGAGGATGCGCCTGCGACTTCCGGGCTGAGCGTGCGCTGAGGAGCTGCAGCAAGCCTGGGCTCTGAGTGCTCGCTCAGCCCAACGTGGTGGGAACCGAGCAGCGCTGCTGGGTTGCTGGAGTGACGCGACGAACTCTTAAATGAAATGTGTGCGAGTCGGAACTGGACAGAGATGGCCTACACTGAAGATGGTAGGTGATTTTTAAGGTTATTAATGGACTGGAGCTAGTGAAGCGGGATGGGAGGGAGGTGGAGCCTTCTGAGAAGGCAAGAAAGGCCACGGCTGCAAAGTTCTGACTTTACTCAGACCATCGCAGAGGCGCCATCCGAGGCTCCTGAGTTCTGTATCTACACGACAGTGACATGAGGCTAGCATATAATTCTAATACAAACTTCCTGACAATATATAAAAAGAGTTATCCAACTTAGAAAATGCATTTTAATATTGTCTCCTGGTATTTTTTCACTCTCACTCAACACTGTGTCCAGGCCCTGCACTCTGGAAGCTGACAGGACAGCAGTGAGCAAAACAGCCTCGTCCAGTGGGAGGCCGTGTCCATCGCACGAGCATGCAGGGAGCTGGTGTCGGCGCTGTGAGGGAAGAGGCATGGAGAAGAGAGGAACTGAGGCTGCATGGTCAGGGATGCGCGGGGAAGCTCCATTTTCCTGAGACCAAATGAGTGTGGAGTTGGTGGGCAGGAGTGAAGGAAGAGAGTCCACAGTGATGGGGCACCAGGAGGCTGCAGTGGTGGGGTAGAGCTTGTGCACTAGAGGTCACAGTAGGTACGCAGGCAGCATCAGTCGGAACAAGCAAAACAGCCACTGCAGCGAGGCAGTCAGGTTGTGGCGGAGGGAGCAGGAGAGGCCACCCGCACCGGGGAGGTGCCACAGTCTGTGAGCAGCAGTGAGGGCTCATGCCAGCATTTAGGGAGACCCTTGCTCTTGGCAGCAGGGTGCGGAGTGGGGGCGGGAGGCAGGGAGACGATGAACTAGTCACTTTAATGAGCTGATAGTCAGCGAGCCTCCTGAGGGGCTGCTGACCTACAGTGCAGCACAGCCAGCTTAAGTGCAGTTCCAAGGGCTTGACACACACACTCCGTAACCGCCCGTAAGGGGAGCTTTAACTTACACCCATTCCCCAAGACCCCCACATCGCTGCGGGCAGCTGCCACCCCGTCCCAATCTGCCTGTGTAAAGACAGCTGAGGTTTTCCTTTGGAAGACCTGATGTGAGGGGGACAGAGGGGGCACTTGTCCCCAGGTCCAGCCTGTTTTGCTCGGCATGCTGCCTCTGATGTTGGCCCATGTTTGGCATGAGGTGAGTGTTCGTTGCTTCTGCGTGTGAACAGCTCCCCTGCACCAACACCATGATCTGCTCCTCACTCCCTGCTCACATCACATGGGTTATTTCCAGTTTTGGGTTGCGAACATGCAGGGACAGTACTTGTAAGGCATTGCCTTGGTTTTTCTTGGACAAACATCTGAAAGAGTTGGTGAGCGAGCGCTCAGTTCACAACAAACACGCCTTCACCAGGGCCCGCACACGCTGCATGCCCACTGGCCACAGCTGTGCTCGTGCCAGGGCATCAGCGCTGTACACTGTGGATAGTGCCACAAAGGCCAGTGGCGCTGTGCACTTTGCCCTGTGTGTGGAGGTTGCGTGCATGCAGGCTTTTTTGGTGAAGTGCCCTCTAACTTGGGTTGGGTTGTCTTCTGACTCGGTCAGTCAGGTTGCATGCTGGGTGCAAGGCTACTACTGTCAAATACGTTTTTTTACAATTCTTTTCTCCCCGATTGTGGCTTGCCTTTTGAAGAATAGAAAATTAAAATTTTGATATAATCCAAATTATTAGGTTTTTCTTTCACTGTTAGTTTTTTTTCAATTCTACCTAAAAATTCCTTTTAGTTATGGCAAGAGTAACAGATTTTCTTCCAGGAAATTTAGTTTTAGTTTTCACATTTAGGACCAGGATTCACTTTGAGTCATGTGATGCAAAGCAAAGCTAGCGGCCCGTTTCTGCATCGATGGCCAGCCAGCTGGGCCCGTGACACATGGAGACTCTCCCCATGGAAATAACTTGGCACTAGTGATGAATGTAAACTGACAAAGTGTACCAGGATTCTTACCGTGGTTCCACTATGAATGTTCTAGGTTCTAAAAACCACGTATGACCTTTGTTGTAAATTCTTCTAAATAGAGGCTTTAAAAATGAAAAACTGCAACAATGAAATATATAAAAGAAAACATTGACAAGTCTCATGACATCAATGATAAAGATTATTTTTGAGATTTGATCCATATGGCAAGAGAAATAAAAAGGAAAAATAAACAACTGGGATTACCTCAAGTTAAAAGGCTTTTACACAGTGAAAGAAAAATACAAGTAGATTAAAAAGGCATTTTCCTGAGTGAGAGAAGATAGTCACACATCACGCCACTGATGGGGTTAAAATCTTAAACATACCAAAAACACAATTCAAAAATACAGCCAATTAATAAATGGGCAGCAGGTCTGAAGAGACAATTCACCAAAGGGCATATTCAGGACGTCAAATGATGGATGGAAAAATGTTCATCATCCGTTTTAATGGGGGGAATTTAGCCACAGTGAGGTACCATCTCTCGCTCATGGAAATGGCACATACCGAGAAGCCCCCAAACCCTGTTACACCGTTGGGGGGGGAAAGTAAACTAGTGCAGCCATTTTGGAAGGTGATCTGAACTTGCCTAAAGAAACTAAAAACAGACACTGTAGGAGCCAGTAATCCCATTCTTGGGATCTATCTACAGAACATGACACCATCAACTAAAAAAATTTTATGCTCTACAGTGTTTACTGCAGCATTAGTTACAAAAGCCAGGACTTGGAGACAGCCTGAGTGCCCACTGATAGGGCACTGGGTCAGGAAGAGGGGGTATAGCCACACCACAGAACAATTCAGCCATAAGGAAAGACTCTGAGGGAATTACATGCCATAGAGCCAGTCAGAAAGACAAAGACCAATGCTGGATATTTACATAGTAAATGATTTGAAAAGCAAAATACTTAAAAAAAAACTAGTGGGCACTAATAAATAGTGAGGCTTCTGAGGCTAAGAGGGAAGTGAAAAGGAGAAAAAGTCAAAGAAATAGTAGGGATGGTGGTGGAGAGAAAAATGAAAAATTCAGGGAGAAAGTTTGGGCCACAGAGAGTAGGACTGTAGCCCTGAAATCTCAGGAACAGCATCTATCCACTCGTTCATTCACTCACTCACTCACTCATTCCTCCCACAAGTATTCCACGAATGCCGCTGTGGGCGAGGCCCTTAGCTGGGAGCTGGACAATATTAATGAAAAGACGGCCAAGGAGCCCACACTTGAGGAGCTAAGATTCTAAACGGAAAAGGAGAGGAAAAGGGAAAACTAGTCTCAGCTCAGGGCTGCACCCTGGCGGGCTGGAGACCCACCTGGTGGCCCACTTCCTGTCTGCGCTTCTGCAGAGCACACTGGCGTGGTGCGACAGGCCTCAGAGCAAGTCTTGAAATCAGACAGTGTAACTCTTCAACTTCATCTCCCCACCCTCCCCGAAAATTTTCATGGATACCTTCAGTTCTTTCTATTTCCATATAAATTTAAGAATCAGCTAACCAATTTCTTAAAAAAAAAAAAAAAATCCTACTATGGTTTTGAGTGAGCATATAACGAATCCACAAATAAACTTTGGGAGAATTATTCTTTTAACAATTTGAGAACATGTATATCACTCCATTCATTCATTATTAACAGCAATGAGTTCTTCACAGCAATGATTTCTACATACAGGGCTCACACATTTATCACCAGATATTTTATGGTATTTTCTGCTATTATAAATGTTATCTTAATTTCATTTTTGTTGCTAGTAAAAATACCATAAATTTTTGCATGTTGACTTTGAGCGCTTGTTTAATCCACTTAATAATTCTAGTAGCTCCCGAATAAAAACTGCAGGATATAAAGAAGGCAGTCAGTGCATTGCTAGAAAGCGCGAACCCACGTATCACGGGGACAGTGGTTCTTATGCAGGGTGGCCGTAATAAGGCAGTCCCAACCACTGGCAAGGACCTGGGGTCCTGCAACCCAACAGGCTGCTGGCGGGGACAGAAACAGCTTTGCCATGTTGAAGGCAGGATGGCAGTTTCTTAGAAAGTTACACAAACCTGCCATATGGCCCAGCAATTCCAATACTAGGTATCTACCCAAGGAAAATGAAAACTATGTCCACATAAAGACTTAAATGTAAACGTTCACAGCAGCATTGATCATAACAGCCCCAAAGTGGAAACAACCCAAATATCCATGCCCTGGCAAATGACCACACACAGTAACACAACACACTGCGCAGGGCCAGCCAGCAGTAAAAAGCAACTGCTGACAGCTCCTAATCCGGGATGAACCTCAGTGAAAGAAACCATACACCAAAGACTATTATTTACTAAAAAGTAAGTACACAGAGAGCAGGGGGACTACCAGAGGCTTGGAATGTAAAAGGGCTTGAGTGAGCTTTTTGGAGTGACAGAAATGCTCTAAAACTGGACTGGGGTGATGGCTGCATAAATCTACGTATTACCTAACAATCGCAGAATTACACTTAACGCGGGTGTTTTGAGGCATGTAAATTAATTTCAATAAAGCTGTTAATGAAAATCTCATGTTGTGAATAATTTACAGAAAGTTGTATCCGGTGTGACAGAACTTATGCAATTAGGAGAAGGCGTGTGCACAGGCAGACGTGCATGCGAGGGTGCGCCGGGGCCTCGCTGCCTGGATACACACCGCTGGCTGCGCGGGGGAAGGAGCGAGGAGAGGGAGGAGGGAGAGAACAAAGAGGACGTCAGCTTTCCCGCAGTGTTTCCAACACAAACCTACAGGTGACAGAAGTTGAGTTTGTCCCTTCTGGGCGGCAGGGGCAGGAGCTTCTCTGACTCACTACTGTACTCGCCCGTATTTTTAATTAGAAATCAAAACGAAACTAAATTAAATAAAAAAACAAAAAACAAAAAAACAAAAGCAAACGTAAATGATTACCTAGTTCCTTCATTAATTTTAATTCCTCTATGGCTTTAATTCGAATATCAAACACCACCTAAAATAGAGAAATAAACTAATGACTGTGTATAAGGTGACCAGTGAACAGTGGGGGGTGGAGACTGGCAAGGTGGTACGCAGGTTACAGCAGTTACTCGCTACCTGGCATCCAGCTGTACAACCTACTTGAAAAACTTTTTCCACCACTGAAATTCATTTTGTCTCTTGCACAAAATTGAAAGCAAAAACTTAGATCTTAATGGTTACATTTTTATCAAATCGATGTTATTGGGAAAAGAAAGAACACCTACAGAACACTAAAACAATTTAGCTACAAAGGCAAAGAGGTGGCAAACCACTGATCTTTCTGCCAAGAGCAGAATAAACTGGAGGTAATCCATCTCTAAGGGACAACTAGTAAACTCATATAATAATCCATGATGCTAATCCAAAGACACTATTTAAATTTATTTTAGAAAAACTTTTCTTCCTTTAAAGTTCAAATTAAATTGCCTGTAGGGCTTAAAACTGGAAATTCAGCTGTGAAACTGATGGCAGAGATGACTCCCCGCTTCCTGCTGGTGCTCCACGTTGCACTCCAGAGGCTGAAGCAACCAAGGGCTCCCCGCCCCCACAGGGACAGGGGAGGCCTCCCAGCAGTAGTGGTCTGGCCCACAGACTGCCCCCTTGGCCGCAACCAATCACATGCATACACTCTGAGAAATGATATCTTTATGAAAGAAAACATTCTGAGTTTCTTTAACATTACAGAAAAATAATAAATGGAGGTACTATGGGAACAAGAAAAGCTGCTGACTGCAGTGTTTAAGGACCCCAGTATGGCAGTCCGAATGGAAGACTGAGCAGATCCCGCTTAAGGGCAGGTGGCTTTATATAAAGCACAGTGTTATGCGGAACACTTTAAGGTAAACTTAAAAACCCAAACACCACAACACAAAACCAAAGCATATATACCCTGAAAACAGCATTTCATGTTTATCAAAGCCAGACAGGAACTAATGAAGTAGCTTAACACCCCCGTTCCAATTCTAGGCTTTGGACTTTTTAAAAAATAAATATATGCCAGTGGACAATATATGTAAATAAGCTATAATAAAACACTGAAAATTAAGCTGATTTCTTAAGATTAAGAAAGTTAAGATTTAGAAAATGTTATGAAAGATTCTAAATAAAATTCTGTTAACTAAAAACCTATTCACCAAACTTTGGTTATAATTTACTCACTGTGTTAACAGTTGCTGATATTTTAACCTGTTTCTCTTCAGAATCTAATTGGCATAAGTTTTTTACTTGGAGCCAGTCAATCTCACTCACGCTGGTGATGCAGTTCACTTGTTTGGTCAACAAGCTGTAAGGAAAAAGACATGGAAAGAAAGTGTCTTTACACAGCACTGCTAGGACAAAAGAGATCAGAAAATTAAAATCTCTCCTTAGGCACCACTTTGAAGTCCGCGTGTGCCCTTCCTTGTGACTAACTACGGTCCCGCGTTCTGCTGAGCAGGCTCTGGCAGGTGACGCGCCCCTCAGGGAATTGGCAGGCGGTAGCCTTGGGGGTCCACATTCATGACTCCAAATATCCCCGACTTATACAAATAATTTATTGTCACATTTTTCAAAGGGAACTGCTGTAACTGAACAGTCATTAGCTTCCGCTGGCACCCGGGAATCAGCAGGGAGCCTTAAGACTATTTCTGCCAAAACCTCCCTCAGCCTGAGGTTTAATTTAATGCTAGGACAGCCACGGCAGTCGCGCAGAACGCCACCACGTGGAAGTGCCACATCTAAGGGGTACCCATCACATCGCCACGTCGCATATTTGTGCTTCAGTGTAGCATTCTGTTTTGTGATAGCAAGGGGCAGTAGTGTCTCCTACAAAAATGTCCCCACATAAAGTGGTCACAGGGCTTGAGGGAGGGGTGACTTCTAATTCACACAGAATCACTGAATGCACCAGGAGAAGTCTTTTTTGGGAGACCTCTAACACACAATTCTACTCTTTGTTTCAGCTATTCACTCTGGAACTCCACCCCAAGTTAGCAATCTTGGAAACAGCAAAGTGTCAAGCACAAAGGCTACCTTAAAATAGTGAAAAACTGGATGATGATGACTGTGACGATGATGTAGCTAAAATGTTTGGCACTGTGAGCAACGCTCTGCAAGCACTTAACTCTCTTGAACCTTACAACTCTCTGCTGTTATGCTGATGATCATCCCCATTTTACAGAAGAAGACACAGTGGAGAAATGAAGTTACTTGCTCATGGTCGTAGTGAGTGATACGGCTGGAGGTCAGCCTAGTGGGCAGCTCAGAGTCCCAGCCTCACCAGCGCACTGCACTGCTGGCACAGGGGTGGCCTCACCACTGCACGGCAGCACACTGCCTACACAGGCGCAGCCTCACCACTGTACTGCCCTGCAGTGCAAATGTAACATCAATGTAGCCATGAGGTGAGGCTTATGAAGAGCCTCCAAAAAAGGGGGTGAGGGAGCAGGATAAAACTAGCTACAAAATAATCATTATTTTGTTTAAAAAGAAAGAACTTTCACAACAAAAGCCAATTACTTGAGCTCAGAAAATCACCAAAGTTAACAGAGATTGATACTAGCAAGGCCAGAGACCCGTCTCCTGTCTTCACTGTGAACTTCCCAAGGCCTAAGAATGCATTATACTTTTTATAAAGGAATAGATAATAAAGTGTATTAAATAATCAGGGGGAAGAATGAATGTCTGGAAAACAGCTGTCAGAAAGAGTAACAGTGATAAGCAGAGTATAAAACAGTCAAGTTCACGGTGCGTTGCCTCTCTGTGTCGCAACCACTTTATATCGGAAGAGAAACCCTGGGCCCAAGTCTGCTCACAGCACTGACAAGGCAGGCAGCTGGCTCAGCACAGGGAACCTAGAGTCTCCACAATGGAAGTTTGGGGCGACAGTGCATGACACCACGGCTATGGAAATGTACTCATAGACGAGGTCAGCAAACACAGAGCCAGGCAGCACTTCTAAGCTCCTAGTGACATATAGGGATGCAGGCGCATCCCCCCAGGAGGAAGGCCTTTCCCAGGCAGCGCGGGAGGCTCTCAGTCAGAAAATGGGTTCCGATGAAAAACTGAGTAGATTTATGGGTTTTCTTGTGACCAAATATTTAGACAAATTTAGTGATGATTTTAATGTCTTTCTCCAGAACTTTCTTTGTAAGAAAGTGCCTTCATTTTTAGAAAGAGGACTATCAGAATTCATTTGATAGGATTCTTCTTTATAGCCAAGTAATCTAGACTATATCTAACTTACCTTCTCAAATCACATCACAAAACCATTTCTTCTCCAAGTAGCCTAACCTAGGACATTTCTATTTACCCTACATAGATGACAATGTCTTGAAATAAAAGAAATGTTCAATTTGGATCTTATTAAAGCCTTTAGAGTTTGTAGAGACAGTACTGTAACTGAAATAATTTTAAAGAAATTTTGTTTCAGCGAGTTACCTGGTGTCATCATTATTAGAATCCTGAATTAAAACCGAGCTTCCGTTTCTGACGCCTTGTTCTCTGAATGTCTTCCTCAAGTCCTCCTCGGGAACAGGGGCCCAGCCCTCTTCTCCTGTAGAGTCAGTGCTATTGAGGAAGACCACCCCTGCCGGGAGAGCTAAGGCCGTGAACACGGTGCCTACTTCAGCGTTAGACGGAAAGACGTGGGAAGATTCTATCAGCTGCTGACAGCTTTCTCCATCACTGCTTGTCAGACGAAGAACATTTAAAAGCAGAGGTTCACAGTCACTACCAGTTGAAATCTGGACTCCGCCAACCTACAATGGTACAAGACAACCATTACTAGAGTTTACACTTGCTAGAGTCAAGTCAGCATGAAGTAAAAGGCTACTCTATAGAGTAAGTCTCATTTTTTTCCTTTTCAGGTGAAACATAGTTTTCAGGAATCTAAGTATCAGAAGAACAACTTCAGATTTTTCTTTGGAAACTCTCAGTCATCTTTTATTTTTCTGGGGACAGAGATGTGCAAGTCCTCAGTGGTGGCAGAGGCCTCGGAAACGTATGAGATGAACCAAGGACAGTCCACTGAGCGGCTGAGATGTTCTTCACCCCTTTTTTGACTTAGAAAATTCAGTCTGTTCCCACATGTTCCCTCTAAGGGGACTCATGACAGGGAGTCAACCCCTGATGAGCCCCCAGAGGGGACTTGCACGCCCCCCGCCCCCCAGCATTACTCAGTACAACTGACACCACGCTCGCCTAAGGACACAAACTGACTTACCCACCTTTGCGCCTCCACCTGACACACAGCCTGGCGTGCTAGGGCTCAATAAACAGCTCCTCTACAGGTGATGTGCACTGACCGTGCCACTACTGGACATGTCAACAGTTTTCTAAGGCCTAACTGCCTGCACACACTTGCTTAAAAAGTTCATTATAGTAACAAAAAATCAGAACTACTTTCTCAATACTTTTTTACCTCTACTCCATTCCATACAAAGATGTCTTCCCCATCAGCAATTTCAATTTCACACAGTGTCAGGTCATCTCCTAGGAAGATGAGATTATCAGCGAGACCAGCCATCACGATCATGAACAACTGAAATAAAGCAAGCTGAGATACTTTGTTTGAAAAGCATTCTCATCAAGGAAAACTAAGGAAAAGGCAATAACTATGTTGGCTATTTTATCTTAATTTTACTTATTCCTACCATCACATTTTAGCTCCCCCCCTGGCATTTTACATACTTCCCCATGTTATTTCATAAGCTTTGTGAGCATAAAGTAGGAAAAACAGTTAAAAGGTCAACGGTACTTGACACCATGAGCAGGCCCAGGCCGAGCCGCCTCGCCCACCACTAGTCGGCGCTATGTGTGCCGCAGGTCTCTGTGCCCGTTTTCTCATTATGAAACGGGGGTAAAAGAATTTGTGAAAAATCAAATGAGATCATTTATATAAAACACTTATCACCGTACTTGGCACAGGCCGAAAGAAATGTTACTACTACTATTATTGTTGTTTTGCTGTTAAAGGCTTTTTAAGCTCTCAAACTACCTTTGTTTTGCTACAAAGACTGAAACTGAGAGTTGGGTAAAAAATTAATTTTTTGAGTAATTATTTTACTCAAATAACTTGTGATGATATTAAAACAAAAAGTTCAAAGTCTAAAAAAAATTGCTTTGGTAGAGAGGTAGTGCTAATTTCAGAAAATACAAAACATTTCTTGTCATTTAAATACATAAACTGGGTGAATGATTTGAAAACGGACAGTAATCTTCATACTTAGGAAGGTGGCAGGTATGGTTAAAAACTGGCCAAGAGTAGAAAATCTCGGATGAGTCCCACGAAAACTAAAGATATAAAATGTTTTGTTTGGTATCTTCTTACCATGCAGCGTCTGGTAAACGTGAAGTCCCGCTGGTACGAACTTTGCGACGCTCAGAACCATATCTCCTTCCCAAAACTCTAAGAGCTGGAGACAGGAATGGAAGGAGAACAGTGACAAGTCACCGGCCACAGTTTCAGGTCAAGCTGATCCTGCGCCACTACACATACAGCTGACCCAGGAGCAAGCAACTGAGCCTTCCCTGCTCTTCCCAACACCAGAATCGTGGGACTAAGACATCCACTTGTTCAGTCAGTCAGTTCCAGAAGAGGGTCGATCTGCCCACCGGTGACCGAGGACTTCTGGCCCACACGAGGGCATGATGCCCACCTCGGCGCTTCCTCTCCGTGTGCGGAGAGAGCACTTTTACCAGAAGGCCAACTGACTCTCAGTGCCTTAAATCTAAATGTGGCGACCTCTGCACAACAGCAAAGATCAACCCTATGAGTCGCTCTCCACAATACAACAAAGTAATTCTCTGTAAAGAGAAATTTCTAATTTACAAATAGGAGTGAATTGTTCGATCTCCCAGCATCTTGTCACGGGCTTACTTCTACGAGAACAAAGATGTGCACCAAAACACCAAGAAGCAGACTGGAGTGACTCTAAAACATGAAAGTGAGGAAGGTCCTTGCCATTCGAAACGTCACCCTAGAGAGGGCTGACTCTACGTCATCGTATCAGCAGCACCGTCAGTCAGGACTGGTTCAGAAATGTGCCTTTAGGGCCTCCCCGGTGACACAAGAGGGTGAGCGCAGTGCTGTAAAGCTGTCTGCAGCCTCTGCAGCGCGGGTTCAATTCCCCGCTGGCCAGGGAGATTCCCACATGGAGTGGCAGAACTCTTCTGTCTCCCCGCTGCTCCCCTCAGCAGTATACTTTGGTCCTTCTGCTTGTTCTGCTCCCTGCTTTGTCTCTGGTGAATCCTCTCACCCTCCCGCGCCTCTGGCCTGTACCCGGGTTCTTGTATAAATAAATAAATTAAAAAAAAAAAGAAAAGAAAAGAAATGAGGCTTTAATGCAGAAGTTCAAAAACATTACATAATTTTAAAAATCCTGATGCTGATCCAACATTTAAATATTATTCAACTCAACCAAAGATAAAAAAGAAATTGGCCTGCCTTTTTTTTTTAACAAGAGGAAATTAAAAAAAAAAGTTTGTAATTATGGTAATTGATACAGCTTTTCAGAAAACTACTTTATTTCTGAAAAAACAATAAACCCTTCCACTTGCTAGTGCCCCTCGCCCTCGCCAGCAGTAACTGGAGGGAGAAGTGTGAGAGGAAGGAGGCGCAGGAGGGCCAGGCTGGAGTGCCGCTTCTCCCACAGCTGGACTTACGGCGCTGGCAAGTCATGGGCCGCATTTTTGAAATGGGGTTAGCAGGCCTCCCTGGGGTTCCCAACCAGAGGGTGTGAGCACACAAAAGCCCTGTAAACACTAGGGACCACTACAACCAGCGGGCACACAGTGGCGCTTTCACCCAGACTAGCAGGTGCCCCCCCACTTGGGATCCTCAGTGAGGAGAGCTCTCCCCTACCAGTGACAGAAAAGTGAATCATTTCATTTGTTCTTGGTTTTAGGCAGCATGCTGATCTTCATCTTTTCACTTCTCTTAAAGGAAGATTCCCTTTCACTTATTTTCCCAACCATCTACTCTTTATTCCTGCAAAACAGAACATTAGCAGACTTGACCGTCCACCTGCGAACCTGCTGGAAGGAACTGCGAGTCTGCCTGAGGGCGTGACTTACTTGTAAGGAGACACTGGGCCACCCCTCCATGGACGTGACAGACATAGCATTTTTCCAAGCAGCTTTGACAAATAAATAGTTATATCGTAAACCGAATTTCAGAAAGGAGACTCCAACTTGAGATGGGTCTTCACGTCCAAATTAAGAAGAAACAAGGCTAATTTACCTGAAATATGGACTGCCGGAGATCTCCTAAAGTTTTTCTTTTATCAAAGGTCAAATCCCACATGCTCTCTGTTTGAGAGATAACTGGGTGCAGGGCCCCATTGAAGAAATGATAATGAGGGCCCAGGTGGAGATGCAATTCAAAATTATTGTTTGTAGAATCATATTCTGACCTTTAAAGAGGAACAGAAAAAAATATATAAATGCTTTGTTTTTCCCAAGACACTGTTGCATCGCAAATCCCCAATATTTGATTTCTACTACAAACAACTTCCCTATTCCAGCTAAGTAACTGTAATTAACACTCTTGCTTCCATGCTCCAACCTGACTTTTAGTTTCTCAATGAACAGCAAAAATTCACTTTTGCTGTTGAATTTCAAGGAAAAACTGTTCCAGCACACACTATGCAAGGATCCCCTGAACGAATCCAGACACGAGTCTCCCAACTCTGAGATTATAGGAACCGTAGGAACAAAATGCTAGAAGTGGGCTCCTCTAACTGTGGGGCCTGCCACGTTAGCCACCTTCACCTGGGCTTTTTTGAGAGCCCAGTAGTCTCTCCTCCGAGCTAACCGAAGCCCCTCTGGGGACCCTCCCAACCCTCCACCCTGTCCACATGCATGTGCTCAGCAGCCTGGCGCTGGCTGCTCCTCTGAATCCAAGCAGCTGCCTGGAAGCTCAGGGCCCAACCCTTTGCTGCAGACAGCTGATGAAAGGGGAGCAGGACGAGATACAGTTCTCTACTGTGGTCAAAGATGGCACTATTTTGCCGACCATATTGAAGAGCTTACTGCTGGCTGACTAACCTCTTGGGCTGTTTATTTTTTTTTAAATACCAACTTCTTAATCCACATCGCTCACGCAGGTTATTCTTCACACTTAAAATATTTTGCTATTAAATTTTGATCTTTTTAGTGTCTTACTTTTTGTCAAGATTTCCTGATCTTGGCTTGCTATTCAACTTACTTTTCATCTCTCTTCCCCAGCTCCCAGTTAATGATAAAAATGTTGAACACCTCCCTGCCATATGGTCAGTCCACAGGGAGAAAGCGGAACATCCATTTCCTAGCCCAATCTGATCAGAGAGCAAATAACCTGTTCTTCAGGATCTGAGATTAGGCCTCACAAGAGGAGGCTGAGACCACAGGTTCTCACAAACCATCTCCTTAAGGATCATTACAGGTTTGTGCCCAATCATATTGACATTAAACCTAAGAGTGTGCAGAATCTGTATTTTCTTCCTTTTGCCACCTCTAGCCTGCCACCACATTCGCTTTCACTCAACTTAAATACAGTGGGCTCTGCGCCAGGGGAGGCCCTGGCTGCCCAGGACACAACTCACCAAGCGCAGCTGTGTGCTCCCCAGTCCCTCTCCCCATCTCAGGGCTCCCGCCCTACCCAAGCAGTGGCCACTCGTGTGTGGTCCCTTCACTCCCACAGACAGGGATAACTCACTACGATACAGCAGCAGCTGAAGAGACACTAGCATGAGCTTACTCACCTTTTTCTTTTTAATATTCATCATTAAATGCTTAAGATCCACATTAAATCTTCATTCTCCAGAAAAATCATTCAAACTCTAAAAGGAAGTGAAAATTACCTTTTTGCCTGTAGTTCGATGTTGGCTGCATCCATTTCATTCAGCAAGTGACATGGAACCCTGTATCTTGGATTGCCTTGAGCTGTGAACAAAACTGTGCATTAAATGAAATCTGGCTGTAGAAGGCAGCAAAGCAAACAAGGAAGGCCTGTGATGGGCGCCTGGAAAACTACTAACTCTCTATGTGATTACGAGCTTTCTCGGAATCTGTTTTCCCATGTGAAAAATAAAACAATCAGAACGTATGAAAAGTAGCCAATTCTGTAAACCAAGTTGGAGGAGTTCTATTTCTTCAATGCTCTTTAAATACACTTTTTAAGAAGACGACTATTTTCTTTCTGACTATAAATGCAATAATTGGTTGCTGTAAAAATTCTGGAAATTATAGAACTTACAGAGAGAAAAATTAAATAGAAATATGTAATCTGTATGCAATGACAGACTGTTGGATTTCATTTATCATAACATATTTCTTATTGTTCATTTTAAAATATTTTAAAATGTTCCAAGAGTAAATCTTTTAAAGGGGTAAAAATTTAAACAGCATTCAGTATTCACCTTCTGAAGTCATTAACTTAAACACAGCAAATCATTCACTGCCCATACCTTCAGGGGGTCTCTGCAACTGAGATTTCCGGTAAAACAACATGTAGGCACTTTCTTTTCCCTGAAATTGCTGTTCAATATCTTTTTCCTTGATTGGCTGGACTTTGGAATCATTTATATCAAACCAGTGGGGGCAGGTTTGATCATTTACTCTTTGGGGTTCTGCAGTAAGTGTCTCGAAAGCCTGCTGACTGTTCCTTGGGGTGTCAGACTCAGCCTGGAGAGAATGGGTCTTCAATAGACTGACTGTACTTTCATCTGCACTCAGCAGAAATACCTGAGAGTGAAGCTGTAAAAACTATAAAGAAACAAAAACAAACACTAGATTAATAAAAAAAATTTTAATTAGTCATGATTAAAAGAAAACTTTTTCTTCCTTTCTGTGATTAGATGTTTTTCAATGTCACCTTTAATTTTGGCCTGGTCAGCTAGGAGGGAAAGAAAATCCTTTTGGGCCATATTAAAACATTTAATAAAAATTAGTGTTGTTAAACAGCCTAATAGTTACATTAAGGAGGAAAACTGCCCTGCCACATTCTAAAAAAATACTGTCATTATACCTCAGTGACACTTTTTTAAAGTGGCAACTTTGTTGAAACAGATTGGGTGGAATAAACACTTTTGGAATGTTTAAAATAATCTTAACATAGTATGAACAAAGGCAATCACACAGTGAGGCACAACAGAAGACCTTGTGAAAGCCAGCATCCCAGACAAAGTCTGTTGGGATAAAGCACTGATTACAAGCCTGACTAACACAAATAACATCAACTAAATTGAATGTTGTCTTTCCTGGAAGGAGACAGGCCAGCTCAGGAAATCACAGCACAAAAAGCTTTGTCATAATCCTGGAAACTACTTCGTAAGTTCTTCTAGCAACAGCAGCTGGGCTTGTGTACCCCCTCTCCCTTCCAGTCTCTTCTCTCCTCTCTGGTCCTGTGCCCCCCTCCCTTTCCTGCAGCACAAATATATATTTTATACAGAAAATCACTTGGGAACTAGATGCAACACTAGCTTAAACCCATCCATCAAATAAGAAAAGTGATTTTTTTTTCATTTTTCTCATAGAATTAATCTGTGGCCAATCCTCTAATCAAAAATATTATTTTATCCAAAACATAAGGGCAGAGAACATACGGTCCAAAGATAATACTGTTAACAGTGTGCATAAAAGTGAATGGACTTTGAGACTAATTATAGGTACAATAAAATAGCAACAATTTGAAATTTCTGAGTAATGACATTTTTGTGTAGCCAATTTTCCCTTTGCTTCATAGTTGAAGCTTAACCCTTTAAAACCTCAAACTTCAGTGCATTCGGGTTCTAGTAATGGTAGAAAACTTTTACTGGAATGGCCTTCTTGACAAAATCTTCCTGATAAAAATGGTAAATTCTACACAAAACAATGAAAACAACTGCTGGAAATTAGCCAACAGCAAGCATTGAGGGGAAGGGAGGAAGCAAATGAGATAAATCACATACCAACCCCCTCAACCCCAGCTGGTCAAGTGAGTGGTGAAGAGAGTTCCAGCAACGGCAGGAGGCTAACTGGGCTATGGAAACAGAATCTGAGAATCTCTCCAAAGTCTGGAGAGAGAAAAGACTATAAAAGTGTCCCAAATCTGCATCCAATTTCCCCTCCATCCTTGGCTGGCTCTTGAAAGGTACACAGACAGCCTCAGAGCCAAGGAAGCCGGCAGAAAGCAAAGGCCAGGAGGTTCAAGATCTGAGCAGACTTTAGCAGCCTGCACCTGGGGAGAAAGAGCACGGGCTCAAGTTCCGCCAAATCAGAGCAGGTGACAAACACCCCAGGCTTCCACTGATGTCCTTCAAAGGCTGTGTCTTTGGCCGGGCCTTGCATACTTTTCCTTAAAAGGTCCAAATGGTAAATATTTTAGGCTTTGTGGGCTAGGAGATAGGCTAGAGGACATGCAAGTATAAATATACAATTTAAAGAAAAGAGCCATTTTCAAATTTAAGCCAATATTAACTCAAATTTTTTAAAAAAATCAGGTTTAAATTTGGCATTGATTTACCATCTGACTGATGGAAAAGAAAATGCAATTACTTTAAATGTCTTGACCATATGAAAAATAAATTTCTCAGGGAATGAAAGAGCAGGATTTGAAACAAGAAAACTTGGAAGGAAGTTTGAACTTTGGATGATTAATATTGGGTATAAAGGCAATAAAAGAATTTAAAAATTTGATACAGTCTCATAAATATACTCCAATGGAAATTAATTATTTTATAAAGAATAATCTTTTAAAAAATGTAACTGCTATAGTAATTTGGCTTTAGTCAAACACCTTCCACCAGAAAAAAAAAATTAAAGACCATTTTTAGCATGGGCTGTTCAAAATAGGCAGTAGGTCCTAATTTGCCCACAGATGATAATCTGCTCAACTCTGCCTTCAGAGAACAGTCCATGGGTACCCTGGGACTAAGAGCTACTCTGAGACTGACAACAAGACTATCCAACCAAAGCCCAAAAAGGAAGCTTCTATAGGATCAAGATACATAATGCAACACTCTTTAGAACAAAAAATAATCTACTCTCTACACATCATCCCCTATGTGTAGTAGACAATGTAAGATTATGTGACGTGAAAATAAACAGGAAAATGTAATTCACAATCAAGAGATAAGAGTCAATTTTTAAGGAAAAAGTAGAAATGTTAATAGAAACAGACCCAGAAATAATCCAGATATTTTAATAGGAAACAGCTTTATAAATCTGTTAACTTATAGGAAAAGGATGGGCGACTAGGTTCAGATAGGGAATTTCAGCAGAAAAATGGACACATTAAATAAGTGGAACTTCTACAGCTGACATCTGAAAAAAAAAAAAAAAAGGTCATTGACTGAGTTTAATAGACTGGATACAGCAAGACAGAGGCAGAGGACATGGAAACAGATGGATAGAAAGTTCCATATTGAAGCAGGTAACTGAACACCCATGACATGTAAAGAAATATTACATATGTAATTGGAGTCCTGGAAAGAAGAGATAATGGGGGCAAAAAAACAAATAGAAAAGAAAATGATTGAAGTTGAAGACTTTAAGCAGATACAAAAATATTGATAAACACAAAGCAAATAAACAATGCACACTATACTGAGATATAACTAAAAGATAACCAGAGCTCTCCTCCCAGGATTTGGAAATTAAGCAGTACCCTTCTAAAAACTCATCAGTCAAAGATGAATCACAAGAGATTGTCAAGGGAAATGACGAAATGTTGTGAACCGACTGATAAAGAAAGCATTCTAAATTCAGCTGCAGCTAAATCAGTGCTTAGAAGGAAACGTATAGCGGAGATACCAACCCAAGAATCTAGAAAAAGATGATCAAATTAAATCCCCCCAAAATAAAAGAAAATAATTACAAATAAGAACAGAAACCAAGGAAACAGAAAACCTATGAGCAGTAAAAAAAAATCAACAGAAGTAAAAGTTTGTTTTTGAAAACATAAATAAATTAATAGGTCCCCAGTAAGACTGATGGAAAAAAAAAAATAGAAAACACAAATTACTAGTATCGAGGATGTACAAGAGCAAATAACTTCAGCTCCTACAAATACTGAAAAGATAACAAGATATTTTGAACCACTTTATGTCCATATATTTGACATCATAAAAGGGCAAAATCCTTAAAAATGTAATTTCTTGAAACAATGCAAGAAGTGACAAAATCTACATAATCTTATAATTAGAGATATTAAAACTATAATTCAAAAATCTTACAAAACTTCCAGGTCTAAACAGTTTAATCAAACATTTTAAAAAGAAATAATAACCAGACTTAGAGAAATTCTTTCCAAGAATAGAAAAAAAAAGGGAATACTTCCCAAGTTGTTTATGAGTCTGACACTAAAATCTGTCAAAGACAGTACAAAAAAAAAAAAAGAAAGAAAGGAAGGAAATTAAAGAGTGGTAACTCTCATCAACATAAAAATCCTTAATAAAATGTGAGCCAACCGTATCAACAAGACATGGAAACCCACCACGACTCAGTGTGACTGACTCCAGAAATGTAAGATTGAGCAGCATTTAAAAAGGTCACTCAACAGAATTCACCACATTAATGGATAAGAGAAAAGCTGTGAGAGCTTATCAATAGATATAAATAGACCACACATATCTAATCAAAGTCAATCTCTATCAGTCAACAATGAATGAGTAAAAGTTAATTTCCTCACACTAATAAAGGGTATTTATATTTTTTAAAACCTTCACAGCTAATACAGCACCCTTGAAATATTGAAACACCAATCCAATCACTTTGATTGAAGACCTGTTCAAACCGAATTACTCGGGGTCACTGGACTGACATTCCTTTGTGAGTCTGGTCTAATTAAGAGATGCACTGAAACATGGGTTTCAGCTCTTCGCTCCCCCACAGAAAGAGCTCGCAATGTTCCCTAAGTGTCCTGCCATTGGGTTGTTTGTTTGGAGTCAAGTTGTTACCTTGTTTCTGGCAGCAGCAGTTTCTGCATGTCATCACAGGCCAGGAAGCCAGATCACCAAGCTGATCAGAATTGTGGGGAAGCAAGCCCAAGTGAAATCTGGGTGAGCACCTGACAACCACGACCACGTTCAGGAAAGTGATAAACTCTAGGGTGTGAACTTTGTGACATTCTCTGATGTTCTTATTAGAAGTCCTGTCCTCTCCTTTTTCTGCTTACTTCTTGATTCCTTAACAAGTTACTTCATATTTACTAAGTAATGTAACTGAGTTCTAATCATTGCACAAAAATTCTGATTTCATTCTCAGGGACCCGTGGTGGTGGGATGGTAACCAACATTTCCTGGGACAGCGCTTCCGCTCAAGACACCACCGTTACCTTTCGCAGCGGTCCGTACTGCTTTCTGTATTTCTTGTTCCAAGATATTCCTATCTTTTTCAAGAGTTTCTGGCCCAGTTGATCAACGAGAATTAGATTGCTCTCCTCCTGAAGAAAGATACACAATGATAAGGAAATCTGAGGCAATTTAACTGCGATGCTATGAGCTGAGAGGGACCAACAGGATTCTAGCTAATTAATTGTGTAAGTGTATCTACCATATTTATTTCAAAAGAAGAGAAATTTTAAATGTAGATTAAGATTCAGTTTAGAAAACTTGAATTCTGCCAGCTCCCATGTGCTATAGTCTAATCACTTAAAGAGCAAAGTCCAAACAGCACTGTGAGGTTTGGTAAACTTTTGGGACGACAGGCTTTTCAGAGGAAACACTGAAGTGCAAAACAAGGGTATTCACGTCTTCTCCGAATGCTCTGAGTGCAAACAAGTTCTAAAGGGGGAAGAAGTGACTGTCGTGGATGAAAACCTGTCCCCCACTGGGATTCTTATGTTGAGTGCCTACTCCCTCAAAACTTTGACTGTGACTGCATTTGGAAGTAGGGCTTCAGGGAGGTGAGCCAGGATAGGGGTCTCAGGGTGGGTCCTTGTCCAATGGCCAGCTATGTCCTTATGACAGGAGGAAACCTGGACATACAGCAGGCACGGGACGTGCACGCATGGATGACAGGCTGTGAGAGCACAATGAGAAGGCGGCATCTGCAAGGCAGGGAGGGAGGCCTCAAAGGAAACCAAACCCCTCTTAAGAGCGGACACCCCATCTCCAGAACTGTCAGGAGACAGACGTGTGTTGTGTAAGCCCCAGTCTGCGGCGTCTCGCCATGGGAGCCTTGAGACAGGGGCCACAGGGCGATAGAGATACAGGACTCAACTCAGTCCCTACAGGAAGTGTGAGAACTTGTTCAAGAAGGAAGGAGTAAGTGAAAGGACACCTGCCACCCTTACAACAGGTAGCTGAGCAGACACCTGAGGTATCACCAACACTAGGAATGAAAAGGGGAACATAACTTTAGGGGTGACATACGTTAAAAGGATCACATGAGAAAACAGTAAATTCTAACACAGTATGTAAAGCCAATCCCAATTCTGTTTGAAATGACAATAATACTCTCCCCCAAATCATAGTCCAATTCAAATACAAACACAAAAAAAAATATATTCAAAGTGTCAGCAATGACTATCTGGATATTTGGCTTATTTGTGTTGTTTTATTTCCTCATAGATTGTCTAGGGTTTTTTTCTCTCTCAAACTATCCACCACGAAAACATATGTCTTTTATAACCAGAAAATTTTTAATAAAAATTTTAAAAAGACATGGAGACTATTTTAAAGGAAAACTATTAACAGTAATAATATTAGCACTACCCACTAAATCTCTCTCTCACTCTCTCTTTCACACACACACACACACACACACACACACACACACACACACACTATTTATCTAACATACAAATATATGCACAAATAGAACCATGCTCTCTCTGTATACCTGAAGTAAGATTGCTTTTACAATCATCACTGGATCATCAGTCTCCTCTTCATTTTGAAGATCTTTCAATTTCTCATCTGGCTCATTTTTTTCCTCCTAGGAGGAAAAACAAATTTTAAGTTTCTAGCACTAATCTTCAAAGATAACAAAGAAAATAGAAATGTTTGTGCTATGGAGATTTTAAGACTAAAAAACGATAAGCACATCACAATAATTTGCTTATGTTTTGGGCTAAGGCAGAACTAGCTCTGAATTCCAGCTTTGGTTGACAATTCTGGACAAGTTTATCTCTGGCATTATCTGAAAGTTGGGATAATGAGATTAACTAAAACTTCTAGCACAACACACACACACACACACACACACACACACACACACACACACACAAAACACCAATATTTTCCCAGTAAGTATTACACTAGCTGCATCCCACAAATTTTGATATGTTATGTTTTCCTTATCATTCAGTTCAAAATGGTAATGAGCTGATAATTTCTGGTCAGAAGCAAGTGTTGGTGAGGGTGTGGAGAAAACAGACCCCTTTGACACTGTTGGTGGGAATGTAGACAGGTCCAGGCCCCATAAAAAACAGTATGGAGGTTCCTCAAAATATTAACAATAGATGTGCTATGTGATCCAGCAATTCCATTCCTAGGCATCTACCCAAAGAACGCAAAACACCAATACCGAGCGACATCTGCACTCCTATATTCATGGCAGGACTACTGTCAACAGCCAAGTTGAGGAAACAACCTAAGTGCCCTTGGACAGAGGAGCAGATTGGGAAAATGTGGAACATAAACATGATGGAATGTTCAGGATGAAATTTTGCCACTTGTGACAACATGGATGGAGCTGGAGGGGAGCATGCTAAGTGAAGTAAGCCAGAAGAAGAAAGACAAATGCGGGATGATCTCACTCATATGTGGAATATAAAAAAAGAGAGCAAAGAAACACACAAAACTAAACCAAAATCAACCCTTGAAATCTGAGGCTCTGAAAGGGGCCGATGGAGGGTGGGGTGCAAAGGAGAAAGGGAGCTCACTGGACTGACTGCAGTCGAAGGTTACTGGAACTTAGGATGCGATCGTCATGTAGACAGTGCTGTAAATCTGTGCTATCTCAAAAGATACAATTTTAAAAAAATAAAAATTTCTGGCCTCCATCCAAAATAATCTCATTCACTTGAGTTGGCCTGATGAAATTCCGCCCATCCCTGCGGACTCAGCTCACTCACTCCCTCCTCTCTCCTAATCACCAGGGCCACTTCACTAGCAAAAACTCAGGCTGGTTGCAGGGGTTTGTTACGAATAACCAGAGATAAGCTCATCACTCAAACCCTGAGGGGCTCTACGTCAGGTCCCGGGATAAAGACCAACACGTTTGTCCGATTATATCCTAACGACAGAACCCAGCAAGAGGCCAGGAATCCCAAATGGCTACATGTGCTCATAAACATGACCTAGAAAAAATCTATTCCACAATGAAGGACCATGAGGAACTGACTTGATTTGACTGCGACACCAGGTGAAGGTGGAAAAACAGTTCCTCTCAGCACTGGGATCAGAAGAAGGTCTTCGTGTGGGTTGTGGCCCAAATCACACAAGCCATGTGGCTGTACACTATCAAGACAAGGTCTTACTATAGAGCTGTTCCAGGGTCAGGGGTGGCAGGTGGAGGGAAGAAGCCCTGAAGTTGTCTAAGAAGCAGGCCACGGACATGGAGGAGGAGGAAGAGGCATTTAAGCAGAAATAGGAGGAGAAGGAACAGCCCCTAAAAGCAAAGGAAAAAGGAAGGGGCCCCGGCCACGGGGAGAATACAAAATCTGGCAAAAGTGGTCCCTTGTGCCTGAGGCAATGGTGACCCTTAATTCCACTCTGGACTTCCTGCCTTAAAATCTGTCGTCTCTGACAGCTGTAATGTTAAGGGTTTTGGAGCCTGCTATGTATTTAAGAATAAATGTCTGTTAAAAAGAAAGAAAGAAAATTTGTTAAGGCTTCTTGGTGACCCAAGCACGTGGTAGAGATGAATCTGTCTCTTTCCTGGATGAAGGGACATTCAAGTCAGGCCTCAAGTCACGCTCTTACCAAACCAATCAATCAAGATGCCCAACAGTCTAAAACAACAACATTATGAAAGAAATAGAATCAGGAGCTACATAAATCACACTTACAAAGTCTTCAGACACTGTAATTATCAACACAGAACAAAATAATAGAGTTAATGTATAAAGACATTTACTATGGAACGAAAGATTTAAAAATGGTAGGAGGGGAGAGGCAGGTTGGCATTGCCCAGTATTTGACACCCAGGCTGAACCCAATCCTCTTCTACTCACAAGTGTGCACCTCTGACCTGTGGGCACAGCCTGGTCCAGCAGGCACCCATCCCTAGGGGTGAGCTGTGAAGCCTTTCTGGCCCCACTTCTTCAAACATGAGAAGGGCGCTCAGAATGAAATGACTGTCAGCGAGGCAAAGGCCCCAGAAAGGGGGCGCAGAGCAGGCTCTCTTCAGTCAAAATTAGTCACATTGTGAACAACTAATGGTCGACTGCCAGAAGAAAGGGATCATCTTCTAGATACTCGACAGACTAAAATGTTCGCTTTCATTGGGGAAAATTCCATGAGGTTTGGTCATGAGTTGTTCCTTGCAGACAGCACCTACTGAGAGCTCCACGGACGTAGGGAAAGTCCCTTGAAAGGGAAGAAGAAACTGCCAAACCAGAAGCGTAACAATACCCAGCCATGCCTAGAATATCTGGGATCTTCATCTCTAGGCCCGAGAGAAGGTTCAGGTAAAGGTGGTAAAGAGACGTGCAGTGTCCAGCAGATGTACCTACGGAAATTCTTAAGAGCACTGAACTGTTACTTGGATACCACAATCTCTGGATGAAAACCAGATTGTTAGAGGAGAGAACAACATGGGAAAAATTAGCCAATGAGATGCTTGACAGGAGCCATGAGTGAGAACATAAACTGAGCAGCAATGGAAAGTGACTTCTGGCTGTTCATGAAAGCCTGAAGAAGGTTTTGCTGAAATAACAGCTTCAAGATTGGAGAAGCTGTGCAGAGAGCAAAACCCAGTGAAAGAATGTCTGCTGCCCCTGGGGTCACAAGGCAAGCGACAGAACTTGGAGCAGAGCCTGACACTGCAAGAAGAGAGAAAATCAATTCCAAAGAACGAAGGCAAAATAGCAGAGCTGTCCAAGAGAGCACAAGCCAAAAGGAAGACAGAGGAATCATGACACACGACCTCACCTCAGCCTGACGCTACCTCTGCACACAATCTCAAGGACAAATGTGAAGGCAGAACTACAGATAGCTGCTTTATGTATCAGAAGACAGAGAATAACTCCCAGCAGTTAGAACATTGTCTGAAATCTGACTGGCTAGTCAGGCACTGAGCCAAGTAGACATACTTCCTGAGGTGGGAGATGAACTGGCAGAGAGCAATGGGAGCATTTTCTAAGACTGAGGAGAGACCTGGTGGAGTTGGGAAGAAAAGGTTACAGCAGATGGAGACATAACTGGAAGAAGGGGTGGGGGGAGAATGGCAGAAGACAAGGCAAGGAGAAAAAAATAAGTGAACAACCTAAGAAATATTTGTTAGACCTACTGACAAGCTTCTCAGAATCAAAGAAAAACACTTCAACTTCATCTTCTAGAAAGAATGAAATAAAGCTAAAATAACTATTTGAAAAGGTGTGTGCTGGGAGAGAAGGCTCTACTCCAGGACACTGGCGATGTAAGAAAGCCAGGCGAAGAACAGTACTACGACAAGAATCAGCTCCAACTACACAGGGAGACAATACAGGCAACGGGATCACCTGTGGCTGGTGCCTTGAAACACAAATAAAAGCTGAGGGGCAGCTATTAAAGATGACTAAAGAAGATGTTAAATACAAGGCATGACCCCGGACTCGACTGGAGGGGGAAAACCCGGCTCTAAAGGATTTGGATGTGGCAACTAGGGAAATACAAATATAAACTATATATTACGTAATAGTGTTCGATCAACATTAAAGCTCCTAATTTTCAGCTATGCTTATGCAAGAGAACAGCCTTGCTCTCAGGAGAAACACACTGAAGCTGCTGAGTGTAAGGGGTCCAATGTCTTCAACTTAATTTCAAATGTCAAACGGTTCACTGCTAATGAGGACAATGTGCAGCGCGTACACACACACATGCAGTGTGTGCCTGCACAGACCTGGCAAAATATTAACTGGAGAATCAAGGTGGTGTATGCACAACAGGTTTATATTATATTCACAATTTTCTGGGTGAAATTATCTAGAAATAAAAATTTGAAACTCCTATCTGTGCTCACTTTCAGTATATACAAATGTTTTCTACAGAGGAATGTATAGTAAGTAGCAAAATATTATCCTCCCCCAAATAATAGGACCAGGAAAGGAAATTGCAAAGATTTGGCTAGACCAATTTCTACACTTACTTGAAATTGCCAGTTTCCCAGGTGATCGACATCTCTGATATACACGTGGTAGTGCCCTCCATAGCAGCCGCCTCTGTGGATGATAACTGAGAAGAGGTCGTATATATAGTCCACGTCATCCAGTTCACTCTACAAAAATAAAGAACATGAACACTGACGCGGTTTACATAAAACAGGAAGACACGTAACCAAAGGGAAAAAACAATTCAACTATTGAAATTAATATGAAATTTCACTGTTTATCATTATTTAAGAGTAAATTAAGATAAATTCTAATAATTGGCTTTAAATTTTATAATTCTTAATTTTATACTGAAAATGATCTATCCTTGAGCTAATGCCAGTTACACCACACCACCCAACAGGAAAATATATCCAAGCAGGACATATTTTAACAGACTGCGTCTGAGATGATGTAAGCCCACGTGATAAGGAGGTTCACTCCCCTACTGGGAGTCTGTTAGCAATTTTAAGCAAGAGAAAACCATCCTTGCATTGTATGCGCTGTGCTGCTTTGATTGAATCTGTCTGTATTCAACTCAGCTGCTATGTCCCTCAATGTTAGAGTCAATTCCACCACGACCTCCTGAATTTTCAGTCCTCCGCACAGAACAGGAACTTAGCAGCTACGAAGAGTCATGAAAACTGGTTTTGGTTTGGGGTGGAATGAAAATGTTCTTTCTTGGTCTATTAATTCTGCCTTATTAATTCTATCATTACTGGGCTTTATGATTATGTTCACCCACCCAACAGGTGAACACCTAGCTACACGGGCACCATTTAAAAAAAATAATCTATTTTAGGTTAAGAGAGATTTTGAGGGATTACCAATTACCAGAGGAGCTTATTTGTTTAAAGACTACTTTTTAAGTAAGTGGCATTTTTTTTAAATGTCTCGCTCAGGCAAAAGAGAGCTATACACAAATATTCAAAATCACTATGTTTTTGCATTACTACAGCAATCAAAAAGTAAAATTAATGTCACTTCCCTAAAGAAGAATCAATGTTTTCTTTTAGTTTTATTATTTCAGATTATGTTAAAATCATTTGACAAACTACTTTTTATAAAAAGACAAAATTTTTTCAGGCACAAAATGGGGGGAGGGGGTGTCAAATAAATTAACTGTTTACTATGTGTGTGCCAATAACAGGCTCAGGGCAAACACAACCCTGGAATGTTGCATGGTAATTAAGGCAATAAAATAAACCCTGAAAAACTCAGTAATTAAGCTTGAAGTAGAAGGCCATCTGAGTCTCAGAACTTTAAAACAAGGATAACTTTTATACACAGAAATTCAACAGCAGCTAGCCAATGTTTTGTTCTTAATCAACACAGAAAGAAAGATCTATAAGAAAGGCAGCAGTCTCTGTATTCTGCTTTTAGCACACACAGCAATTATACAGAAAACATCTTAAAATGGTGTATAAAGTAGGTTGACTGAGTAGTTAATTTGCTTTCACAATTTTTGTGTCCCATGTCTTAAAGATTACAAATTCTAGACTTGTGAAGCTCCAGCTGCCTGTTCGCTTTCTAGATGTATATTCATTATTGCATCTAATGCAAACTGAGTCTAAGTAGCAAAGGACAAGTAATGGCAGTTTTTCCTAATGCAGGGTCATTTCTAATTTTGTTCTTAAATTTTCTTTCAACGCCTTTTCAAGGAGAATTTAATAAAAAGAACCGAGGAGAAATCCACACTTTAGAAATTAAAAAGAACTGCAATAAACCAGCAGCTCTCTGCCAGGACACCTCTGCTACCCCTAAGAAACACAGACCTCTGGCAAGATCTGAAGACATCCTAGTGGACCACCACATGGAGAGAGGGTAGGGTGCCATTGTCATCTAGGAGGTGGGTGCTGCTTAATACCCTGTAAGGCAAGGGACAGCCCACCACAACCGAGAAGGAGCCAACTCAAAATGTCAGTAGTGCCAAGACAAAAAGATTTTGCAAGAAGCCAAGTGAAAATGAGGTCAACAAAAGATTCAAGTTTGAGAGGGGAAAAGATGCAATTTCACAAGAAAATAGTTCAAACCTGTTCACAAAAAGGCTTGAGATTGATCTGGAGAGGGAAGGTATAACAGCTGGTCTCCTTGTATCGTTCACACTTCACAAAATCAAAGTTAAATCTTAATAATGAGACAGTAAGAAAGGGAGGCAGCTTACGTAATTTGGCCGACTGTTAAAAGAAAAAAATTGAAAGGTTTTAAAAAGTTACATAAAAGGACACATTTCTTAAGATGTGAAAAAAAACTTATGAACAGTTTTAAGAGAAACCCTTAAAACATATACTCATCACTATGAATTCAATACAACTCTTCATTAAACTCATCTATTAAACTTCATTAAACTCTTCATTAAACTCATTTATAACGGAAAACTTACAACGCAATTCTGTTTTTTCAAGTTGGGAGCCTAAAAATCAAAGCCACCTGAGCAGCACATTGCAGGCAGGTGTGCCCCCCTCTAGCAGTGCCAATTTCCTACCTGCCTCCTGGCCCTCATGTCCCTCCTCATAGTCTCCATGTCTCCGAGCAGACACACAGTCCTAGTGACCTGTGTCAATGTAGCCAAACCCCAGGATTACACGAGAATTGATGGGTATGTATATTTTCCTGGGGAGAAGATCCATAATTTTCAAAGTGCTCTAACTCCCCAGGTGATACAATCCATTCATTGGGCGTTACATTTAGTCTTCTTAAAAGTAGACAAGAAGGTCTTTCTGCTTTGATTCCTTCCTCTAAAACAAAATACTAAGTTAAGGTGCTTTTTATTTAAGTTGCCAGCTTTCCCCAAACTCCTTGTATTAACAGCATGTGCAGGGGAGGGAGCAAAAAAATCCCCCACCCCATATAAAAAAGAATACACAATCATGTAACTCTAAGATCCTGAAAAACACATTTCAACTAACAATTCCACAAAGAGAATGGGTTAAAAAAAAAAAAAACACACATGTAGAAAGATTGTAACTCAACTCTAATGTGATTGAAAGAAGGAAGCCTGCTCAGAACAAGAAAATCTGCATTAATTTAGGTAGTACAACCAAACCTAAATTAATAATACAATGAATTAAATGTAATTAGAGTAAAATTTTTTTTTAAGTATCAAGATAAATTTCTGTTAAAAGGAAACTAAACCAAAAATACAAAAAGATGCACCAAAAAACCTCTGTTGTCTAGCAAAAGGCTATGTTTTACTAATGTGCAAATTAAATTCAACCCAATACTAAGAATGTATAAATATCTTCACAAGACTTTTCTAGTCACATGGTTTATATTTTATTACATTGTAGCTATAACACTAAAAGTAAAATATGGCCTAACCAAATAATAAATCTGAGTTTCACAAAGGGAAGTAAAATACACTTTAAGCAATTTGTTTAAAGATCTACTGTTAGATCTAAAATTCACTCTGGCTTTAAATCCTATTGTGAGAGTTACAGGCATGGGGTTCACTGCTTTTTAGTATATTTCCACCTATAATCTCCAGGATCCAAGTCAGTATCAGTCCTCATTTGATTTGTTGGAAAATTCAACAGTTGTCAGCTCGAGGAACAGTGCTATCTTTGCCATCACAGAGGAACTGCAAAGATGTCCCTGTGGTAGTTAAGTCAGTGCGTAAATCCACTGACTGGACTGAGCTCGTTTCTCTCTGAGCCCGGCAGTCACCCTGGGTACAGGCAGAGACAGCATAGGGCCGACGGCACGCTACAGAGGCAATCATTTGCTTAAATCCTGTTCATCCTCCATTTTGATATGCTGTACAAAAAGAAACCTGCAACTCTGTCAAGCCCTTTAATAAGCAATCTAGTATTCCCAACTGGGGGAGGAGGAAAGGGCAATTAGATTTGCTAGCATGAGGGGGGATGTTTATGAACATTGTACAGTAACTGCTTTTTCAGAAAATGAAGAAAACCGTCTCTCTTCACAGTAGCAGACGATGATGGGAAAGCCTGACAAGTTTCTTGGTTGGCAGAAATGAAAACACTGTCTTTTCCTAAAGGTAACTTGCAGAAAGCAGGGATGTGGGGAGGACATCAAAAAGGTACACTTAAGAAACGCTGAGGTACATGTAAATTTTTCCAAGGACAGACAGAAGTTAAAAGAATTGTTGGGTTGAAAGTTTAAAAAAAATTTTTACTATAAAAATTAAAATACATAATGTAAATGTCTTTTCCAATCCCTAGTATTTATTAGGACCGAAACGTGGATCCCCCAGACCTCTTCACCCAGGCTGACTTCACTTAACAGACATTCTGCTACTAGGCTCTAAGCAGGCACCCTCAGAGAAGGCAGCTCTCTTTACCTTTGCTGCTTTGACCAGCCTGTCGCAAGTCCCACAGTGGTATAAATTGTCAGAGTCAAAAAGCTCCTCTTCTACATACATGTTCCAGAGAGCATCTTCCAGCCCGGACACGTTTTTGACGGCTACTGTTAGATCTAAGAAGTCTTCCTGCAATACACATGAAAATAACATTGAGAAAACGATTTCACAGAGGTTCACAAACACATCATCAACTTAAACACTGGGAATAATCAGATGTAGTTCTCCCAAAACACAGAGCACATGTGGGCCTCCCCTGGTGGCGCAGGCGGTTGAGCGCCACGCTGTGAAGCTGTCCCCAGCCTGTGCAGAACTGGTTCCATCCCGGCCGGCCGGCCAGCGAGGGTCCCACATGGTGTGGCAGACCTCTCCTGTCGTGCCCACTGCTCCCCTCAGCAGTGTATTTTGTCAGTCTGCCTGTTCTGTTCCCCACTTTGTCTCTGGTGAAGCCTCTCAACCTCCCATGCATTTGGCCTGTACCCCGGTTCCCGTATAAATAAATAAATCTTAAAAACAACAACAACAACAAAAAAAAAACAACAAAAAAAAACCACAGAGCACATGAACGCACAGATCTTCTCATCAGATATTGTGAAACGCGCAACACTAAATTATCCTTTCTAAACCAAACTGCAATTTAACTTAAAATCTATCAGGACCTAGTTTGAGTTATACTATACTGCAAGTAAAAGAAATAAATCACTGAATACATATCTGAATTAAGAGATGTGTATGTGCAAGGTTTATTAGTGTTGAGTTAGTCTCTATATTAGAATAGCAAGGGCAGGACTGGACTCCCAATATAAACTCCATTTCTTCTGCTGCTGTTGCTAAAGTTGGTTTAAGGTGTACTGAAACAGTTACAAGAAAAAAATCATTTGAGTCAGGATAAAAAGGTATCCCATGAAAACTAAGGGGATGACATTTGCAAAATGAGAGCCTGCCGTTCCACTGTAAATATATTTGAATTATCACATTTTTAGTAATAAACATAATTTGACAAGTTTAAATCATCTTTATAGTTTTACGTGTGTGAGAACAATAGTATTACTTGAAAGCATTATAAGGACCATAAATACAGCACTAGTTAGAAGAAATCTAAAGTAATAAAAGTGATACATGAAATTTATCATATATGCATGGAAAGTGTGCATATAATGTGCCCTCATTCACACTATGCTTTAAAGTCACTTTGTGGGGCTCTCTGGTGGCCTAGAGGCTAAGGCTTAGCGCTACTACTGTGACAATGACCTGAGTTCGAGGACCGGATAAGGAACTGACCCACATGGCACAAAAGATCTCTCTTGTCTCACCCACTGCTCCCCTCAGCAGTGTATTTCAGTAGAACTGCCTGTTCTGCTCCCCATTCAGTTTTTGGTGAATCACACCCTCCCCACACACCTCTGGATTACATGCCAGTTCTTCCACACAAAAATAAAATCTTAAATAAAATCACTTTGTGAAATATTACAGATAAGCCTATGATACAGCAATACACACAAGACACACACACAACATATTCATCTTTCCAAACTGGGTTGACCAAACCTTCTAAGGGCATAGGCAATAGGGCCAAGAAATGGTTTTTATCTCCAGCTCTTTCATAAAAAATAAAAAAGAAGAGGAAAAATATATACATATTGATATATTCCAAAAAGTAGTTACTGCAACATTTAAAATATGGCATTTAATTTTTCACTCATATAGCAAAACACAGAAATTTTCTATAGCTTTTGCCATAAGGAAATTTGTATTAAGCAACATTACTGTTATAGTGACGAAGCCATTTGCAGCGTAAGGTTTGTAGAGCAAACAGAATTATATTTATATGAGCAAATTTTCCAATATCTAATTACCAGTTAGATTAAATGGGCAATCTGGGTTACAACAAAGAATTAAAGGTTATACTAGTTAAAATGGGATTATAATAGCTCTGCATATACATATATAATAAACATAAGCACACACACACGCAAATGAACCTTCTGAAGGATATTAATAAACCAAATCCAATATTTAATTATAGGTGTTTGTCATTTAATATTCCTGAGTAAGCTCTATTTTTATTATTTCCCTAATTAACTTTCTTTATACTATTCTAACCACCAACTGTGATATTGGCGTCCCTCAGGAAGACCTCTTTGTAAATATCCCCCAAATCAGTTTTCCAACTATTAGAGTACTGACTAAAAGATTAAAGTTAAGTTTTATTTGCTTCTTACAGATCACATGGGACCATCCGGATAATAAACTGATGACACAGGTGTAGCCAGAGTAAAAGATAAAAAACAGATAAAAAACTTTCTAGTAATGAATACTTTCATCCTCATGTATATAGGTCAGAGACTTAATAGCATGAATCATAATTCACGCCACAAGTACCCGTGCACAGTCACCTGCTTCTCACTGACACCCCGACACTCTTCGCAAACGACCTGGTTAACGGCGGTCCCGTGGTACAGACGGCGGATGAGATCGTGGCCGGACGTCCCAACTAAGGACGTTTCCAAAGCACTAAAGAGAATGCGGTTCAGTTCCTGCACGTCATGCTGCCTCATTTCCTGCAAAACAGGTAATTTTTCAGTGTAATTTTGGGCTTCAGACTTATAAACAAATTTGAAAAGTGTTATTAGCAAGACACAAGAGGAAAGGGGTAGAGGAGAGCTGCTGACTGGTGTGGGGTTTCTGTGAGGTGATGATTACGTACAGAGATGGCTGAACAACTCTGTGAAAATACTAAAAAAAAATTCAAACAAACCCAGAATTCTACCCTTTAAAAGAGAGAATTTTATGGCAAGTGAATTATACCTCAATAAAGTGGTTGTTTTTAAACAAGGAAAGAAAAAGGAATTGGCTCTCAGCACCAGCCTGACACCAGAAATTGACCACCCCATTAGGGGATACCCCGCTACTGTGCTTTCCTTCCACAGCCCAAGCTATCCCCCAACCACAAGCACCATGCAGTTAAGGAGCCCGTTCTCAGACCGCTGTGCAGCATTTATTGTCGGAAGCAACATAACATCATTCTGATCACTGCCTCTGTAAAATTCTGTGGCAGTCCCTACACCTGTCCCTATAAGAGGAAATCTATTCGGCAGGCCTGGTTTGTTTGACTGCATAGCAGACAGCTCATCAACACTGACAACAGGCACCATAATGTGCTGCTGACAAGTGTTTAGTGTTTGTATACAGTGAAATCCCCTCCAGGGATGCAAACAGAAAAATGAGAGAATGTCTACACATGGGGGCACAGAATGGAAATGAAGAGTCAGGAGAAAGGCAGGATAGCAAAAGGAAAAGACCCACCAAGAAGGGTTTCGCTGTTTCACTGATGCAACAGTTCAAATCAGAATAGTCAGACTCAAACACAAAGCACCTCATGACAGCAAAATATTATTGCTGAGAAGGTTTTTCAGCTGATTAGCAGTTCGCTATAGAAGGATAAGCAATTCCTATGTAAGAGGTCCTGTATCTCAGCGAGACTATAGACAGATTCTCTGGGCAGAAGTTGGAAAAGTCAGTTCTAACACGTGTTCCCTGAATCCACAACCCCCTCCCCAAACCCAAATCACAGAAATTTATGCTTGCCTATAGCAAGTGTCTAAAATATATATTTCTGGTTTATAATTATTTAATGTGAGAAGTAAACATCTAAGTACTATCCTGAGTACTGGTAACAAAATTTTAAAAGTCAGATTAACATCATTAAACCAGTGTTTATTCTTCCTGGTAAATTCCTAGAAAAGCCGACCTTCATACCTCATTGCTGGTCCAGCCAAAGCTGTCTGTGAGGTCTGCTGTGGATGCGGCTTCCTGGTCTAAGAGTAGAAGCTGAGCAAACAGCCTCTGTAACTGTAAAGGGATGATCCGAACCTGAATGAGGAACAAATGCGTTTCTAGGTGAAGTCTTTTAAGTGTTGTGTCTTTTGAAAAGAACTGCATACTAGTGTGCTCAGGAAAACGCTTACAAATTACATGATACGTCATTGTAAGTTTACCTTATTATGAACTAATTATAATAAATTGATATTATAAAGGGTAAACAAAGATTTAGTTTTCTTTGAAAATTCCAATTCAGTGCAAAAAGTTTTAGCTCTCTGGAATTTTCTACCTTAAGAAAGTCCAGATCAATATTAAAGCCCAAATAGGCCCTAAAAACCACCCAATTAATTACAGATAGTAATTTACATCTCTAATAGATCATTCTTTCTCTAAAATATTTCAGCTACATATATATTCTCTATGAGAAATTTTCAGGTGACAGTATCTCACTCTAGGATATCTGGACACCCAATAGAGCTGGCTGCACCCTGTGCGCTTTCTTCCACACTCACTGTTGCCTCATTTGGCATGAAGAGGGTTGGACAGACTGACAAAGTTGCTAGTGACTGGTCTGCAGCCTGAATTTAAGCATCTACAGTGAGAATCGGCCTTTAGAGTGTTTACAGCAACCTGACATTTCCATGACAGGTTCCTCACATATTATAAGAATATAATCTGCAGGGCCTCCCCGGTGGCACAGCGGTTGAGCGCTGGGCTGCGAAGCTGCCTGCAGCCTCTGCAGCACCGGTTCGATCCCCAGTCACTAGCAAGGGTCCCACATGGCGCGCAGACCTCTCCTGCTGCTCGCTGCTCCCCTCAGCAGTGTACTTCGTCAGTCTGCCTGTTCTGCTCCCCGCTCTGGTGAATCCTCTCACCCTCCCGCACTTCTGACTATACCCAGTGCTTGTATAAATAAATAAATAAAAAATCTTAAAAAAAAAAAAAAAAAGAATATAATCTGCAACAGATTAGGATTTTTTTAAAAAAATATGCAAAAAATTGGCCCTGGTCACACAGGTGAGCTGAGAAGCCCTGGGCTGATCACGGGACACTCCTATTAAGAAACCCAGATTTTGTCTGCATGTCATAAGCTGCTGAGCGAAGTTTATACAGGGAAGAAACATTAGATCTGCGCTTAAAATTAACCAATTTATTTCCAGAATACCAAATTGAAATAATACTGGCCTCTACCCTTTGTTGTTACTACAAGTAAGTATATTAAATGGATTTTTCTGGCAGACTAGTATAAACAATTTGCAAATAGCTCTTTGAGCATAAGAAAGAATAAACATATTGGAGAGTGAGGTGTGTCTAGAAAGCAGCAGTGGCACTGTATTTGGAAAAGTAATTCTTGGAAAGGAAATTCTATTACCAGTAGAGTACTGGCCAATAACTTTCTGAAAATAAAGAGCATACTTGGTAATTAATAAAATAACTGATTTCTAGAAATAATGAACACAACTCCTTCCTTAAAAGACGTTCCCTCGATATGCCAAAAAAAAAAAAAAAAAAAGAAAGAAAAAGAAAAACACCTGTAAATCACAGATTATAGTACCTTGGCATCAGGTTTATCCTTATCCTCTAAAGAACCAAGCTCTTCTGGACCAAGAGAAAATAAGGCTTCTAAACAAAAAAATAGAAACAGAGTGTAAATAACATTACTTCATTTTAAAAACTGTTTTAGAAAGTCAAGACCATCAGTAAGTAAAATTAGTTATGGATTCAGAAATATGATTATGGCATTTTTACTATACACATTTTTACTTTCATGTAACATTTTTAACCACTGACTCTATAAAGTGGCATGCCAAAGTCATAGTGAGGAGAATCTACAAAAAGAAAATTATTCACACAAAATGAAAAACAGTTACATCAGAAATCTCTGATGGCTCCTAATGCCCACGGTAGTAGGCCCCAAAAGCAACGGGAGGGTTATCAGGAGACACAATATATGATAGCGCTGCCAGTGCTCACTTACACCTGTGAGGTTCCAGCCTCCCTTGTGTGAGAAAGACCGTGCCTTGCCTTTCTGTAACATGAAAATCTCTTTTCTGTGTGGAGGGCACAACAGATAGTGATCTTACCTAAAAAAATAAGTTAGCAACCTAGTGCCAGTTTCCAGAACTTTTTAATAATTCAATACTACCCCAGGGGGCATACCTGAACCTTTTGGAAAGTCTGTATTCACACCTAGTTGGAAACTCCTGCTGGGAAACTTTGATATGCTCCAGGCAGAGAAGAGAAGTGATGGTGTTGTCTCCCATGAAAACCACTGCTGCCCGACTGCTAGGAAAGTTACCCTCCTCCTGAGCTCCTGGCAGAATTGGGAAAGAATGAACTACAAGCCTAAAGATGGAAGTTTAGCAGCCAGGACTTCTACAATCATTTCCCATCATTCTTAGCTACACGCTGAACCGAGAGCCCAATCTAATCCCACTCCTTAAAGTATAATTCTATAAAGCTCCAAAGTTTTTCTGCTAACTCTCGGACAGTCCTTACTCTCTCCAAATGACAGTCCCCTTCATCGGGCATTAGCAACGATGCCTCACAAGGAGCATTCAGTCCACTAAGATGTCTACTCACATGCTTGGCTGGCAGCCCCTTTGTTCGAGAGGAAGATGCCTGCGGCCCTCAGTCCTGTTCTCCCTGGGGACACGGTCCATGACCTGCCCGCCCTACACGACTACCTTCTTCAGTCTTGTTAAGGCTACGTTTCTACTTCAACTTGCCCTTTAACTTCAACTGTATTAAAACTTAGAACAGTTTTAACCCTCCCTGGGAATCTGCTTATTAAAACTGAAAACTTCTAATGGGAGAATTACTGAGTGTACCCCGGAGATATTTTTATGGAAGGATGGAGTCAAGAACAAGAGATACTACTCTTAAATTCACACACAGTCCAATCCATCGGAATGACCCTGGGAAGGGGATGATGATATTTACTAAAATCTCCAGCGGGAGATTTCTAATCTAAGTGTAGAAGCAACAAAAAATGTCATGAAGATTCGATAAATATGGCAGCAGTAGAAAAGATGACCTACTCAAGATGGGCCAGACTGCTGGATACAGGTGTCTGTCCTCCGAGCACGCGCCACCATGGAGAGCTATACCTGACTTTGTAGTTGGGGCCCCAAGCAAGGTCATGGGAGGGCAAAGTAAAGTTCAAAGTGAAATCAAGGGAGAGAGAGTAAGACCCTGGTCTTAGTGTGCAGAGGTGAGAATGGGACAGACACGCTGAGGTTAGGGGCAAGAAATCAAAGGTCCAGTGGGGTCGGGCCAGCATCCTGCGGATGGTTTCTGGGAGCATCCCTTTTTTATTCAGTTGATTTGAAAGGGTTTCTGTTTCTTACATATAATTCCTTCTCTAGTATCTTTGGTGTTTGGGATTGAGGTGGTCAGTTTTCAGATTTCAGGACTGCAGATAAACCTCCCTGCTCCAAAAGGCATGGTATGATTGTTTTGGGTAACTCTGGCTTGAGTGTTTATTATTTTGGAGAAATTTCAAAACTCAAAAATACAAATACTGTAAGAATAATAGTCTGGCACGCATGACAAAACTGTATGTTGTACTCTATAGGAATTAGAAACTACGTTGCTTTCGCTTGTGATTTTACTCCTAAATATTACCGTAAGCACGCAGGATACGTTTTAGATGATGTTTCACATTTCTCTGCAGGGAGAATTACCAATTTATGTCTTACATTAATAATAATCAACTCACATTGTGGAATATACCTTTAAGATACATTACTTGTGAGTCTGCATAATTAATTACTGTAGAGGTGAGGGTACATATTACTAATCAAATGCATGTAACACAGCATACCTCTGAATTCAGGTGTGAAATGGAGAGTCTGAAGAAGGGAATTGAGGTAACAGGTTCCACCCTGATTTCTGATTCCGCTTAAATTGGTGAATTCTCTAGGAGCGGGTGGCTCCAAAGCTTTGGTCTTTAATTTCTTCCCTTTTCCATACTGATTATTTGACACACTGGAATAATCCTCTTCAAACAGGTCCCCAAACATTGTGAAACTAAATATTTTCCTTAAAAAAATGACATGTTATATAAATGCTTTTATTTTAAATACACATTTCCCCCACAACTCCCAATTTATACTTGGGAGTACCTATTTTAAATCGTTCCTCAGAAAGTATATACAGTATTCCGGGCTTTGCAGGCAGCAAGAGCTGTTTTTTTTCATCCGTGGCTCCTCACCAGCAGTTCATCTTGGGCAAGTTACTTACCCTGTGTTTTCATATAGAAAAGGGGACCCCACCTATAACCAGAGGTGGGGGCTGAGGGACATCGTTTAAACAAATGCCGTTAAGAAATGCACTTAGGGCACAGGGTCCACAATAAATGCCCGGTGTTTTTAAAAAGCCATAATGAAAAAAGAAAAAACCCATCCATCACCAGACCTAATCCACGCCGGGTGTGGCAAAGCCAATCCGAGATAATGAGAGTTGACCGGGATGCAGAGACCCAGCAATCACTTACTCACAATCTCTGCCTTTCACACTTTTTATACCAAATTATGATACTTAAATGAAGAAATCAACCCTCACAGCAGCTGAGTGCAGACCCCCAAGGCTGAAGAGCCGGGGAGGAGGTTCGCTGGCGGAGAAGCCCGCGGCTCTTCACTTTGTGTCCAGGCACCCCACTATTTGCCCTGGGCTCTCGGGGACCCCCTCAAGGGCTCACTTCGAGCGCGCGGGCCGACCCCTCGGAGCAGCGAAACGCAGGGCGCCGCGCGCAGCTCCCGCCTGACAGGAAACCCGAAAGGCCACTATTTCTCTTTTCAACGCGTTCCTCAGAAGAAAAGCGCGAAAACTGGAACTGGAAAGTGCGGCCCGGAGCTCGCGGTCTGGGCTTCGGCTTCCCCGACTCCCGCCGGGCCGGGTCCTCAGGCCTCGGGCCACCGCGGGCCCCGGGCGCGACCGAGCGGGGGCCGCGCCGCCGGGACAGCCCCTGGCGTCGCCGGCCCGGGCCGTCGGCCCACACGCTCCCCGGGCCTCCCGCGTCCCTCCCCGGGCCCCGGCCGCCGGCCCCACTTACTGCCTAAAGCCCAGAACCCCGCCCCGGCCAAAACTCGAAGCAAACGAACGCGCCCCGAGCGGGCGCCGCCATGCTGGCGAGGGCGGGTCGCCGGCGGCCGGGCCAGCGCGGGGTGACGGACCGCGAGGACTACGCCTCCCAGGATTCCTCGCGGGACGCCGGCGCGGCGCGCGCGGCCTTCTGGGCAATGTAGTTCTTTCGCCCGGAGAGCTCGGGAAGCTGCGGGGTCCCTGCGCTGGCTTAGCGATCCGCTGGTGCCGTTCATTCACTCACTTGTAAAAAAAATTATAATTTTTTGGTGGTATGTTCATTGTCGCGATACAAATTATTTAATCGCTGGGAAGGAGTGAAGTGCCAGCCACGACCCTTGTCATCTGAGCTCAAAACCTATGCTTAAAGCAAATTCTTTGGAGACCAAATTCCAGGTCACACAAATTCATTTAGATGGAGTATTGCACATGATGGAAAATTTCATTCCCATTTTCAAGTTTAAATCCACCGCTGTTAGCGATCCATACTAGTCGCGGCAGGGTTTACAAAGCTCGCTTGTGTTTGGCGTGGTTAATTTTCCCAAGTTACCTAAAATGGCATACATCTGTGTAGATCTTAAAGGTTGACCTCCATTTTGCAAGACATTTTCCAAATGGAACTTCAATATAACCAACCCCCAGCGACAATGCTCCACGTAGCCTTGAGCCTTTATAATACCCTCAGTGCTTATTTTGTCTCCACCAACTCTTAAGTGGCATGCAACAGGGTAAAAGCATCTCAAAAAATGACCACCTCTTGCCCACTGTAGGTGACTATTTAGTCTATACTTCGGGCATCTCCCCTGTGCAGTCCATCCGGCCTCCACCTAGGAATGAATGAGGGAGACACAGAAAGTCATTTTGACGTCAGCTGAAGGTTTGAGAGATCAAGACTAGGAATAATGATAGATGGAGTTGGAAGGCAGAGTTGAGATAAACGCACCGTGTGGGTATCTCCCTGCTCAGCCTGGGATCCAACCTGCACTGCAGAGGCTGCAGACAAAGTCACAGAGCTGTGCTCAACCCCTTGTGCCACCAGGGAGACCCATACCCTAGCTTTTTAATACGTCTTGAAGTGAGGTAGTGTTTGGCCTCTGTCTTCCTTAGTTCAGCTGCAATAACAGGATAGTGCACATTGGGTGGCTTATAAACCACAGACATTTATTTTTCACTGTTCTGGATATTGGATGTGGGAGATTAAGTTATCAAATGCTCAGGTGCTGCTGAGAGTACTCTTCGGGGTTGTAGACTGACAAATTCTTGTATCCTCACTGGTGAACAGAGACTCAGCGAGCAGAAGCAAGCTATTAGCAACACTCTCTAACCACTGAGCGAACAAGCCATGTACAAGAGGAAGCAAGTTATATGTTGATGCATATAAATGCACTAAATGCACTAATCCCATTCCTGAGGGCCCCATCCTCAAAACCTCCTCTAATACTAACTATTGCTCCAAATCCCACCTCTTAATACCATCATACCAAAACGAAGAGTTTAACATATGAATTTGGGAGGAAGATAAATGTTCAGTTTATAACATTTACAACTTTGTTCTTTTTTAAAGGTTGTTTTGGCTCTTACAGGTTTTTTTTACGTCTCCATATGAATCATAGACTCAATTTTCCAATTAGAAGAAAATAATGTTGGGATATGGGTTGGATTGTGCTGAATCTATAGATCAATTTGAGGATTAATATTATCATAATTTTGTGTCTTCCAATTCATGAATTTTTTTTTATTTATTCAAATCATTAAAAGTTTTGAAGACCTCAGTGTACATTCTTTCACATCTTTTGTCAAGCTATCATTTAAATATTTCATATTTTAAAAGAATATTTCATATGTAAGATGCTACTTAAATGGTATTTGGTATTCCAATTTCCAGTTGCTCACTCCTAGTATAGAAATGTTAGTGGGGAAATGAAGGAGCATCCAGACCCCCAATATCTTGCATGCCCTAAATAGGTTTTGCCATCCACAGCATAAAGACAAAACATACCCTTAGTGCATAAGAATTTCAGTAGAAAAGAACTTCAATGGAATTAGTGTGCAATAGAGAGAGAGAAGAGAGAAAGGACATAGTTTCCCAATGAAACCCCCCAAGTTACTTATCCCCTCGTGCGTAAATGCCCAGCCAAGCAGGTTTGGCCAAAGCAGGGCCACTGAAACCTGAAAGCTTGCCAGCAGTCTATGGCACCTTCTGGCAGTGAACCACAGGAAAGGGGTAGATAGGGCCAGACAAGTCTGGAAGGAAAGGAACAAAATCAAAGTACATGTCAAGATAAAGGCTACCATGGTCAGCCTGCCCTCTGCTCTCACAGACACATATCTTCTGTGTCCCCCAAGTCCTTGGTGCAAGCCCAAGACTGAGAAGCAAGTGTGGCTGCTTCTTCACATGTCTGTCTTTCTTTGTTATTTTATTTTATATATTTTTTACATCATTTTTCATTTTTGCACAATGTATGCATTTTCCTCTTGGTTATATTCCTCACACAATTTCCACCCCCCTTGTTTTGACCCTAATCCTTCCTTCCAATTCCCTTCCAATAGTGTGTCCCTGGTTAATAGTTGCTTGTTGATTTTTATTTTCACTTATTTAGGTTTCCTAAATTCCGGCTATGAGTGAGACCATCCAGTATTTTTCTTTTTCTTTCTGGCTTATTTTGCTGAGCATGATCCCTCTGCCCCATGTACCACCTCCAAGTCTTCTCTCCCCAAGTCCTTTCCCTGTCCTTTCTAGCTTTCCCTGGCTGCTCCGCTCCACCCTTCCTTAGGTGGGGGCAGGGAACATGAAACCTCCCCTTCCTGTGGAGATTACACTGTTATAAAAGAACAACTTTGTTTGAGTATTGAACTTGTCTTCTGCAACCCTGCTGAACTTATTTGTTTAAGAAATTTTTGTAGATTTTGTTGGGATTTCTACAGAGATGCTCATGTCTGTGAATAACAGATTTTTCCTTTTCTTTCCAACCTGAATGTTTTTTCTTTTTCTTGCCTGATTGCACTGGATAGAATCTCTAGAAGTTGCATAAGCGTGATGAGACAGCCATCCTTGACTTCTATCTGATGTTAGAAGTAAACATGCAGTTCTTCACCATTAAGTGTGATTTTGCTGTAACTTTTGGGGTAGATGTCCTTTCTTAGGTTGAGAAACTTCTTTTCTTATCCTACTTTGCAAAGAATTTTTCTCAGGTATGGACGCTGTATTCCTGTCATATATACTTTCTGTGTCTGTGAGATGATTGCATGGCTTTACTTTTTTAGTTCATTTATATGGTGAGTTTCCCTGATTAATTTTTTTTTTTAATGTTAAAAGAGACTTACATTCCTGGGGTAAATCCCACTTTGTTTGGTGTACTGTATTTTTATGTTATACATATATGTAATCTATATCTTTTTGTATATTTATATTATTGAATTTGATTTGCTAAGCATTTGGCATCCATGCTGCTGAGAGGTATTGTTCTATAGTCTTTTGCTTTCTTGTAGTGTCTGACTAGTGATATTATAAGGCAATGCTACTTTCATGGATTGATTCTATGATGTGATTTTGGGTGTTTTATTGGGAAACTATGTCCTTTCTCTCTTCTCTCTCTCTATTGCACACCAATTCTATTGAAGTTCTTTTCTATTGAATGAATCAGGAAGTCCCCTGAACTTCTATTCTTAGAATATATTGTGTTTAGTCTCCAGTATGTATTCCAGAATAATAATTTGTCTTATTTCTTCTTCCCATGTCTGGTAGCATTTTTCAGTGAGTCTGGGCTTGAGGTTTTATTTGTAGTAAAGTAAATCACAAATTTAGTTTAATTTAAAATATAGTGTAGGGTCTCCCCTGGTGGTGCAGCGGTTGAGCGCTGGGCTGCGAAGCTGTCTGCAGCCTCTGCAGCGCCGGTTCGATCCCCAGCCAGCCGTGAGCGATGGTCCCGCATGGTGCATAGTCCTCTCCTGGCGTGCCTGCTGCTCCCCTCAGCAGTGCACTTCATCAGTCTGCCTGTTCTGTTCCCCGCTCTGGCTCTGGTGAATTCTTTCACCCTCCTGCACTTCTAACTGTACCCAATGCTTGTATAAATGAATAAACAAATCTTTAAAAAAATAAAACATAGTTTAATTTCATAAAATATAAAATAAATTATTTCTATACAGCTTATGTTTTCTTGATTAAGATCTAGCAGTTTGCATCTTTTGTAGAGTGTGTCTGTTTCATCTAAGTTGTAGAATATAGTGGCATAAACTTATTAATGATAGCCGCTTATTATTTCAATATTTACAGAATCTCTCTCATTCCTGGCAATGGTAATTTTTTCTTTCTCTTTTTTTTTCTGATCAGTTTGGCTAGAGCTTTATCAAGTTAATTCATCTTCTCAAAGAGTCAGCTTTGGGGTTCATTGGGGTTCTCTGTAACCAAGCATAAGTGGTTACATATCTTTCAGAGCCCAAAAACAAAAGACAGGTGAACTTATCTAACCTTTTCTCTGAGACTTGCTTTCGAAGACATGGCATAGCAGACGGCAGAGTCGTACTGACGAACCTTGAGCTGAGACCAAGGCATTCTAGAGCCAGGACATAGCAAATGCTTAAGAGGGATGGTGCTTGGAGGGAAGGGGTCACTGCCAGACATTCAAAGCTCCAGAGAGCTGAAGTAAAGCCTCTTCATATGTCTCTGTGTCTGATCTGCCTTGTAATTGGTCAGTGAACTACAGGCAAGTCTACATTTCTTTGCCCCTAAGCCACTTCTTAGCCAACAGCATTGAACTCTTTTGTTGTCCCTGTCCCCTTGAGTCTGTATAACCTCATTCCCTCAAGCAGGGAGGCAGATTTCAGTTTATCTTCTGACTCTTTGCCAATGATTTGCAGTAACACTTCTTTCTTTTCTCACAATGTGATGTCCTGGAAATCGGTCTCTGGGCGTGTTGGGAAGTGAGCCCTTGGATCAGTAATATCTCTACTGTTTTTCTATGTTTCATTCTATTGGTAGTTACTCTGAAGT